TCTGGCTCCTTCTCCGCCGCGGGATTGCTGAGATTGGCCGTCAAATGTGTCAATTTAGTCGAGATTGACCTGTCGAATGCGACGGAGATGAGAGACGCCGATGCGGCGGTGGTGGCGGAGGCTAGGAGTCTGGAGAGGCTGAAGCTGGGGAGATGCAAGATGCTGACGGACATGGGAATCGGATGCATCGCTGTTGGATGCAAGAAGCTCAATATGGTTAGCTTGAAATGGTGTGTTGGCGTCGGAGATTTAGGCGTTGGCTTGCTTGCCGTCAAATGCAAGGACATTCGCAGCTTAGACCTCTCCTACTTGCCGGTACTTAAATTTCTCTCATAACACATTTTCTTAATCCAAATTTCAGTTAATATGGTAAGTTAGTCGAAATTAGAACTGTTTCTAAAATTGGGGATTCGACGACTTTTGTCATTTCTAAATTTGTTCTTCTTAGACCTGTGGGTTAATTTTTGAAGTCACCAACAAGTTTTGGTTAGATTTTTGGTCTTTCAACATCTTCTATATCTGAATCCGATACATAATTGTCATATGTTTTGGATTTGATCTTGCGAGAAGCTAGAAATTCAAACATACATTTAGCATGAATACTTAACTAGTTTCTTTGTTCCATAATCTACAGATCACAGGCAAGTGTTTACATGATATTTTGAAACTTCAACACCTTGAAGAACTTCTTCTAGAAGGGTGCTTCGGAGTAGATGATGACAGTCTTAAATCACTCCGACATGATTGCAAGTCATTGAAGGTAACCTCTATTCCAAGAAATATGTTTTATTCTTATCCATGATCTCACTTAATAGTACTGGAGTCCACTTGAAAGACGAAAACTTTTTAGTTGTTTTTTTAGAACAGAAAACTTGGTATTCTCAGAATATGGCTTGAAGAAGATGTTACACTTCTTCCTGAAACATTTAACTTTTCGAGAGAGGATGTATAAACAGGTTTCATATTTGCTTAGACTCAGACAGCTATTTATCATTGAAAGCCTAATGCTGGAAGACTATAGTTGATTGTTTTAATCATCATCTTATCCATAGATATTTGAGATTTTTACTTACCAAAAACCTGTGTTCTGCAGAAGCTTGATGCATCCAGCTGCCAGAATTTAACTCATAAAGGTTTAACCTCACTTTTAAGCGGAGCGGCATGTCTTCAGCGACTGGATCTAGCACATTGTTCTTCTGTAAGTTCTTCATTTTCTCATTATCATCAGAACATGCTTCCCTTGCTTTGTTTTCTGGTTATGCCCTGTATGTAAAAGCATTGGCTAAATGGCTGAGTCAACTTAGTTTGGCATTAAAACTGATTAGTAGTAGCAAACCAGTAATTGCACCTACGACTGAATCGACCATTTGAGTCATGGGTCGATAGCAGTCACGGATAAGTCTATGGTGCCTTCTTATATGAGGTTTCTTTACTGATTTAGGTGATATCATTGGATTTTGCGAGTAGCTTAAAGAAGGTTTCAGCGTTACAGTCAATCGGGTTGGATGGTTGTTCTGTTACACCTGACGGTTTAAAGGCGATAGGCACATTGTGCAATTCCCTGAAAGAGGTTAGCCTAAGCAAATGTGTGAGCGTAACTGATGAAGGTCTCTCTTCTCTAGTAATGAAACTGAAAGACCTCAGAAAACTTGACATCACATGTTGTCGGAAACTAAGTGGAGTTTCAATCACCCAAATCGCCAATTCATGTCCCTTACTAGTCTCTTTGAAGATGGAGTCTTGTTCTCTTGTTTCCAGAGAAGCCTTTTGGTTGATCGGACAGAAGTGTCGGCTACTTGAAGAGCTTGACTTAACTGACAACGAGATTGATGATGAAGGTTCTTTATTTTCTTCAGATTAATTCTTTGAACCTTGATTTCTGAATTAAACCTTATCGTGTTTGTCTTTCCTCGTATGATGCAGGACTGAAATCCATATCTGGTTGTCTTAGTCTATCCTCGTTAAAGTTGGGAATTTGTCTTAACATAACAGACAAAGGGCTCTCGTACATTGGGATGGGCTGCTCAAATCTCCGTGAACTTGATCTCTATAGGTTTGTCGCCTAGAAATTTATTTTGTAGTCGGGTCAATAATCACTCTCCATTCTCAATCTAGTCTTTATCTATTCCAGGTCAGTAGGAATAACAGACGTAGGCATCTCCACAATCGCCCAAGGCTGCATTCATCTGGAAACAATAAACATATCATACTGCCAAGACATAACAGACAAGTCCCTGGTTTCATTGTCAAAATGCTCGTTGTTACAAACATTCGAGAGCAGGGGATGTCCTAACATCACGTCACAAGGACTTGCGGCCATTGCTGTTCGGTGCAAGCGACTCGCCAAGGTCGACTTGAAGAAGTGCCCATCCATCAATGATTCTGGGTTGCTCGCTCTCGCCCACTTCTCACAGAATCTCAAACAGGTAATAAACCGTTGAATCCTTCACCCACTGCTGAAAAATTAGGATAACCCGGTTGAATATTTGATCTGACTGCGAAACCCATGTTGCAGATAAACGTGTCAGACACAGCTGTGACTGAAGTGGGACTTCTCTCCCTAGCCAACATAGGGTGTTTACAGAACATAGCGGTTGTGATTTCAAGTGGTTTAAGCCCGAGCGGAGTAGCAGCAGCATTGCTGGGGTGTGGAGGACTAAGGAAAGCGAAACTACATGCCTCCCTAAGATCGCTCCTTCCTCTATCTCTAATCCACCACTTGGAAGCTCGTGGTTGTGCTTTCCTCTGGAAAGACAATACCCTTCAGGTACTTTTAAGTGGTGAATATATATAACTATATATGTAGATTCCTACTAAAGTAAATAGCCGCAAAAGGTTGGTGTAGCTTTTTGATGATTACAATTAAAAAACTAGGACCGAACTGGTCTCACTGACATATGGGATTTTGTATAATAATGTGGGAACAGGCGGAGTTAGATCCCAAGTACTGGAAGCAACAGCTGGAAGAGATAGTGCCTTGAAAGTGTGAAACATTCTGAATGGGAAAGAGGGTTTCTATGGGAGCCAGAAGACAGGCCAGTTTTGGATGTGGCCCAGTGTGGATTAGCTGGAACATTTTTGGTCTCTTTTGTTTTGTTGCTGACGGCGCGTGTACTAACAACCCCACACAACCTTACATTATAAGTCTAGTCACATGGTGGTGATATGAATGGTACCGTTGTATATGTAATCTTTTTTTTTTTGGGTTGGGTGCCGATATTAACGGACGTAACAGAGTCACAAGGATGCCCTCCTCTGTTTCTTTTTGACTTTTTCCTTCTCTCTTTTCATGTGTAATCATATGAGTATTATGTAATTTAATGCCTCATCAACTTGCCTCGGTTGGGCTTGCCTTTACACGTCACCATATTCGCGTTTGTATCTTCCATAAGAGCGTTTTGCGAGAAAAAAAGACCGTGACTCAGTAGGGCCCAGCACTGGTCCAGACAGGCTCTCACCATCTGTACAAAAATAGCGAGTCAGCGACTCGGTGACCACAATGTGACCTCCAACAACCCTCCCTCATTGCTACAACGGCTAGTGCGCCCAACACCGTTTCTTTTTTCCTTGCACCCTTCAAGTGTCCGTCGTCCACAACTGCATCCTTTTATATTCCACTATGACAAAATAAAATTCCAGCTATATATCAAACTACCCAAACAAACACATGTCAATCAGTCCAAAAAGTTCCACCGTCATATGATGTGATTCTCATTTTGTTTGCTCATTAAAGATAAACCAAATGATTACTTCGTTAATCACCTGCCTCTTCTTTTCTCATTTTTAATTACATAATGGAACCGCCCATAATTGAAACAGGATCATTTTCTTTCGTCATGATTATATTCCCAACTAAATGCTTCCTAATATGTTTAAACCATACAACACATATCACCTCTCCTCCATAATGATTAAAGGCTTATTATCACCATTTGCCTTCTTTAAAAATAAAATACTAATGTTTAAGTGCAAACAGATCATGAGTAATGAAACAGAGTGACCCCATTTACGGTCAAATGTCAACCATTTATCTTTGCTCAGGTCATCACATGAAACTAATACTATTATACAATAACATCAATGTATCATTTACATTGCAACCATTCATACACTAATAAGTGTATCAAATAATACTATTCCCTAAATCTTGTTGATGACCAATACTACATTTACTATTACGTTTAAATTCAACATCTAATTGATTATTTGCTTTAGCTGCATTGGATCCACCAAACTTTAACTTTAAATTTCTCCCCAGAAAAAAGAAAAGAGATAGGTTAAAGAATTCAGATAATTAATGAAAGGATCGAACAATACGAGTAAAAGGGACACGAAACTCCAGAATTACGATTTTACCCCATTAATTATTGATAATGATTAATTTTATGAGACTAATTACTCTATAAGTCAGCGTGGCAATTCTGAAAATAAACCAAAAAACATGTCCTAAAATCAAACCTCTTTCCGCTGTAGCAACCGCGTTTAGAGAAAAACGCTCTGCTTTTTATCTTCTTCCGTCTTTTTTCCGATTCCTCTCTATCTCTCTTTCTTCTTCAACCCCTTTGCATTTTTTTTTGCTCACTCCAGATTCCATGTCTCTATCTCTTTCCTCCGCCGTATAGTCGCCGGAGAAACTCCCCATCATCTCCCCTTGTTTTTTTTCCGAAAACCGTGGCGAACTATGCGCTTCTTTTGCCGTTATCCTCCAACTACTTGTCGGATCTGCAATTCGTATTGTCTATTCCCAACCCTAATCGGAGCTAATCACACCTCTGCTAGGTTCTCTTCTCGTTAGTCTTTGTTCCACCTCCTCAGATTTAGGGTTGATTTAAGTATTTGCTCCAATTAACAAACAAACCTACCGAGAGCTATTCTTTCGTTCTTTATTCTCTCTGTCTCTGTGTGTGAATTTTTTTTTTTTTTTTGGGGGGACGACGACTTGTAAAGTAGTTTTAGCAGTGAGATACATATATACAATGGAGACTTCCATGGTGAAACCGAGCTTCTTGCGGAATATTATGGTTCGCGTGCTTCTCTTTGGTGTTCTTATCATCGTTGTCAGATTTGCTTATGTTGTTACCATCACCGGTGAATCATGTAACCGCGGCGACTTCTGCTTCTTCTCTCTCCCTGACAATCTCAACTTTGTCATCTCCGGTGCTGGCTCCGGCGCTTCTGCTATCGACGCCATCAGATCTACTTCCCCTGGGGATGATCTCTATACCAGCAGGGATTGGATCAAAGCCGTTCAGTTTTACTCCTCCATCTTTCAGGATCTGATCGCCGACGGTTATCTATCTCCGGAATCGAAGACGCTTTGTGTGGAAACGGCGATTGGACAAGAGGTTCACTCACTCAGAGAGATTGGGGTCAAGAACTCCGTCGGGATCTCTAAGAAGGCTTTTAGGCCGTTGGTGGTCAGAGGCGAGGGGCATGCTATTCCCTTTGAGGATAACGCTTTCGATTTTGTGTTCTCCGGTGGTGGCCGCCTTGGGAAGTCGTTGAAGCAGTTGGAATTCGCCGACGAGATTACTCGAACACTGAAACCCCAAGGGTTTGCGGTGGTTCATGTTGGGGCTACAGATACGTACAGTTTCAATTCATTCCTTGATTTGTTTAATTCTTGCAGATTGGTGAAGATGCGTGATATCGATGGTTTTGATTCTTCAATGCCTCATATCAGAGAATTCGTTATTCAGAAATACTCAGAGATTGATGGTCATCATCACCGGAAGAATTCCGGTGATGATTCTGGTGGAAAGTGCTGGATTCCCGGTTACAAAAGAGATTTGATTCGGGATGCAGAGCCACTGATTCAAGAGGAGCCTCTTAAGCCATGGATTACACTTAAGAGGAACATTAAGAATATTAAATATGTGCCTTCTATGGTAGATATACGTTTCAAGAGTAGATATGTATACGTTGATGTTGGTGCTCGAAGTTACGGGTCCAGTATTGGGAGTTGGTTCAAGAAAGAGTACCCTAAGCAGAACAAAACTTTTGATGTTTTCGCCATTGAGGCTGACAAAGCCTTTCATGAAGAGTATAAGATTAAGAAAAAGGTGAATCTATTGCCATACGCAGCATGGGTGAGGAACGAGACATTATCATTTGAGATAAATCACGATCCAGGAAAGGAAGCGGAAGCCAAAGCAAAGGGCAGGGGAATGGGCAGAATCCAGCCGGTTAAAAAGTCTTCCTCGAGCTCAAGCAGTGACTTAGCTGGAGAGGTCAATTTGATTCAAGGGTTTGATTTCGCTGACTGGTTGAAGAAGAGTGTGAGGGAGAGGGATTTTGTTGTGATGAAGATGGATGTGGAAGGAACCGAATTCGATCTGATCCCGAGGCTAATCAAGACAGGAGCGATTTGTCTAATCGACGAGTTGTTCCTTGAATGCCATTACAACAGGTGGCAGAGATGTTGTCCTGGTCAAAGGAGCCAAAAGTACAACAAGACTTATAACCAATGCTTAGAGCTCTTCACTTCGCTCAGACAAAGAGGGGTGCTTGTCCATCAGTGGTGGTAATGGTTAGGATGCTGCATAATCTCCTTCTTCTATGCTTGGGTGAATATCTTTTCACCAACTATAAAATGTACTTTCTTCTTCTAGAATATAAAACGGATATTGTAGGTTTCTATTAAAAATACGTTGTCTGTGCTGAAATTCCCTTTTACTGTAAGAAAAAAGAAGTTTAGCTTGAAATGGAAATTTGAGTTTCTTTTACCCTCGCAACTGTCTGTCACTCTTCTTAAAATTTTCTTGCTTCTGGTGTTCTCTGAATCCATTGTATATATGATCTAGTTTTGTAAGGATTTCTGCTTTCCTTGTCCTATATATATGGAGGAAGAACACAAGTTTGTTTTCTGTAATTTTGCCTCTTCTTAGATATTGTACTCCGGAAGAATGTTTCAAAGTGATCTTCTGCAAAGTCCGAGCCTATAAATAAATGGAGCAATGCAAATGCCTTGAATCAGGTATGTTCGTCTCTCCTTCGTTTTATCTTCATTAATAACGTTTTCTCAGGTTGATTTTATGCTAGAATTGAAGACTATGGTTTATTTAAGTAATCAATAGTTGTTTTCGGAATTTCGAGTCCTGGCATATAATTTATCTTCCTTATAAATTGAGCAATGCAAATGCCTTAACTTTAAGAAGATTGGTCAATCTGTTTTGTCTACTTGATATGAGAACTTAACAAAGAAACAGCCAATGGTTTATTTTAGTTTTGGTACTATAGTTTTTCCTGTTCGTTAGTGTTGGTTGTCGAAAGCAAGGCTATGATTTGGTGAAGGAGAAGTTAGTTTTTTGTGCTGTGGATTGTATAAAGAGTTAAAGGAGGAAAATCGATCAAGCCAGGTAGTTTTTTATTGGTAGTCTTTAGTATCCAATTATGGATAATCCCCTATGTAGATTTCAATCTATTCTTAGACAAAGAGAAAATAATAAACAAATCTTTCTCCATCCCTGATCTTTCTCTCTCCCTTTCTCTCTCTCTTCAGTTTTTTGTTCATGTGAAAAAACCCTTTTGACCTTTCCATTATAATTTTCAATTTAAGCTTCAACAAGAGAAAAATGGCATTTTGTGTTATTGTAATCTGTTGTTTGATCTAGCAATCATTCTTCTCATAAGGTTTCTTTCATGCTTGTCTGTTCTAGTTTCCCTTCTTTATCCTCCTTTCCTCTTCCTTTGACTTCGTTCCCCGATAAGGCCTTACAAGGTGATCCCATGGAAAGTTTTTATCTGGTTGTTTCATCTCTGCCCTGCTCTCCTCTCTTCAGTTACTTCTTCCAAAGAACATAGCCACACGTCGTGTTTCCAGAAATTTCCTGTTGGTTTTTGTTTCTTGTTGTGTACCAGTCTCTTGCAGTCTAAATGGGGGTCTGTTGTAGCAAGGGCACAGGGATAATTGTGGAGCATGGCACGGATGATAGTAATGAATATGGAAACGGAGAAGCTGAGGTTAGGGACACAAATGATGGAGCTGTTGTAAGGACGCGTGGATCATCCAAACACGTTTCCATGTCAATCAAACAAGGGAAAAAAGGAATAAATCAAGACGCCATGACAGTCTGGGAGGTAAGAGTTTTAACATTTTTTTTCCTGTTGGGCCATTTCATATTTTTCTTGTTCTCTTGGTTCGGTTTCAGGCGCTAGCATTTGTGGCCATTACTGCTTTGTTTTCTTATTTTCCTGCTATTACATGGGATTTTACATATTGATGCTGCCTCTCTTAAGGCAATGACCAATCATATCCGCATCATAACCTTTGCTGCAGAACTTTGGTGGGGAGGAAGATATGATCTTTTGCGGTGTATTTGACGGTCACGGTCCCATGGGTCACAAGATTTCTCGTCACGTATGTGAAAATTTACCTTCGAGGGTCCATTCGAAAATTAGATCTTCCAAATCTGGCGGCAATGAAAACGTAGAGAATAATAGTTCACAGAGTCAGGAGGAACTCTTCCGTGAATTTGAGGACATTCTAGTGACATTCTTCAAGCAAATAGATAGTGAACTTGGTCTCGACTCTCCTTATGATAGTTTTTGCAGCGGTACAACTGCTGTAACTGTCTTTAAACAGGTAAATCAGCAGTCTCTTAAGCTTTATAAGTTTTTCAAGACAGTTGATCAAAAGAGATTGAAATATGTTTTGTCAAACATTTGCAGGCTGACTGTTTGGTGATCGCCAACTTAGGAGATTCACGAGCCGTTCTTGGCACCCGAAGCAAGAACAGTTTCAAAGCTGTCCAACTCACGGTTGATCTGAAACCCTGTGTCCAACGTTAGTATCTTATCCTTTTCTTTTAACTTAGGGCTTAATACCTCTTTGAAAAGTACCAAATGTTGAGTTGGGACGTATAAATAAATCTCCTGAAGAACTTTTTGTTTATATTTCTATTAACAGGCGAAGCAGAGAGAATAGTGGCATGCAAGGGAAGGGTGTTTGCTATGGAGGAGGAACCCGAGGTGTATAGAGTGTGGATGCCTGATGATGATTGCCCGGGGCTCGCAATGTCAAGGGCGTTTGGTGATTTCTGCCTCAAAGACTATGGACTTGTCTGCATTCCTGACGTCTTCTGCAGAAAAGTCAGCAGAGAAGACGAGTTTGTGGTTCTAGCTACTGATGGGGTAAACAACTTGTACAGCTTTCAGTCTTCTAACAAATGCATTCCCTACTAAATGGTTTCTGCGTGTTTTTTGGTGAACAGATTTGGGATGTTTTGTCAAACGAAGAAGTGGTGAAAGTTGTAGGTTCCTGCAAGGACCGGACAATTGCAGCTGAGACGTTGGTTCAGCGAGCCGCTCGGACTTGGAGAACAAAGTTTCCAGCCTCTAAAGCTGATGACTGTGCGGTGGTGGTCCTTTACCTAAACCACCGGCCTTACCCAAGAGAAGGAAATGTGAGCCGAGCAATATCGACCATTTCCTGGAGATCAAATAAGAGCAATAACGAGTGTTATGGAGTCGCACCATTGGGTCTACCCCAAAGGGTTTCATAGTAGGATCATTGTTATTGTTGTTGTTGTTTCAAACTGTTTAGTAAAATTTGAACCTGTTGACGTGTGTGGATACTACTCAACATCAACTTTATTTGTGTGTGAAATAATTTTGTGTTCTGTTTGTTTTTTGAAGCAATTGAAAAGAAAAAAAGAGTAGACAAACAAATTTTCAACCTCACAGTTGTTCAAGATTCTTAAGTTCTTTTCTCAGCAAATTCAATAACCTGAATAGCTTTATCTTAAAACGAAAAAGTAAAGATGGTAGTTACTTTAAAAAAAAAATTATTGAATAAAATCTCTTTAACACAAAGATGGTTGCAACTTGCAAGTCAGAAACACTAACATTTCAGTGATGTATGGTAATTTTTGTGTTAATTCTCTATCATCGTGGAAGGATTTGAAAGAAAGGAGTAACAAGAGAGATTCTTGCATGGTAGTATTTTTTTGAAAAACTTTTTTGTATATAAGAAGACATTAACATTCTACAAAAGGCTGTACAAATCCATAAAATCGGGGAACGAAAACGAGATAAACCGTCACTGCTCTCATTGCTGGACCGCGAGAACCGAAACAGAGAGCTCGAGATCTTTGGAGATCAACACATCTCCAATCTCTCCTAACTCCTTCATATCGCTCCATTCTGACAATCCTTCCAACATCAAGAGATTCTCTTCGTGTCTTATCCCGACCATCATCAGATCGAAGTCGTCTCCTTCCTTCCTTAGTAGATCCAATAGATCCACTGCTTCCTCTATTCTTACCTTTAAGAATGTCAGAAACAGGGGAACAAGTTATGATAGGTTAGATAAAGACAACCTCTGTTTTCGTCTAAACAAGAAATTTTCTAAACCGAATAGAAAACTCTGTTGCATAGAGAAGGTTTCGTCTAAAGGGAAATAAGATAACTTCCAAGTCAAGGCAAAAAGGGTTCTCATAATATTAGTTATTATTACCTCTCTGAAGATGATGTTTTTCTTGGAATTTTCTTTGCGGAAGACGTTGATGACTCTCATGTCGTGGTTCCTCTCGACCATGTCTCTGAGCGGAGAGACGCCGTTCTGGTCCACGAGCCGGAAGACATGGAGCTCGACGCTTGGATGGCTGGCTAAGCGTGTTGCATACGCAAGCATTTCACGGTCATCTGGTCCTCCTAAGAAGATAGCACAGATATTGATGGTAAGCTTTTTCAGTGGAACGAACCTGAAATCTGGAAGCCTTCCTCTGTCTATGAAAAGGGCAACGGAGCAGGGACAGTTTTGCACGAGATTACGACACAGGAGCCTCTCCCATGACTCTATCCCGGCATCAAGAGTTAGGATCACAATATCTGTTTCCTGGTCAAAGGCAATCGCACACACGTCCTCGTGCATCGTCTTTCGCGGCGCCACTGCCGTGAAGCACTCTATCAACACGGTCTCCTGATTAGTCTTCTCGAAGTTGTGGAAGGCCTTAACAATCTGGTCTCTTCGGCTAGGCACGATGAAGGGACTAATCTCTTGCGTGTGATGAATAAGGAGAGGAAGACTATGGTTATTAAGCTCTTCTAGATTCACAGCGAAGACTGAGAGAGGAGACCCGATGGCTGGACGAGAGAGTTCGACGAGGTCAAGCACCGGGCGGACCGCCTCACGGTTCCGGAAACAAGTGAGGATCCTTAGCGGAGCCTCCACTCGGCAGTGCTGCACCGTACGTCTCTTGTATGGGTTGCGTTTGCTCATGGTTTGATACAGTTTCTTCACTATCACTATGACAATTGTTGAGTTTACCGTTGCTGACATCACCATTGCTCCAAAAGATTTGCTTGATATTTTCTGCACCCCTTGGCCATTATTGATTGTTATTGACCTAAAATCATATATGTTCCAAAGTACTAAATGAATTATTATTATTTTTACCGTGTAATTGAGATTCTGTTTGTATATTTGAACGTCGTAAAGTCCTTGGATATTGACGATAAACCCGACAAGAATGGCCTGCCAAAGAGGCACATTATAGTAAAGGGAAGGCAAGGCAATGGCTATCATTTTGGCAACCCTGACCACACCAAAAAGTAGCTCAAACCGGATAACATCTCTCCAGGAAAACAGTGAGAGATCGATATTATAGCCAATCCCAATGACGTAGCAAGGCATCAGGACAGACCAAACAAAACAACCGATTTTGTCTGACAGTCCCGTGCCTAGAGGCGGACGTTTTGGGGTGGCTAGACCTAAGACGACCGCACCAAAGAAGTAAGGTAAACCAACAAATTCAGCCCAGAGACTGGAGATGAAGAGCAAGACGCATATAACGGAGAGATAGGAGGCCTTGAGAGAGTGTCCTTCTGGTGTTCGATTCTTCATCCACTTCATTATTGGTCGGAACACAAATATTATTGCCAGTATCATTAGCATCTGCATTCATTTCCGACTTTATATCATCAATAAAAAGTGTATATATATAGATCAAAGCAAATTTATACGTAAATATTATTGGATTCATGCATTTTATTAGGATGTTACTTTGTCTATTTTTGTAGAAATTTATACAGTCAATTATATTTTTTATTAAGAAAATTGGAAGATATATATTCCAAAGTGAAGTTTGTAGATTAACTAAGAAAAAATTTATGTCAACTTGGTTACCTGTAAAACGGACAAGAAAGCAGCGCGATTTTTATTGGGTAAGTCAACATTAAGTTTAATGGCGATGTTAAGCATGAAAAAACACCATGAGAGGCAGTCATGCACCATCATGGAGGCAAGTGCTAACCTCCCTGGCTCAGTGTTCAACATCTTTAGGCTCGACAAGACTCCATAAACCACCTGAAAAAACATTGTGGATTCGACGATCGCTATGTGGTGGAACTCCACGGGAGGGATCCCCGCTGGCCCGCCTCCGAGCCTCTTGGAGATCAAGATGGCTGCGAATTGGCCCCATACGAAAGGTATGAGGAAAAGTAAGATGCCGTTTATGAATGCTAACTTGCCTACTCTCTTTATCATCCTAGTGTCTACTTGACATGTTGTAATGTAGCAAATGAAGAGAAAACATATGGCCTCGAAGGATTCGATTATGTACACGCTTCTCGTGTAGAAAAATGTAGACATGTACTGTTTGTTACGTCCTATAACGGACGGTCCTAAGAAGATCCCAGCCTGCAAACAAAATCATTGTTAATTAAGTCACACATTTACATCATTAGCTGCTACATGTTTAATTTTGAGATTAGTCCATATTTTTCACTAGAAAATTTCCAGTCAAGAAAAATGTGATAAAAAGCATAGACGATTAGATATGGAAAGGTATACCAGCATCTGAGTGAGGAATGCAAATTTTCCGAAAGGCCGGAGAAAAAACTGAAGAGATACGGAAAATATGGTAAAGACAGATATCTGAAGGAGAAGAAGAGGAAGAGCAAACTTGAGCGGATTCTCTCCCCGGCCAATCCCCAAGGAACCTGCACCTACCCATGGCTCGCAAAGCCATTCGACTCCTCCGTACTGAAAAGTTTTGGTGATATTTTCCATTTTCTCCTTCTAGGTATTTCCCTAAAGAGTCAATCCATAGAGGGAGATAGAGAGATTGTATGAGCTGAAGAAGAAAGTATGATTATTCTTTATTTTTTTGCTCTCTCTAGCTATATTTAGGGGTTTAATTGTAGATGTTGTTTATCCTCTTGTTCCTTATTTCTCTTTAGAGGTCATCCTACTTTTAAGGTTTCCTATATATGTTTCTATGTGTGGTACATAAATCATGAGCATTGTCAGATGATCATTATAGCTTGAGATTGATTGCCACAAACATGTGTGTGTTGTGTAATATATATATTTGCATGTTGATGTTATAATAATCAACCTAGCTAGTAAATCCATGAAGTTAGATCTCTAACAAAATAATAAGTTAGGTCAAATTAAGGGCTTAGTAACCAGTAAAAATACCCATAACAAAAAAAAAATGGAGAAAAAATACCCAAAATTAAATATGCGAAAGAAATTTCATTTTTCCTATTTTTTCTCTTACGGTTATAAAGTCAACACAAATTCCTTGAAAAAACAACAAAAACTGTTTGAAATCTTAAAAAAGTAACATGTATCTTCTTCCCCAGCTCAAGCTTGATCTGTTTGCTCAGTTAGTTAACATTATGCTGAATACAAAAACACAAACAAAAATGGTTATAAAGAAGAACATTAATACTAGTTTAAAAAAAAAAATCTCAAAGAAAAAAAAGATGAACAATAGTGTTAGAAATGGAACACATGAATTTGTATGTGAGGCATGGTTGGGTTCAAGCTCTGGCGGATTACTTAGAGGAGATGATCCATTGAAATATTCGACTCCTCTTCTTCTTCTTCTCATTTCTCTCGTCTCTTCTCTCTCTTCCGTCTTCCAAGCTCTTCTCCGTCCTCTCGCTAATGTCGACTTTGTCACTCAAATTCTGGTATATATTTAACATTTTTCCACGCCATTTTACGTGTTTTTTTTAAGAAGGTTACATTTCAAGGCTTTTGTAGATGGAACATAAAAAAAGGTTTAAACTATATAAGTGATACATTTGTTAATATATATGAAACAGGCTGGGATATTCTTAGGCCCCTCGGCTTTGGGACAGAACATTGATTTGGTAACAAAATTCTTCAACACAAGAAGCTTTTTCATAATAGAATCATTTGAGGCAATCTCCTTCATGTTCATCTCATACATAAGCACAGCTCAAGTGGACATGGGAGTTATAAAGCGAGGAGGCAAGCTCGCAATCATCAATGGTTTCTCTCTTTTTCTGTTTCCCTATGTGGTGGGCGCCATAGCTTGTACAGTAATCACGAGCAACATCCATGGAACCGTGGCGAAAAATAAGCCCGAGCAGCTCCATGATTTACTGACAAACCAATCTGTAGTGTATTTTCAAGTGGCGTATTCGGTTTTGTCGAATCTCAAGATGCTAAACTCGGAGCCGGGAAGGTTAGCCCTATCCTCCATAATGGTGGCTAACTGCTTCGGCTGGGGTTTTTTCCTCCTTTTAATTACCTTTAACAGTTTCTTGCAACACAATTATTCCAAGGCCACTTATATGCCTACCTTCACAAAGGTACTACTGCTCGTTGGTATAGTAGTTGTGTGCCGACCAATATTCAACTGGATAGTGAAGAGAACACCTGAAGGAAAGAAACTGAAGGCTTCCCATCTATGCACCATCTGCGTCATGTTGTGCACCGCTACTTTCCTGGCTGAAACCGTAGGGTTTCCTTACATAGTCGGATCCGTAGCTCTTGGTCTTGTCACTCCAAAGACGCCTCCTCTCGGTACTGGTCTCACAGACAAGATCGGTAGCTTCTGTTATGCGGTTCTTATGCCGTGTTACGTCATTGGGATTGGTAACAAAGTCGATTTCTTTTCATTCCATCTACGCGACGTCATAAGTTTGGAGTTGCTTTTCCTTACCATTAGTTCTGCAAAGTTTGCCTCCATCCTCCTTCCATCTCTTTACTTCAAAGTTCCTTTATCACACGCCGTGATTGTCGGGTTCATCGTCTGCATACAAGGGATCTATGATGTCCAAATCTTCAAACAGCTGTTGAACTACAAGGTACAATTTATTTAGTACACAGAAATATCATTCATCGTCAATTAGTTCTGACTTTTAAGTATTGTTTTAAGAGATGCAGAATATAAGCCAGGAAGCATTTGGGATAATGGTGATCTCTGCCATGGTTCACTCGACCATTTTCTCGACCATAGTCAAAAACCTTCACGGCTGGGTGCAGCGGAAACACATCACTTATCGGCGACAAACCGTTCAGCACTACGCACCGAACAGTCCTCTCAAGATCCTCACTTGTTTCTACCACCGCGAAAGCGTTCCTTCCATCCTCACCGTCTTGGAGCTCTCTTCTTGTATGTCAAGCGCCTCTTCGCTCTCCATTGTTTCCGTCAATCTCGAAGAGCTTGAGCGCCATAACGTCCCTCTTCTTATTCAACACCATTCAGGTCCCATCGACCATGCTGGTCACAACGACGAGTCGTCAATATCCTCCAGCCGCAGAGATCAGATCTCCAAAGCCTTCGAGAAATTTCAAAGCGGACACGATTTGCAAGAAAACGTTTCGGTCGAATGTTTCACAGCAGTTGCACCGAGCAAGACGATGCACGAGGACGTATGTACCTTGGCCTTTGACAAAGGAACCGATCTCATCATTATCGGGATTGAGGACGGGACTGCAGCAGAACGAAGGCTCTGTCGCAACGTCCTGAATGTCTCACCTTGCTCCGTTGCGGTTCTAATGGACCAAGGACGGCTTCCAGATTTCAAGAACATGGGAACCACGATGAAGAACGGCTCAATGAGAATCAACGTCTGTTCGATATTCCTCGGTGGAGCAGACGACCGTGAGACGCTGGCGTTTGCGGTTAGGTTGTCAAACCACCCTTGCGTAAACCTAACCGTTCTTAAACTTGTCGACGGAGAAAACGTCTCACACCTAAACGACGTCATAGAGAGAAGACTCGATTTCAGAACCATGGAAAAATTCCGTCAAGACACCATGAACAAACACAATGTCTCTTTACGAGAGGTAAAATATAAACACGAAGCGACCTTTATCTCCGGTTTTCACATACCAGATTAGTTTAACCGTTCATTTTGATCTTAGGTATGGATAAAGGAAGCGAGTGATCTGGTGAACCTACTGAGAGAAGAAGGTAACAATTACGATTTGATAATGGTTGGAATCAGACACGAAGAAAGTTTTCAAGTGCTTCAAGGATTATCGGTATGGAGTGAGATCGAGGAGCTTGGAGAGATCGGAGATCTGCTCGTTTCCAGTGATCTCAAGCTCACTGCATCGGTTTTGGCTGTACAACAACAACTCTCCTCCGTCGTCGAGGAGGCTTAATGGCATAGAGCATTTGTAATGTTTTTACAGCTTTAGGAGTTGCAAGAGACTGCTTTCTTTTATTAGAGACTGTACATTCGATATTTTACAACAAACACCTTACATGATTTTACTTTGATTCTCGGGTTCGATTAATCTTCATGGTCCCATAGATCAGCCACACTACGGAATGGACCTTCGGTCTTGTTGACGAAGATATCCTCACCATCCATCACTCGTTTCTGCATCAGAGGCCAAAGAACAAACAAGACCCAAAGTGTGAACAAAGGATCAAAACAGAGTCAATAAGCTGAAAACATTATTAGTTTTCTCTTGCAAAAACACAAGAAGCAGAGAAGTGCTCTGTTCATTAACTCTGTTCTGTACCTCACTACTCACTACTCACTACTATAACAAGAACTCAGGAAGCAGAGAAGACAAACAAGTGCTCTATTTCTCAGTAACAGAAATAACGGTGATTCCTAACCAAAAATAAACTGATTGTCCTATTAAAGCAGTAACTACCAAGCAATTACTATTGCTGTGACAAATCATTGTAAGATTTTGGTTGGTAAATTGGTAAGTTTACCTGGTCAGTAATGCTGTTGAGAGCTTGGAAGTCTTGTTCAGGGATCACCCAATCAAACACTTTGATGTTCTCTTTGATCCTCTCTGGATTCAGTGACTTAGGGATGACACTTGTTCCTCTCTGCAAACCCCATTTCACTAGAACCTGTCCCGGTGTCTTATTCAGCTTCTTCGCTATTCTATCCACCGTCTGATCATGTATCAGATCTCTCCCACCTTCTTGAGATCCCAACGGCGAATATGCCTTCAAGGTTCCAATCATGAATATAAGATCACATCAGATTTATTCAACTTAAGCAGTGAATATTTGTCTCCAGAGACATGAACCAAGAATCATATTAGTATACTTAACAGTAACATGGATCTCATTCTTCTTGCAGAATTCGAGCATTGTATCGTTTCTCCAACCAGGATGCATTTCCATCTGAGGCCCAAGATAACAAACTCAATACATAAGATTTTGATGAACTTTCACAAGTGATATGAAGAACCTATACCTGGCAAACGGAAGGGATCAATTCAGCAAATCCTAGCAGCTTATTGAGCTTAGTGACTGTAAAGTTACAGACACCGATAGTCCTGACAAGATTGTCCTTGACAAGATTCTCCATTTCTCTCCAAACTCCTTCCATGTCAAAGTCAAGAACGTCTCCTGCCTTTGGTGGCTTACTGGCTCCTTCTCTTAGCCGGAAAGGCCAGTGAATCTGCACAAAACTGAATTGTAAAGAAAGGATGAACAGTAAAAATAAAGACTAATATTTGATTCACAACATACCAAGTATAGATCAAGGTACTCTAATTGAAGCTCTTTAAGGGTGTTTTGCAGACCAGGACGCACTCTCTCAGGAGATAACTCAGTGCACCTATTGTTTAAACATGTATCAAAGATCTTAAAAAAAAAACATTTACTAATGGCGACGATAAAATCAATCATTTTTCTTAGAAAATGTTTACCAAAGCTTCGACGTCACAAAGAGGTCCCTCCTTTCAAGGCCAGCGTGCATCGCCCTCTTTATTCCTTGACCGATCTTAAAAAGAGTAGAACACTTGTTTACATATAAACTCAAAACTTTCAGACAAAACAAGTACATGTAACAAAGAGAGAGAGAGAGATAGACCTCTCTCTGATCACCATACTCCCAAGCTGTATCTATGTGCCTATAGCCACCCTGCAAACTCAATGGAAGAGTATTTTACTAGTCAATAACAAGCAAGCTCTGCGTTAATTGATTAACTAAGCTTAAAACAAAACTGAACCAAAACTATGGTTTGAAGGAATCAGGAAAAAGAAACCACTGATTCTTGTAAAGACGAATCACCTCGACGAGTGCAGTGACAACGGCGTGGGTGGCCTGAGACCCAGATCGCCACGTGCCGAGTCCAACGGCTGGGATTTTGTGGCCGCTCAAGAGCCGAAACGACTCCATATTCTGACCTTCCGACGTAAACGTGGCATGTGCCATTATTGGCTTCTCCTCCTTGCCTCTTTGTCTCTCCGGTCTCGTCTCGTCTCTTATACACTGCTAAAGCCCTAGTCAGGCAGATTATACAACGCAACGTGGCAGATTACGTATGGGAAAGGATTTACACGCGGCGGCTGTCGGCGGAAGACAACCATCGAGGAGCCGCGTGTCTGTGACCAGTGTGCCAACCCATTATCCCACATCTCTCCAGCTTCATTGTTTAATTTTAGTACAGAGAGATTAAAACTGACTTTTTTGTTGACCAATTTTACATTTGTTATCTGCTTGGTCCGGTCCTGGTTATGTGTTTCCGTGGACCGGTCCAAATTTGAACATACAATAATAGTGAGGGATTTAAATCCGGTCTTGTTTGGTTTCGTGTTTCTGCGGACCGGTCAAGTTTCTTTTCCAAGTTTGCAGTAACTCTGGTCAAGTTCAATCCTAACATAAAAAACTCGATCGAATTTTCCTTTACTTTAGATTTTTAGAGTTTCACCGAAACGCCAAACCAATTTTGAATGGGATTTTACATTGAAAAATTCTTGCAGTCACATCATAGATTCATAGATAAAGAAGCATTCGAATTTCGAGCCTAAAGGCTTCCATCGTCATTATTGCATAAATTGTTTTCCTAAAAAAAAATGCTTCTGTCTTAAACAATATAATAAGAGTTTACAATAGTTTATGCTTGGAATGATCTTTACTCATGATGCTAATTTTTTTCGTTCTAAATAGTAAAATACTTTTAAAAATTCTTATTTACGATCAAAATAAGTTTAAATAATAAACGAGTTTGTAATATGTGAGAACAACTTAACTATTGAGAAAACCCTATTTTCATAAAATCTTGGTAGGTTGTTGGTGCCTAGCCCGGTACTTAGGCATATGGAGTTCAACTCACGTATGGACAGGCCCGGCCCGCCACCAATTTTAATGAAACAAAAGTATTGGGTCTCCAGAATTTTTGAAATTTTTAGTATCAAATGAGGCCCCAAAAAAATCTATTATTTCAAAATATAGACCTCATTTTTCTAAACTTTTCAGATTTAGTCTCTAACTTTTAAGTTTTATCTATTTTTTATTGCAAAATAGACCCCATTTTTTATAAAGTTTTTAGATTTGATCCCAAATTTTCATATTTTTCTACAAAATCCATCGAAAATTTTTGTTTTGTATCGGGCCCCATATGTTACAGGGCCGGTACTGCGTATGGAGTATGGAGCTCGATGGGTATGGAGTTCAAAATCATACACACTTTGACACTTTAACTCATGTATCCACCGATCAGCATTTCATCAATGAGCAGTGAAAATAGATGTCTCAATCTATTTTATTATCAATCAAAATATTATCATAAGAAAACGGGAGAGAACATAAACATTCATTCTCTCAAGTCTCAACTACCACTAAGTACATTTACATATCTTCGTAAAAAATTTACTGTCTGGCTTATGCATGTCCACATCTATGTCAACTTCAATCTAAAAAGGGTAAAAGTATAAAAGAGGAAGATGCGTCTCCTTTTTCATTTGTTTGATAGAATTTTATTAGTATAGCTTTCACGGTTTACATTTTTCCATCTTTTGTTAGCTAATGTCTCACTTCATTAATATCACCCACCCATAAATTTCGTCTGAGACTAAAACAATATTTTACGAACAAAAGAAACAATATTCTTATTAGTTTATGATGATCATGCCTATGTTAAAAAAGTCTATTGTATTTTTATGTTTGCATGCCATGATTTGACAACACATGATTTTTTAAAGATAATATTATATTTAGTTTCCTTTTATATGACTAATTATTGTTTTCCTCTCAAAATTTTATCGAGGAAATTCATTGTTACGCGAATTTCATATGCAAAAGATATATTTTTTAATTTTTTGCCAGCATGCAAAAGAGAAGTTATTAGAACTGTTTTTCTTAAAAAAATTATTATGCGTCGATGTCCATTTTTCTTAGAAGGTTAAATAACTAATTGTAAACAGTTAAAATTTATTGTAGAAAAACTGAAAATGAAGAAAAATGTATAGTATTAGAAAAGCAGAAGAAATAAAAAAAAAGAAGGTATATTTAAAATTTGCAGCTTAAATAAAGGCTCTCAAAATTCCGACGCTCAGTTTCCGTCGCTCCTCCGGGCTTGTCATCGTCTTTCCATTGCCATCACTCATGGTCTAAACTTCTTCTCTCTCCCCGAGACCTCGTCTTCTTCGATTTCTCACCGCTCTGACTCAAGTAAGACGCGTCCCCCGAAAAAACTTGTCTGTTGATTCCAAGTTCAGTGAGCATTTAGGTTTCAATCGTTGCCTTTTTTTTTTTTTTTTATCGCATGGTTCTTAGCGTGTTATTGATTTCTCGAGGAGTTGAGATGTAATGTTGGATTTCGTTGTGTAGGATTGTTCTCTGCGCTTTTGTTTCAAAAGAATTATCTGTTTGTTGATTTCCACCTGGTTGGGTTTTGTGTGTTTAGTTCTGTGGCTTCTTCGTTAGCTGACTGAAGTTGTATACATTTGTGTATCGTGTTTTGAATGTCTGTCCATCATGGGAATTTCTTCGTGATTTTGTAATTTCACATCAATGGCTGCCTCAAGCTAAATGTACTTCAGTGTATTGATAATGCACACCATCTGTTTGAAGGTTTTCCTCCTCCTGTTATCTACTTAGTAAAACCGTATGAAATCTTGAGACTGTTTTCTGTCTTGATTATATGCTTTATAAGAAGGTTGGCACGCACAATAAGACCCGTTTCAATAATTGCAAGGACTGGATTTGTTGTTACACTTAGGTGTGAATCGTTTGACATTCTATTCTTTTACCCAATGAATGACAGGATGGCTCAAAGGAAGGGAAAATTTTCATTCAGAAACCTGACGAAAAGTCAACTAGGTGGTGTTGTATTTGGCTGCACAAAAAATACCATCAAAGAGTGTTTGTCGAAGCAGCTGTTTGGTGAGTCTTCTTGAAAAGCTTATTATCCTCCCATGCTTGTTTCTGCTTCTTCTGAATAGCCTTTTTCGAATCCGCTGATGGTTTTGACAGGTTTACCCTATAACCACATTCCATACGTGCAGAAGATTGATACTGGTTTGCCATTGTTTCTTTTCAACTATTCTGATCGTACTCTTCATGGCATTTTTGAGGCTGCTGGTCCTGGTCAGCTGAATATTGACCCTTATGGCTGGACCTCTGATGGTTCTGATAGAACCTCATATCCTGCACAGGTACCAGAGTGAGATTTGATCACTTTCATGAATATGTTTTTCTACGATACATTGGATTACATACGGTTTTCAGGAGGCATACCCCTTGCCAACCTTTTCCATAAGCAGTATAAATTTCATGAAATTTGTAATGGTCTTTTACGGTTTCGCAGGTTCAAATCAGTGTGAGGTTACAGTGTGAACCACTTTCCGAGGAAAAATTCAAACCTGCAATTGCAGATAATTACTACAGTTCTCACCATTTTTGGTTCGAGCTTGATCATTTCCAAACAAGTAAGTTGACATGTCTGCTAACATCTTTTGCTGTGAAACCTAAACCACCCATGAATACACCAAACACAAGACAGATCTTTCACTTGATTTCATCAAATGAAAAGAAAGAGAACAGTGATGAGGTTAAGCCTTCTGAGAATGAACCAGTGGGTAGCTGGGAAGTGGCACTCAGTTCTGGCAAAGAATCTGAATCCTCTGCTGCGGCTTCTCATCCTGGTTTCTCTGAGAACCATCCAGACGTACAGAACCCCAAACAAATTGAGAAGGATTATGTTCTTGAGAAACTGAAGGATCTCTCCTTTGGTCATGATGAGCATGGAGACAATAGTCTAACTGAAACTGTTGAACAAGCCAACATTCCCACCTGCAAGAACTTGGAAGACAGAGATACACTTGAAGAGGAAACATGTTCAGAGGGGAAAAAAGATGGCAGTTCTCTTGTATCCTCTCCTCTTCCACATACAATAAGCCAGGTATGTTGGTATCTACATATGGTTGGTACTTATTCACACTAGGTCTCCAGTTATAATACTTACAGTGTTACTTCCTATACAAGTCTATGTGTAAATCTGTTAAGAGTCAACACTTTCTCCTTTATTTATTCTCGGAACCAACGACAAACAGAACCCCCAATTTTCTCAGCCAAGATATCCAAGTTTTAGGCAACCTCACGTCTGTCCCCCCTCCTACTTATACCCATCTGAGCTGTCAATTATCAACTGTGTAGAACTCTTTGTATTAGCTATAATATTGCAGGAATAGTTAAGAAGAAACTGCTCCATGTCAGCTTGCTTCTCTTCCAAAAACTACGATCTATAGTTAATTGAGACTTTTAATTCCGTCTCAGAAGATTATCATGTCTATTGGGTGTATCAAAATCAGTGGGATCATATTGCATTAATATATATCTTTTGCAGTTGATGCACGAGGTGAAGGAACTCAGGGCATACGGGCTGGAAAATTCAACCAAGATATGTTACTTGGAGGAGAAGCTGGTAAGATTTTGTTTAATGCTATTTTGGATTTTCATTCTTCCTGCTGGAATTCTGTTTGCATCTGTAATATGACCACACAAACACACACTCATCATATCAGTAATAATGATCCTCTGTCATTTTCAGCTAGGTGTTCATCTCAGTATCATTTGCTCTTGTTTTTGGAACCCATAAGCTCAAAATTTAGTGGTGGAAAAACCATGACACTTTTATTTTTCGATATTTGGTATTTCAGGACGAAGCACACAAGGAAATTTATAGATTGAGAGAGCGTTGCAACATGCTGGAGTCCATATCAGGTCCTTTAATCACAAAAGCTGGTGGTAGTGATATGGAGATCCATTCACCAGATGATTCCAGCTTAGATCCAACTGAGGCAATTCTTCTTTTAGGGGGATTTGAGAAAGACTCTGAAACATGGTTGTCATCAGTGCAGTCATATTTTCCATCCAGGAATGTTGTAAAGGCTCATAGTTCAATGAGCTGTATCCGTTCAAATGCATCAGTGGCAAAATTGGATGGTAAAATTTACGTCTTTGGAGGTGATGACGGTGGCCGTGGCTGGACCAACACAGGTACGGCCTCTCTTTTCTTTCTCTTGTTTCTTAAAATGTGTTAACTATTTAGTGCATTAGAGCCTGTATACGATTCATATATAAACCTTCCAGATTTTCTTAACTGACAACTAAAAGAACTAGAAAACTAAATGGCATAAGCATACTACTGTGACTTTCAGCAAATTACTAAACCAAATGGCTCTAGAACTTTTAGCAAATTGTGAAGTGAGGTGTATTGATTTCATGCACTTCACTTCGGCTGTGCATATTTTAAGTTAATGTCCACCACTCCACACTTCTTTTTCTCTCTAACCATAATTATTTAAGCCTGATCTTTGATTTCTGTTTTGCCTCTTCTTTTTTTTTCTGTTGAAGCTGAATCATATAACGAGACTGATGGCCAGTGGAGCTGGTGCCCCCCCTTAAACGAGCGTAAAGGAAGTTTAGGTGGAGCCACTTTGGATGGAAAAATATTTGCAATCGGAGGTGGGAATGGGATGGTATCTTTTTCAGATGTTGAGATGCTTGATCCAGATATAGGTAGATGGATCAGAACAAGGTCAATGGGGCAGGAGGTAAACGTTCTTCTCTATTCGCATGACATGACCTTTTCTTCGGCTTTATTCTCTGAGTTATCACTGTTCTTTGATCTCAGAGATTTGCAGTTGCGTCCGTGGAGCATAAAGGTTCGATTTATGCTGTCGGTGGTTTTGATGGTAAAGCGTACCTGAAGTAAGAACATTTAAGCCTTCTGTTCTATTTATTCCCCCTAATCTTGACACCTGTGAAGCTAACAAGAACAAATTTATTGGAAACTTACTTTTAACAGCACAGCTGAAAGGTTTGATCCTAGAGAGCACTCCTGGATGAATATTACATCGATGAAGTCAAGAAGAGGCTGCCATTCTCTTGTTGTTCTGAACGAAAAACTGTAAGTTTCTTCTCCCTATTTTTTTTCTTCTTTGATAGTAACAAGCACACGGGGAAAATGGAAAGTGAGATGATCTATTCAACAATATATAGGCTCTACTGACTAGAAATGTTAATTACATTTTGAATGATAAAACAATTAATCGAATAACAAAGTAATCTGCAACATTCACTCACTAACATGCATGTTTCCGTTTACATGTGACAATCAACGAAGAAATTCTGGTTAAGATGTTAAAGGTTGTCTTCATTTTCACTTTTTTGCAGATATGCGATTGGTGGGTTTGATGGTGAGACAATGGTCTCGAGTGTTGAGATATATGAGCCAAGAACAGGGACATGGATGACAGGAGAACCAATGAAGGATTTAAGAGGATATTCAGCAGTGGCAGTGGTTAAAGACACGATATATGTCATCGGAGGATACAAAGGGGAAGAGGATGACATATTAGACACTGTACGATCAGTTCTGAACTTGAAATAAAAGTAAAACAATTTACATGACCAGACACGGTTTAATCTTTGATCATGTGTGTGTTTACAGGTAGAGTGTTTCAAGGAAGGTGAAGGATGGAAAAATGTGCCTTGTTCCTCGATCGGTAGGCGTTGCTTTCTATCTGCAGTGGCTTTGTAAATGGAGAAACTTTGAAGCTATTGTTTTTTGGTGGCCAAGTCATGAGAGACAGAGAGCTCATTCATATGCCTTAAGGAACTAGGAGGCATTAATTTTGGGGAAAGAGTTTCCCTTTATGAAGTAGAACCAAAATGGAAATATCGATTTACTATTAAAAAAACCTTGGTAACCAATTCGGTTCGTTCAAGTTCAATTGGCACCCAATTTATTAGCCGTAGAATTATTATAATAGCCAGTGAGCAAAAAAGAATGTATCAAAATTCCATAAGCCTAGACTGCCTAGTCATATAAAAAGAGAGCAAACGCAACATTTCAGGAAAATATAGTAAAGCAATCTACGATAAGAGGAATCAATGATGGACTTAAGCTTGTAGGCTTGCTTCTCCTTCTTTTTTCTCCCACCACCACCTTCTCACAAACAAGAGTGTTAAACGAACCCCTGGAAAACGTACGACTACTAATTAGATACAAGTCAAGTCAACGTCACAAATAAAATAAAAAGGTATCAGGAAGATAATAATAAGAAATTGCGTTTGAAGAATTTACGATACGAGAGAAAGCAACCTAAAAACAATGGGCTTGGGCCGAAGCGAATAAAAAAAGGCTTCAAGGATAGAAGGGGAAATTCCAGGGTGCTCTTACTTACACTCTTTATCCGCAAATTGGCATCGAGTGATAGAGGAAAGAAGAAGAAGAAAAAGAAGAAGAAGAAGAAGAAGAAAATGCCGTGCCTCAACCTCTCCACCAACGTTAACCTTGACGGCGTCAATACATCTTCCATTCTCTCGGAAGCTTCCTCCACCGTCGCCAAAATCATCGGCAAGCCTGAGAACGTAATCTCTCTTTCTCTCTCGTTTTAACCTTTAATTCGTTTCCTTGTATTCGAATTTTGTTTTCTCCTGAGATTTGCCTTGTGTGCGTGTTCATCTCTTAATCGTTTTTAGCGATTCGAGTGTTGTTTTCTTCACATGCATGATACTGAAACCCTAAGCAATTTTAGCCCGTTGGTTCTCTTCTATTTTAGTGGTTCACATTTCCGGTTGCAATGGTATTCAATTGGGATTTTGGGGTTCTTCTTTTGCTCAAGTTTGTTTTCAATTGAAGATTGCTTGGTTTATGTTGATGTTTAAATCTTTTTGTCCTGTGATGTTTTTTCAGATCATTATCTGATTGCATTGTTCATTGTGATTTGCAGTATGTGATGATTGTCTTGAAAGGCTCTGTGCCTATGTCATTTGGTGGGACCGAGGATCCTGCAGCTTATGGTGAATTAGTCTCTATTGGTGGCCTTAATGCCGATGTGAACAAGAAGCTAAGCGCTGCGGTTTCTGCTATTCTTGAGTCTAAGCTATCGGTGCCCAAGTCTCGATTCTTCCTCAAGTTTTATGACACCAAGGCAAGCAATTCCCTCTCTCAAAACTTTTTTTATGGAGTAACATAACATAAGCAAATGTGATGATGATTTCGTATGCGTCCATGTCTCATTTTCATTGTTCGTTGTCTCTCTAGGACCATCAGAGTCAAGAATATGCACAGTGTTTACACGCTTTACACCAGCACTACTAGGTCATGAATAGGGAACAAATACATCTTTTGTGTAAGTTCATCATTAGACAGACCTATAACTTTTGCTCATAAACTAGGCATTATAAACAATTAGATCAATTGCAGAAACCGTTTCGACAACTCTAATTCAATCTTTACACCCACACTATTGTTTGTTTTGAGTTATTTAGGAGGGGTTCAACTTCTCTAAATCCGTTCTCTAACTGGTTTAGTGGGTCATCCATCATCTTCCTGATAACCTACCTGATATATATCAATTCTACATTTCTTTTTTCGTGTGGTTCTTCTTGCAGGGATCCTTCTTTGGTTGGAATGGGGCGACTTTTTAATTCCGTGGACTGTGGCAGGTGAGAGATTAGTGTGATTGTCCTGAAATGTATGAACATGTTCTAGCTTCAGTGATCTACTCTCATCGATCAAGTAACTCTGAACTATTTCGTATTGTAAACATGTCTAAGGTTTGATGGAGTTGCATTAAGAGTAAACAATAGTTATTGAATTTGGTCTACCATCGTTAGATATAATTATGTTTAAAATTCGAAGATGAATGTTATAAAAATAAATACTTGACAATGTCACAAGACTATTGGTAAAGTGACTTGTAATTATGTATAAACTACTTTATGAATTGACACATGCCACAATACTATTGGTAAAGTGACTTGTAATTCGAAATTACATGAGGAATACAAGAATAAAAGAATGCAAGAGGTTATTTTTATTTATTTTAGTAAAAATGGTCACATTAATCAAAATATAGATTATCTATCAGATGAAGCAACGGAAATCGAAAGTTGAAAGACGCGTAATTGTGATCCTATAAATACATAACACTATAGGCGTGTAGGTGGTGCGATCTGTAACTTCACCGGCCTCCAAATCAATCGTCCCCTACAATTTCCAGAGAAGAAAATCGAATGGTGTCCACACATCCCCCTGTGCTTCCGATTTCCTCCACCGCCACCACTCAGCCTCCGATTGTAACCGCTGTGGTGGAATCGCAACCTCCAGCCGTCCGTGCATTTGTCAACGGCGTAACCGAGACGGTCCGTGGTGGTCTATCTCGAAGCCGTCCGTGGTCAGAGCTCCTCGATCGATCCGCTTTCACCAAGCCTGACTCTCTCTCCGAGGCCGCGACGCGATTCCGGAAGAATTCCTCCTATTTCAGGGTGAATTACGTCTGCATCGTTGCTCTAATCCTCGGGTTCTCTCTTCTCGCCCACCCATTCTCGCTCATCCTCCTCCTATGCCTCGCCGCTTCCTGGCTCTTCCTCTACCTCTTCCGTCCAGCAGATCGTCCTCTTATCCTCTTCGGCCGATCTTTCTCCGAATACGAAACTCTAGGTGGCCTGATCCTCTCCACGATCGCCGTGATCTTCTTCACAAGCGTCGGATCTGTACTGATATCCGCTCTCATGATCGGGATGGCAACGGTCTGCGTCCATGGCGCATTTAGAGCTCCCGATGATCTCTTCCTGGACGAGCAAGATCCTGCCGCCGCCGGATTCCTCTCATTCATCGGTGTCCCCGCCGTGGCACCCTCCGCCTCCTCAGCGCCATCCCCCGTATAGTTACTGTTCTCAGAATCTGGCAGTTTGTCGTTTAGAAATTTGACGGTGGAGATGTAATTTTCTGTGGCCATTGTTGCAATGTAATTTTCATTGAAGTCACTCACCAATCACCATTGAACAGATGTTTTATAATGTCCACGTAAGCAATTGTTGTTTCGAACGATTTCCGGTTAGCATTCGTGCCGTTTTAATCTCAATAAAACGCTCACTTGTCTTGGAACGCTATATGTCGTTAAAACCAAGCCCAAAGTTAAATAAGACCCCGCGTCTCATATTTTCGGCCCAAATCATTTTCAACTTTCCCGCCTTAGTCAGATCTTTTAACTTTTTGGATTTTGGTGATGATTTTGGGGGAAAGAAAAATTAAAATAAAAAATTAAAATTCCGCTCTCTAGTCCTCCCTCTTGGTGTGGTACTACGTAGATAGAGGCAATTCTGAATCGCGAAGTTTAGTTCTACGGCTGAATCAGATAACGACGAATCGGAAAAATTCGAAACCCTAGAACTGAATAAATGTCGACGTGGCAATTATTTTCCGATTCCAGCGGCGATGGTTTCCGGTGGGAAGTCGCTGGCCGGATTCTCCAGTCCGACTCGGATTCAACTCCAACCAAGTCGCTCCAATCCACAGCTCCTCTACCTTCCATGGCCGATCTCTTGCTCCAAGGTGATTCTTCGTATCTTCCTTCTTCTGTCGATTCGTTAGTCATGTGACTCAAAGGATATTAAATAATTGTTTGATGCTCAAAGGATGCTCGAAGCTTATAGAACGGGAGGACGCGATGCCTGGGGGAATGCCAATGTTCAAGACTGGTCTGGGGAAGTCTGTACCTCTAAAAGAGTCTTCCATTGCTAAAGCCAAATCCCTTTTAGCAGATTCAGGTACTTTACTTGACAGTATTGAATTCCCTTGACTAGTCATTTGTTTCTGAATTCTCTTGAATTGTTACTTAATGTTGGTGATATGGGTTCATGAAAATCTTTTGAATGTTCCATGTTCTTGGCTTCACTTCAGATTTGCAGAACACAAATTGTTCAATTCCCCAAATGAGACAAGTGGATACAGCTGAAACTTTGCCTATGTTCAGGACGGCTTTGGGGAAATCTGTCCCACTCAAAGAGTCTTCAATTGCCAAAGCTATGTCTATTCTAGGAAGTGATAAGATTATTGACTCAGGTGTGTTCTTACCTCCTCTTCTCTAAACTCTTATTTTCAGTATGGTTGTGTGCGCATTTTTATATCAACTTGTTGATTGTGCTATTCCATTCAACTCAACACACATCTTACTTTGTTTAGAGAATGAATATTAGAAATGGCATTTTTTCACAGTTTATCTGTTAATAAGATTCTATTTGATTGTGTAGACAACGTTCTTCCCAGGGAGAGTGGGTTTGGTGTTCCCAACACTCTTATTCAGACAGCTTCTAACAAAAAGGTTAATGTATCTTCTGCCGGTTTAGCAAGAGCCAAGGCATTGTTAGGACTAGAAGAAGATGATTTGAATGGATTTAACCATGTGAACCAGTCGTCTTCTTCCCACCAGCAACATGGGTGGTCTGGTTTAAAAACTCATGAGGAGTTTGATGCTACAGTGGTTAAGCATCATTCAGGAACTCCAGGACAATATGAAGATTATGTATCTGGGAAGAGACCTGAAATCTTAAATCCATCTTTAAAGGTGCCTCCAACAAAGTTTCAGACTGCTGGTGGGAAATCATTGTCAGTGTCAGCTGAGGCGTTGAAACGTGCCAGAAACCTTCTTGGTGACCCTGAGTTAGGGTCTTTCTTTGATGATGTGGCTGGAGGTGATCAATTTGTTACACCACAGAAAGATGAAAGGTTAGGTGATATTGCTATAAACAATGGAAGTGCCAACACAGGTTATATTGCTCATGAAGAAAAGTCAAGCAACAAACATACGTCAAATAGTTTTGTATCTCCTCTTCGTTCATCTTCAAAGCAATTTAGATCAGTCAACTTGGAGAACCTAGCTTCAGGGGGTAATTTGATCAAGAAATTTGATGCAGCTGTTGATGAGCCAGACTGTGCTCTGAATATCACTAAACTTGCTACACATGGACTATCAAATAACAAGCCTATAGCATCTGATATGGCAGTGACTAATTCCAAGGAAAACGGTTTCATTCCAAGAGCTAGGCAATTTGGAAGGCCAGCTGACCAGCCGCTTGTCGATATAACAAATCGCAGTGATACAGCTTATGCAAACATTAAACAAGACAGTACCCAAAAGAAAAGGCTGGGAAAGACAGTCTCCGTTTCTCCTTTCAAAAGGCCAAGGATTTCATCCTTTAAAACTCCTTTAAAGAAAAATGCTCAGCAAGCTTCAAGTGGTAAAATATTCAGGATTTTTTTTTTCAGGAATAACTATATGATTTTTATGTTAATCTAATTGGTTGGCTCTCAGATTTTATAAATTTTGGTATCCTGTCAATTATCAGGTTTGTCTGTTGTATCGTGTGATATACTTACATCCAAAAAGGTGCTTTCTACAAGATATCCAGAAAAGTCTCCAAGAGTATATATCAAGGAGTTTTTTGGAATGCATCCAACAGCTACGACCAAGGTAAAATCTTTTTGTCCCTTTCACATGTTCCTGCGTTACATATACTTTTTTCTTCATTCACTCAAACCACACTTACGAGGTGGTTTTAGATGGATTATGTGCCAGACCATGTCAGAAGAATCAAATCAAGTAATGCAGATGAATATGTATTCTGTGATGAGTCTTCTTCAAACAAGGTTGGAGCTGAAACTTTTCTTCAAATGTTGGCTGAGTCTGGTGCTTCCTTACAACATGCATCCAGAAAGTAATTTCTCTGCCCTTTGAAATGTTTCAAGTTAACCGTGTTATTTGTTTATTATATCAGAAATAAGTGTGTGACTGTTCTTTTGACTCTTGCATGTGATTGTCACTCTATTAGATAGACAGTGAGTAATGATGTCTATATCTATTAACTTATCTATCACTATATATGCACTAGGTGGGTCACTAATCACTACAGGTGGATAGTCTGGAAACTTGCATGCTACGACATATACTACCCAGCCAAATGCAGAGGAAACTTTCTGACAATCACCAATGTTCTTGAAGAACTAAAATACAGGTTTCCCAGTCTCACAACACAGCTCGTTGTTATTTAAACTCATGCAAAGTCTAACATGGTTAATCTTTCTTAATAGATATGAGAGAGAGGTCAATCATGGTCATTGCTCTGCAATCAAGAGGATTCTGAGTGGTGATGCTCCAGCTTCTTCAATGATGGTGCTCTGCATATCAGCTATTAATCGAAAGATCGATAATGATTCTCAGGAAGCACATTGTTCTGATAGTTGCAGCAATGTGAAAGTAGAACTCACTGATGGGTGGTATGAAATTGCAATTGCTGTTCTGTTACCTGTTCGCTTGTCTCCTTTCCATAGATTTTTTTTTAAATCACAGGTACTCGATGAATGCTGCTCTGGATGTCGTGCTAACAAAGCAGCTGAATGCTGGCAAATTGTTTGTCGGGCAGAAGCTTCGAGTAAGTAATTTTCATGCAATGTTTATTTTGTTTTGTAACACATGTTTTGGTTAGATCACTGAATTACAGCACGCTTACGTTTTATCTCTTATCTGAAGATCCTTGGGGCAGGACTTTCTGGCTGGGCTACCCCAACATCACCACTTGAGGTTTCCTAGACATTGAATTTTATAAGATTTTCTGAAACCTTCCCAGGTTGGTTTCTTCATAGTTTCATTCAACCAAAACTTTCAGGCAGTGATTTCAAGTACAATCTGTTTGTTGTTGAATATTAATGGGACATACAGAGCTCACTGGGCGGACCAACTAGGCTTCTGTAAGTAGCTTTATGCTGTGGACCTCACTACATTATCTGAGTTCTTATTGCTTTCATATTGTTATCTTTATATTGACCGTCTTTTAATCTCTTCCTCAAGGTAAAGAAATTGGTGTCCCTCTGGCTTTCAATTGTATCAAGTGCAATGGGGGTCCAGTGCCTAAAACGCTAGCTGGCATCACACGAATATATCCCATCCTATACAAGGAAAGGTCAATATAAATGTGTGCCTGTTAATGCAACTTGGTCTTCTCTATACTTCAGGCAAAGACTTATATTTTCTTGGTATATTACAGGTTAGGTGAAAAGAAGTCAATAGTTCGATCAGAGAGAATGGAAAGTAGAATTATACAGCTGCATAATCAGAGGCAAGTTTCCTTACAACTGTAGAGGGCAATTTTTAGTAACATTTATGTGATCAATTTAGCACATGCATCTCTTTCTAAGAAGTGTCAGATTAACTCATCAAAGCTAGAAACATTTTGTTCCATACAACAATATTAGGTTTCTAAATAGTTATTAGGACAGACAAACAATCTTTGTATATATTAGAAAAGCTTCTGGCCTTCTGAATATGGATGGTTTTGCCAACAGAAGAGCCAAAGGTTGCAGTTCCTCATGGTTTTATTCTCATTCGTACCTGCATTTTTGTTTTTTTGTTTTCCGTAGGCGCTCAGCTCTTGTTGAGGGTATTATGTGTGAGTACCAGAGAGGAATTAATGGTGTTCACAGCCAGAACGACACTGACAGCGAAGAAGGAGCCAAGGTCTTTAAGCTGTTAGAGACGGCTGCTGAACCTGAACTTCTAATGGCAGAAATGAGCCCAGAGCAGTTGACATCTTTCACTACATATAAAGCAAAATTTGAGGTAGAATAGTAATTTCCTTTTCTTGATATATTGATTACACTAGTTAACTGCTTCAATCTGAACCTCAGGCAGCCAAGCAAATGCAGATGGAAAAATCAGTGGCAAAAGCACTGGAAGACGCTGGCTTAGGTGAAAGGAATGTCACCCCATTCATGAGGATTAGGCTTGTTGGCCTGACGAGTTTAAGTTATGAAGGAGAGCACAATCCAAAAGAAGGCATTGTAACAATCTGGGATCCCACGGAGAGACAGGTACATTCAAATGCCTAAATCTGAATGTTTCATGCACAATCGTTACAATCACTGTACTGTTGCATTATGAGCATCATCGATTAGCTTGAGCAACCTGTAGATTCTCAAAACAGTTATCATTGTCTACTACTGTGACAGAGAACCGAGCTGACAGAGGGAAAAGTATACATAATGAAAGGGCTGGTACCAATGAACTCAGATTCAGAAACACTTTACTTACATGCCAGAGGATCTAGCTCAAAATGGCAGCCTTTGTCTCCAAAAGATTCTGCAAATCTTCAGTAAGTTGTTTCGTGGACTTTCTTTCGTAGACACACCGGAATCTATCTCATTTATTTGTTCAATTTCCCTGATGTTTTCAGGCCCTTTTTCAACCCACGTAAACCAATCTCTTTGTCAAATCTTGGTGAAATTCCTGTTTCAAGGTTAATCTCAGTCCAAGCTTTTTATAAAACACTCTTTACCGCACTTACTTTGCTAATCTATACCCTAACATCTGCAATTATGTCATTCAGTGAATTTGATATCGCTGCGTACGTTGTATATGTTGGAAATGCATACACGGATGTTCAGCAAAAGAAGCAGTGGGTGTTTGTGACAGATGGATCCACTCAACATTCAGTGGAAAACTCAAACAGTCTTCTTGCTATAAGCTTCAGCACCCCATCCATGGAAGATAGCTCTATTTCCCACATCAGCCATAATTTGGTTGGATCCGTGGTATGTACAAATTCTAATCTTGTCTAGTTTTACACAGAAAAGAAATTACCTTTTGAAAAATGTTTGTTGGTCTTAAAATCTGGCAGGTCGGATTCTGCAATCTAATTAAACGAGCAAAGGATGCGAAAAACAAAATGTGGGTTGGTGAGGCAACAGAGAACTCAGTCTACTTCATAAACGCAGAAGCGGCCTACTCTTCTCACCTCAAAACAAGCAGTGCCCATATCCAAACATGGGCTAAGCTCTCTTCTTCCATCTCTGTTCGTTCTCTTCGACTTCCTCTTTCTATACATTATTTCGGTTCAAAAAGATTGGATTATTATATTAAACCTTCTTGTTTTGCTCAATTTTCAGGTCATCCATGAACTTCGGCAAAGAGTCCTATCTATAATCGGTGCTTGTAAATCACCGTCATGCTGAAGATACACCTCTTCTCTTAATTTTTGTTCATAAGCCTTAAGTTGTCTAACCCACCCTGCAGAATGTATCTATTAAAGCCCATTTTGCTACATCAATTTCGTACAAATAAACAATCTTTACATTTTGCTAAATTTGGCGTCCTGACTATATTAGGAAAAGGATGTAACAAATATGGATCCGTCGTACTTTGCTCTTTTAATTTTAGGCGACATCCCAGTAAAAAGAAAAGGATTTGTTCATTTCATTTTCACAAAAACTGGAAAAGCAATTGATTCCAGACATCAGGAACTCCAGGTACACACCAATGAGTACAGTCAGAATACGATGCCGGGTTATTCAACCGGTCTTCGTTTAGAGGTTCCCAGAATTTCCGGTACACCGATGGATGACCATCTTTTCGATACTCAGACAACTGAGTGATGTTTATAACTGAAACCTTTGGTCCCAATCTATCCAAAACTCTCTTCACCATCTTCATTGTCGGAATGTCCGACCCACTTCCCCAATAACTCTCTTCCTCTATCGGTTTCTTCTCCCCGTAGCAGTTTCCTTCGCTTCGCGGGTTCCATTCTCGGCTCCTGACCAGTTTCAGCAGCTCAGTTTTAATGCGTAAAAAGAGAGTAAAATCGATCATATTGATAGAGAACTGGGGATAAGTATTTTGTTACCATTGATGTGTAGGAGACATTGTAACGAAGAAAATTCGCTTTGTGTTTGGATCGACATTGTTAGCAATCCAATCACCCCAAGTATTCATTGCCATCTCCATTCCCTCGGCGCCCTTCACCTCCTCGCATGAGCCTCTTTCTTCACTGCTCCATCTTTAGTTTGAATATGCAATGAGTACCAATTGTTTCTTTTGGTTTTGCAGATGTGAAGAAAACAATGTCCTATTTAATATACTTACCGGAGCTTGACAGAGTCTTGTCTCCACCATAAGTATGTGTTGAAGATTAGAATATCAGCATGTTGCCACTTTGATGCATGTTTAAGAACAGAATCGGGTCGGATTATGCGTTCGCCCAATCTGTGATTAACAGGGTCATCAGAATTCGATTCCACGAGCAAGGGTGCCCAGAGAAACTCCACCGTGGCATTGTAGTCCTGCGGTTACATACACCAAAGTAACCAATCGCACCAAAAACAGAACAAAGAGTTGTCAAGGCATATAAACTCAAATGTATTTATTACCTCAGCCCTGAAAATGGTGAGGTGAGCGTTAGGAGACATAGATTGCTTCTCACGTGGAATGACAGACTGTAAGAGACAAACCATTGAAATCCATTGGCCTCTGTTTAATGAGTCTCCAACAAACATCAATCTCTTTCCTCTCAGCTTCTCCCACATTTCTGTCACATTCCATCTACCAGACAAAATGGTAAACACCTAAACCATCAGTTTCGATACATTCTACCATTCTTTGCAAACAATAGTAGCACCTAAATTCATAAACAAGCTATTCATCAATATGTTCTCCAAAATCAATTATCCACAACACACATAAACCAACCAAAAATAGGAAAATGAAACAAGCAAGCACAAGTTTTACCTCTTCAGGTTGCAGGCATGAGGTTGCCATCTCCAATGCTGATACTCCAAATCCTTCCTACCATGCTTCTGACAAGCCAACTGGTCGGACATGTAAGGGCACTGAGATTCCTTGTGTAAAGGGTATGATGAAGAATTATCAAAGACCCATTTCCCAGAGAAGACATCACATTTCTGCTCCTCCTTTGTTCCTTGACCCGGGTCATCAAACGGGTCAACCCATCCGATTTTCTTCCCACTGTACTCTTTCGTCGAGTTGCATTTGCTGAATCTATCCAAAACCTCTGCCATTTTTTTTTTAGAAACAGAATCGCCCAATTAGTAAGTTCCATAGAAGTAGCAACGAATTCAGCAGAGAGAGAAAGTAGCACGAATCAACTTAAAAATCGAAAAATCAAATCAGAAGAGTACCAAGAGCTCCCAAGTAGTAATTGCCAGGAACATTAGGCTTGACGAGATTGGACGTCGAAGCTTCTCGGAGATTTTGACCGTGACTGGCGGCGTGGTGGTGGATCTGCTGAATGCTACGCTCGTTGAAGAGAATCATAAAGGTGACAACGAGCATAAAGAGGAGACCCGCTAATGGAAGTCGACTCTTTTTTCTGCTCCATCTCTGCGACATCGGAGACTTTAAAATGTCACCAAGCACCAGAGTAAGAGTAAGAAGAACTCTTCTTCTTCCTCTGCTTCAGCTTTGATGCGACTGGTACAAGTTTGGAGCTATGATGATCCAGTTTAGAGGCGAGAGAGAGAGAGCACAGAGATTAATACTATTTCAATTTGATATCTTAAATATAAATTGGAATTTGTAATTTGACTTTGACGTGTTTATTTACCAGATCCCATCTTTCTCCTCTTGGCTCTATTGAATCCGTCGATCGAGCTGTCTTCATCTTTTTATTTTAAATTAAAAATTTTGTTTCTTTCTATTAATAAAATTCACACTTCTTCTCTCTTTTTTTTTCCAGTCTTTTTTTTTTTGCAAAGAAAAATGGAAGTTATGGGCACATGTGAGATCAACACGCTTCAATTGCGAGTGTGATTTATGCACAAATCTACCAATAATAATAAATGCTATTAAACTCATAGTGCTTAGAGGCCATAATAATGTAGGCTTATCATAATCAATTCTTTTAACTATGTATATAAAACAACTTTTTTTTAACATATTTAATTGCCTCTTTAAATGTACATCTTAACTCAAAATGTTTATCTCATGCTTTTTTTGTTTTTTCGTATAATTATCAAACTCAAAATGCTTAGAGAACATAAATTACCAGGGAGAAAAAAAAATTAAGACCAAATCATTGAGCACACGAATAGTAATTTTAAACAATTGAAGAAAATAAAACAAATTACAATTGCTCCGGCCGTATTGAAGTTATCATCAAATTCATGAATAAGTTAATGTATACTCACAGTAGGCTTTAAATCAAAACCAAAACGTAAAAGAAAAAGCTTCAAACTTAGGAAGATTATAATGGACACCCATTAGTCAGTTTAGAATTTATCGACTCGGAGGCCATTTCTTTGAACCTCATAAGCATCTCTGCTTCTGCTCTTCTTCATTCCTGCAGTGAAGTAGACCTTTGATGCATCTGCAGATATACTTGTCACTTTTACCCATATCATAACTTTTGTCTTGATTCCTTCCACATCTGTTAGCTTTCCTTTCTCAAGATGTCCTGTTACTGTTGTTGTGAATTTCAAGACTGATGAATCCTTGTATCCAACTTCGCATATCGATGGAATCAAAACAGTTAGTTTCTTTGTCTCTTCATCGAACTCATAGTTTGTAGCATCCCCTGGGAAGATTCCCACAGGCAAATCATATTCTTTTAGTAACTCAGGCAACGGCTTCTGCATTTTCCCTGTCAAAAAGTCAAGATAGTAATGAATGGAATGTCAAAAAAAAAAGAATCAGTAGAATAGAAGAATCAAAAGCAAACCTTTGATCTTGTTGACCAACCATTTCGTTCCTCCTTCAATGCTCGTTGACACCGACTGCCAAAAACAAAACAATGTTAATAAGAATGTTCAAGATCACCCAATTCAAACAAAATCATCTAACTAACTGTTGGAATGTAATAATCGCAATGAGAAGAACCACATGAGCAAAAGAAAACACGATAGAAACGAAACGTGAGCTATTAAAATGAGGCATTTGCAAATTATCATCGTTTTGGTAACAGATCATGTTCTTCCTTAATTATATGGCGTGGTTCACCTACAAATGACCTCAAACATTCGTACAACAACTGCATGATACCAAAATTACTACGATAAAGGAGGTTGTTGATTATATCGCAGGACTAAACACATGAATCGATCAGGATAACAGATGAATCAGATTCTATAGAATGGGTCAAAAAAGACGTACGTTGAGATCGCTGCCGACGGAGTCAAATTGCTTGTTAGCCTTCTGGCCTAACCAGTAGGATCCAACCTTATTGAAGATCTGATCCATTCTCTCTCTCAGATTTTCAAATCAACAGAGAGGAAGGAAGGACAAGATTTTGAGAAAACGAACGAGACGACTTTCTTCTTCTTTTCTTTTTTTCTCCCGGGAAGATTTTTGGGAACCCACTCTCTCTCTCTCTCTCTCTCTCGCACCGTTGGGTTCGTTATTTGTGCACTATTCCTACAGCCAATTGACATATGACATGTGGCAAATACATAAACAGCACATATTTATTGAAGCAAGCAGCATATTATACTTTACAAAATAAAAAAGTATTTGCCTATCACTCCTCCTTGGGACTATATCTATTGCCTATTGGGCCTTCAATGAATTATGCATTCAATTTTTGTTTTAAAAAAAAAAATACAAATTCATTAATCTGATTTAAATGGCTACAACACAACTTGGAAACTGAAGAACCACATGGCACAAAACAGAATAAAATTAAAGACTACAATCAATCCTTTTTTTTTCATAAACAATAAATCCTCCCATGATTTTACTTGTCTATTCTTTCCAAAAACAACAAAAAAGAGTAGAAATGAGGTTTTTTAATTATATTTCTGTATGAAATGAGGTTTAAACTAACCTCAGCTAAATTTGCAATTACAGTTGAAAATATTACTTTATAGCCTACCTTTGTCTTTGTGCATTCCAGAGTCATACGAATCGATTCAAATCAGACCAAGAAAATTAAAAAAGAAAAAAACAAGCCTAACTACACCTCCCTTATTTAAAAGCTTAATTTTTGTCCTGGCCAATATTAAAGCTTCAATAAGTTTGATATTTGTATCTTGGGCCGTGACATTAGTAATGAGGCCCACATTGTACTTACTCCGACGTGTAAATGTCTCCGATAAAGACAAGGAACCATTTGGAACCTCTCACGCGCTTTAGTTGGAAATTACGTAGAGTTGAGCTACTCGCGACTCTATCCTATCTGTTTTCCGTCTCCATCAAATATCCTAGAGACCCACGAATTTTTCTTTCTTTGTTGTAAATTCTGAATTATTAGGCCACATACACATAATACGAAAAGTCTACAAGGGTTTGCACCATTCTCAATCTTTGGTGATTTTTTTGGAGTATGTAAATACTTTTATCTCTATCCTATTTCCTATGTCAATATGCGTCACAGGATTTTACACGTCTACCTTATGTTGTATTTGTTATCATCTACAACTGTATAGTAGATATTTTTTAAAAAATAGGAGAAATAGAAGAGAGCGAGTAGGAAAAAGGAAAGTGGCAACGCGAGAGTAGGAAGCGGAAATGGTAAAAAGATTCTGAGGATAAAAGAGAAAGCAGAGAAACAGACAAACTTTATTTGGAGAGATGTTAACGTGGATCGAATATCCTCACGTTCACACTATCCCATTGGACGGAGCACGAGGCCTCCACACGCCCCCTACATCTGGCCTTATCTCCACCCTCCACGTGGATCTTCATCCAACGGTGACCACACGCCTTTTCCCTCTTATATAAACCCTTCCTCTTCTTATCATCATCATCACCTTCTTACAACAACAAGCATTAACAAATCTCAGGCGGCTCAACCCTAAAACTCCCCTCCCAAAACTACATTTTCCAACGATGGCCTCAAAGGCACTCTCTTCCTTCACCGCTAAGCCCGCTCTGTCTCCCAAGCCACTACTCCCTCACGGCGCTGCTTCTCCGTCTGTTTCTCTCGGCTTCTCCAGGAAAACTGGAGGCGGCAGAGCAGTTGTCGTTGCGGCGGCTACCGTGGACACAAACAACATGCCGATGACCGGAGTCGTGTTCCAGCCTTTCGAGGAGGTGAAGAAAGCCGATCTGGCCATTCCAATCACAGCTCATACATCCCTCGCTCGCCAGAGGTATGCCGACACTAGCGAGGCAGTCATTAATGAGCAAATCAAGTAAGCTTCAAAGCATTCTCTTTTATCATCTGTTTAAAAAAGAAACGAAAATGTTAAAGATTAGATCTAACTGAGGTTGATTTTTATTTACAGTGTGGAATACAACGTCTCCTATGTGTACCATTCAATGTACGCATACTTTGACAGAGACAACGTTGCTCTTAAGGGACTAGCCAAGTAATTTCTCTTCTAACTTTAATCTTAATCATATATAATCTTGATCATATGTCCATGCTAAACATGGGTTTTTATAATCACCAGATTTTTCAAGGAATCAAGTGAGGAAGAGAGAGGGCATGCTGAGAAGTTTATGGAGTACCAGGTTTTCTATTTTTACCTTCTTTTCTCTTTTACTATTTACTAAAGATTTGTGATTTGAGTTAATTTTCCTATACAGAACCAAAGAGGAGGAAGAGTGAAACTCCACCCGATCGTCTCACCTGTCTCAGAATTCGAACATGCTGAAAAAGGAGATGCATTATATGGTAAACTTTAATCAACTACTCAATCTTAATCCTATAATAACTTCTTCCTTTTTAAAAGATACAGATATTTATTAGTTTATTACTAATCTTTGTTTCAGCAATGGAGTTGGCTCTGTCTCTAGAGAAACTTACTAATGAGAAGCTACTAAACGTACACAGAGTAAGTCCCCTCCCTCATCCATTTAGTCATCAAATATTAAACTAATAGTCATTTTCTAACCTTAAGTAACATACACTTTCTGCCAACAAAATCAGGTGGCCTCAGAGAACAATGATCCCCAGTTAGCTGATTTCGTTGAGACTGAATTTCTGGGAGAGCAGGTAAAACTTCTTCTTTTGCCTTGGTTCGGACTACAACGAGTGACTTGTTTAATCTATACATGTTCTGACTCAGAAAATTATGGACTATTTCTAGATTGAAGCAATCAAGAAGATCTCAGACTACATCACCCAGCTAAGGATGGTTGGCAAAGGCCACGGTACAAATCAAAACCCTATATTGAGACACTGTTCTAAGACTTGAATGGAATTTTTACATTTTTCTGTCTTTGCAGGAGTTTGGCATTTCGACCAGATGCTTCTGGACTAGACTGGACCTCTATAAGTTCACTTTCAGATGTCGACCAATGTTGGGGTTCAAACAGAAGAACCCGAAGATTCTGTAAAAGCTTTAGGTTGGAAGTTATGGACTAATAAGATTGTAGTAGTAAGCTTTGTGTTCAAGATGGTTTTTGTAATAACTTCTTAATCTTAATCAATGAAGTTTTTGTTTTACTATATTCTAACTAGCTATGAATGAGTCTATGGCCAAACAAAGCGTAAGTAGTGAAAACTCAGACCTATCTAATTAAACAGAGCATATCTATGATCCAACTTGAAAGAGTAATCATAACGAACCTGTTTATGAAGAACATGTAAAAGAAGCATGAAGCGTATGTCACTTTCCACTGAGAAGGACAAGCTGGTCACTGGGATATAACTGAACAGCAAACAAGAACAAGATCACAGTCACATCAAAGCAAAAGAGATGCTCTTACTTTGATTCCATGTTGAAAAATGGAAAATCTTTTATAACCAAACAAAGACCTCTCTGTACTACAAAGAGCTGACAAATGTACGAAAATGGGTATCCATAAAAAGTTCATGACGCAAGAAAACACCACTAACTAAGCTTTCATGTAGAGATTCTCCCTTAGTGCTTTTATCTTTTCATCATGGTTCTTCAAACCACTAAGCATTAAGAAAAGATTGAGAATCTTATTTATATAATGACGAAAAAGTTGAGCTTCTTCAAGTAGAAACCAAAACGATGCCTTAATGTAAGAAGTCCGTCTCACGGGAACAAGCGAAATTGGACACTTTTATGACCCTAAGAATAACACTTAGTTATCACAGTAATGCTCTAATCAAAAGCAAGGAAATGTCAAATAATCCCAAATCATAGCATCATGCATCTAATCTAGAGAAATACGAAATTCTAATAAGATAGTATATCTTCTAAGATAATGCATCGAATTTGGAATCCATAAACAACAAGGCTCAAAATAGCTCAGACTCCAGAAGTGGAAATCGACACCGCAAGTGCTTAGAATTGGACAAGGACAATGAAATTGAGAGAGACGGAAAGAAAAACTGACATAATTGTGAGGTAGTCATCGAGAAATTGATCGCCGACACTCCGACCAATGAGCTAACGGGGACTGTGGCGATGCCGATTAGTTCACTCTGAGAAGACAGAGATCACTAGTGGACAACACTACTCCCAATCTTGTCGCCAAGGGCACCAATCGAGTGTCGCCACTTAACATCTCGGTACACGACGAGCCGGGTCGGTTATGTCGATACGCAAAAACTATAGTTAAACCGAAGCCCATTAATACAATATTTATTGTGTGTGTTGAGATAAATGCTTAAGCCCATAAGAGTAAACCATCCAGTTTAAAACATATAGTTCCTCTCTTTTTCTGATAAACTCTCAATGTTAAAACAGGTAGAAAACAAACAAACCATGTTACACGAGACGCCCAAAACGCCGTGGTGTGTACGTAAACGTAAATTACGATAAACAAATCCACCACACGCGACTTTGCTGGCGAAGAACTCAAAAACAACAGGATGTTTGCTTGTAGTCATCACCTGGTGAAGACTTTGCTTCAACTTCAATCATTTGGAGTTACTGTCATCGTCGTCCTCCTCTTCCTCCTCCTCATCTTCATCGCTACGGCCGGAATAATGCTTCAGGTCCTTTTCTCTCAGCTCCTCCTCTCTCCGCTTCATCCTTCGAGCAATCCGAGTGTCGTAATCTTTCTGAACTTTTTCCATTATAGTGTCAAAACCCGGGACTGTCCTCTCCAGCTTCTGGCCTACTCGAACACTGAGGTTGTAGAAAATCCGGAATAGCCTCTGCAAACAGAAAGTAGAAACGGAAGAGAAAAGATGAATCAATTTATCACTAAGATACAGTGAAAGTTAAAAAGTTTGTGTCTGTGAAATCAGAAGGAGAGGACACTTACCATGACACTCCTATTCCACTCTCTGATGTAAGGAGGACCAGTGGTGTAGGTACCAAGCGGCTCACGGTACCACTCTCCACCATAGCTGATCTGATCCATAGCTTGCTCTATACTTATCACTTCCCATGGCCTTAACCCTGGTATTACTTTGGCCAGCTCTTGTCTACAATCAAAAGTACATGTTTTGAGAGTAGAATCCAATCCAATTTTTTGGCGAAAAAGTGAATGGTGTAAAAAGGGACTTTAGTTTTATACCTTAGTTGTTTGGGGATGAACTTGTTCGGCATGTGATCAGATTCCAGTACAGTTGTTAATTCAGACCCACTCGCCCAGAGAAACAGAGCGTGGCTGGGAGTTCTGACTCCAGGCCAAACGCCATCATTTGCTTCGAGCACTGCCATGTCGCGTTTCTTACTCTCAATAGCTTCTTTTTGGAGCTGCTTGTATGTTTTTGGCTCTCGTCCCTTTAGAGGAACCCATGGTGGTATTCCCTTCTGGAGTTTGTGAAGGAAAGCCGTTGCCGCTGCACCAAGCCTCACTGAACAAGAAAGAAACGAGTCAATAAAACCAACAATGAAGTCATATATAGGTGGCAAAATTAATGATTCTTCAACGATAAATTTCGTCTGAAATCTCAAATTATCCCATAGACAGACCTTCCCAAGTGGCAATTGCAGGTTCCAAACCGTAAACCATGTGAATAGGCGCCCATTCATCCATGTCCTCGCCCCAAATGAACGTATCCCTGTCAATTATTCCAGCTCCATAAGCCGTCTTAAGGGTTATAAGCTCACAAGGGCCTCTAGAACGGCCAAGACGGTCTTTATACCACCAACCACCAGTCTTCATTATGACTACAATCTCAAAGCATAAAGAGCAAACAAAACGTTATGATCAAATGCAAAGGAAACAACAAAAAGGCATTCCAATTCCATCATATTCCTGCAATTCAACAATACTACTACAACAGACACGAGCTTGGATCTTCAAGCAGAACATAAACAACATAAAATGTGGCACCATATAAACTCGTGCAAACACAATAAACAATGACTATACAAGTCAACAATATTATGAACAACAAGAGCTTGGAATTCCAGAGCCACGCATTGGATCATGATAAACACCTCCTACTGACCTAACTCATAAACACAGAATATGGATACAATCCCACAAACACAGAAACAACATCGATATGAAGCAACCGGGTAATGATGTAGGTAGGTTCAAAAACACCATGAATATTCTCCCTTAACGATTGAGTAACATCATCACACAATGGTTTAGCAAATGAAGGCACTTACAGTCATAATAGCGCTTCTCAAGCCGTTTGTAACCAATTGCCTGAGCCACGTCTATGGGTCGACCAGGCGGGTAAGGACGTTGCCGGAAACCCCAGAGCCCGAAGAGGAACTGTTTCATGAAATCCCAAAACTTATCATCACTCTCTTCCTTTGATTTAATCGCCTTCCTAGGCATCGGCCTCCCGTCAAAGCCCGGCACATGAGGAATGGCTCTCCAGTATTCCTTATCTTCTTTCCGATAAGGCGTGTCGTTATCCTCGAGCTCCATCTTGTTCATATCGTCGGCAATCTCCTCGGCGCGAGTCATAAACTGAACCACAGGACTCGCTCGAAATCTCTCCCACCATTTCTGCTCAGCTTCAATCTCTTCTGTGCTCGGATTCTCCTTCTTCTCGAAAACTGGATCTTCGTTGAGAATCTTATCCACTTCTGGAGTGTGCCTGTAATCCGGTATGTTCTCACACTCCCATAAGAACTGCTCAGCGATTTGCTTGTACGGTCCTGGCTCGTCGGTTCCTGTTTCGGGTTTTGGTGACTTCTTGGAGAACTTAGGAAGTCCAATCGAAGCGAAATTCGGAGACTGCGACTTGGGAAAGAAGGAATCAGCGAGCGAGACGAAATTGATGGAAGGGACTGGGTTCGGTGGTTTCTCGAACCAGTTTTGAAATGGATTGAAGTTCATCGACGACATTGTTGAACACACACACACAGTCGTTCTCCAGCCAAAGCCAAAAGAAATTAGGGTTCAGGGCTTTATTGGCTGATGATGTTCTGAGAAAGAAGATCAGTTAGTTCAGGTGGATTAGATGTGGAAGACGAAGTGTGACTGACCCAACCTAACCCAGCGATTAAAACATCACGCCGTTTAGAAATTTAACAAAATAACTACGTGCCGTTTCCAATAAATTCAAACAACGCCGCAACAATTATTTTAACGCTAAAACGCCCAAGATGCCTTGAAACCATAATAAAAGCATCAACGAATCAGTGAAAGTAATAAGAAACAGCTTGCTTGTTTGATGAGACAGAAGAATAAAGCAAGAGTCAAAAACAATTCTCTGCAATCTTCCTCTTCTTCTTGTTTCCATCAATGGCATCATATCAGAGGCTTCTCAGGTTTTGCATCACAAGTTTCACAATCTTCTTCTGCCTCTTATCTCTGTCTTCAAGCCAGAAAGTCACACTAAGTCTATACTACGAAGCCCTATGCCCCTACTGTGCAGAATTCATCGTTAACCACTTGCCTAAGATCTTCGAAACCGGCTTAATCTCATCCATTGATCTCCAGCTCATTCCATGGGGTAACGCTGTTATCAGACCAGATGGCACCATTCTCTGCCAGGTCTTGGACTCTTCTTGCCTTGTCTCACTTGTATTGTACATCATAAGATTAGGACATAGAATTTGACTATTGCTTTGTTTTCAGCACGGAGAAGCTGAGTGTGCGCTCAACGCAATTCACGCCTGTGCAATAAACGCATACCCTGATGTGGTAAGTCTCTAAAACGGTAAAAGCTACCAAAAGCTTCTTGGGATTATGCAGTAAGATTACCATATAAAGGCTTGACTGTTAATATGACTGCTATGTGCTCTGCATATATCACTTGCAGATGAAGCATTTTGGATTCATCTACTGTACGGAACAGTTAGTCTTGGAGAACAAACTTGAAAAATGGGCTGATTGTTTAGAAATGGTTGGATTGAGCGGAGCAGCAGTTGATTGTTACATTAACGGATACGGAAACCAGGTAAATCCTGCTCAGAGGAAAGTACGTTAGTTAACTTATTATACAGCTAAAACAGGAAAGCTAAACATATAAGCAAGAAAAGAATGACAACTATGTGGCAATGTGCAGCTTGAGCAGAGGTATGCTGAAGAAACTTCTGAACTTTATCCAGCACACAGATTTGTACCATGGGTGGTTGTGAATAACCAACCACTTCAAGAGGTTAGTCCTATAAATTAAGCTGATTACTTTCAAGATCAAAGAAGAAACAAACTTTTCATTTATGTGCCTTTGGTGAACAGAACTACCAGAACTTTGTCATGTATATATGCAATGCTTATGGAAGTAACCAAGTACCAGAAGGGTGCAGGATCCTCAACAGTTCGGTGGAGACACTAAGCAGGTTCGATAGTTCAGTGGAGAAGCTAAGTAACAGTCACCAAGTTTGCTATTCCAATCACTAAGATTTGAATCAAAAATCCTTAAAATCTCTAAGATAGTTCAATATACAGAAGTGTTTGGGAAATCAGAAACTGCTTACCAATCAAATTTTGCACCTCTCGAATTCGTTCTACACTTAAGACTGGATTTGCAACAATCTGCACAAATAGATAAATATAGGATGCACTCTTCTTGAACATCCAAGATTTAAGTTATGTTTCTGAAGATTTTGGACGCTAAACGTACAAACAGTACATATAACAAAGAAATAGTAAAGCACTGATACCTACAGAGAGATATTCATGAAAGATGATCTTTTTGCATATACACAAGAATCAACACCAACAACGAAAAAGGAAATCTTAACATGAGATAAAGGCAGATATTGTTCATAGTACAGAGGCCATGAAGCTTTTTACATCTAAAGAATAAGCAAAGGCGGTTTTGTTGTTAAGGCTGACTATTGCCTGTTTATAATATCCCAAATGCCATTACATGTCTCGTAGGCAGTAGTCTTGTCTGAATCGAATTCAAACTTGTCCATTAGCCTTTTGTCTCGATCAACCATATCTGTCGTATATTCAATCAAGGATTTAACCTCTTAGGACAAGGGTGAATAAGATTTAAATTAAGAAAGTTCACAGAGTAGATAGAAGTTTGTTAAAAGCAAAGGATACAGCCTGAGGTCTTGGATGAATCATCAATGTTTGGTATTACTCTAGTGACAGAAGCATACATAGAAAGCTTTTTCCTGCAGAGAACCAAAAACAAAAAAAAGAGCATAAGCGAAATTACTACTTTTCAAAGCTAACAGGTACATATGAACATTCAAAGAATCAATTAACATAAAGACGGAAATATGAACCCCAAAAAAGAAAGTGGATTCGTCAATCTTACTCGGTTCTCAGCTGTTCCCGCTTGTTCCTCTTTATAGCTAATATGTGCTCTTCAAAGAATGCCTCCTGAGAATTCAGGTCTTTGAGTTCATCAGCAATGAATGTGTTGACATAAACCAAGTAAAAAAAAACAAAATTAGTCATGTCATTGAATCAACGGACGAGAAGCTTAAGCTCAGGTCAGTGAAATTATACGTATCTAAGCTCCTCCTGCAGCTTGCACTCTAGTTCTAGCTCATCATCAAGCTCTTTCTGAAGACGCTCAGTTTCTTCTTCATCAGCAATCTCTGAATTTGCCTCATCCGTCTTCTCCTTGCAAACATGGAGTTTCTTCTGCAAATCTGCGGGACAAAATAAAAAAAAAAACGAAAATTCACCACTCAATCGAACACACGTCATCCCAACTAAATATGGCATTAGAGACTCGAAAAATGGGAAAACTAACCTTGGAGAGATTCATGTATCTCACTAAAATCGTCGTCGCAGGAGAATTGGATAGCTCTCAGATGCTCGAGAGTTTGTACCAACACACCAAATCCTTTCCTATCACCCAAAACATTGATCAATTCGTCACCCCATGAAATCGCCATTTCGAAGTTCCTCGACTGATCTCCCATCTCCGACACCGGACAATGAACAATCCACTAACCTAGCTCCAGTTCTGCGACCCAAACCGTCAGAAAAAAATTCAAAAGCAGAGGGAAAAATATCTAGATTTGGTTTTCCGATCGTAGTACGGACCGATTTAATTTGAGAAAGTAGAAACTATTTCAAACGTGGGATCGGCCCATTGGGCTTCTTTTCAACTCGCGAATAAATGATTTACAAAAAAAGTCCATAACCAATTAAATGAAGCTGACCTGACATCATTATCTGGCATCCTCTAGTTTCACCATCTCACGTGACGTGATCTTGTAGGCTTCAATGCTACGTCGTTGAACTGTAATAAAATAAAATAAATCAACAACGAACATATGCTAAGAATACTTTTACCAAGTCAAATCCTCAACGACTTTTTCTCTTACCAATCGAATCGACTCGTGTGAGAGAACTCGTTTAGATCGCACGAGAAATGCTTAAATAATTGCATGTGGGGGATTATATAACAGTCAGTCAACCAACTAAACTATGAAAGTAAATCGCATCGAAATTCGAATACTTACTGCACTCATATTACTATAAGCTTTGGTTCTCATTTCATCCCCCTCCAAGATCTTATTATAGTTTAAGTCACACAATTTCCAAAGTCCAAAATACTTATTTCGACTCCTTTCTTTCACACCCAAAGTATAAAATATAAGGAAATTCCAAGTTAATTTGGACTTTGTCAAAGTCAGCCCTATGCTTCCATTGGACTTTAAAACAATAAAAGATACTTTCCCTTAATTATAGAGCATCCTATAATGTGTCATTTAACTCTTTATCAAAAACCTGCAAGTTAGGAAGTTATTGTCATTTTTCTTTTTCTTTTGTCTTCTTTGCTTCTTCATCTCAATCATCGACAATCCGTAAGAGAAACCAAACTCTTCTCCTTCTTTTTTTTTTTTTTTTTTTTTGGTGCAAACTCTTCTCCTTCTAAGAATCATCTTTTGTTGTCATCTTACAAAGCCGTTATTTCTGTTTTTGTTTCACCTTTTCTACCTCAATTTTGTTTTTGGTTATCCCTCTATCTCTATCGATCACTTATGGGCAGAGCAAAATCCATGGTCTCGCTCTTGTTGGTGCTCTTCCTTGAGATCCTTGTTAGAGCTCAGATAGCAACAACAGAGACCACAACAGAGTTCATTTTCCAAGGTTTCAAAGGAAACCAATCAGATATTCAGATGGACGGAGATTCAACCATCACATCCAACGGACTATTGAGGCTCACCGATCGAAACAAGGACGTTGTTGGTACAGCTTTCTACCATAAACCGGTGAGATTGCTCGACAGTAACTCCACCAATACGACAGTTCGCTCCTTTAGCACTTCTTTCGTCTTCGTAATCCCTTCAAGCTCAACAAGCAACGGAGGTTTTGGCTTCACATTCACACTCTCTCCAACCCCAAACCGTACAGACGCGGATCCCGAGCAGTACATGGGGCTTCTCAACGAAAGAAACGACGGGAATTCAAGCAATCACGTTTTTGCTGTGGAATTCGACACGGTTCAAGGATTCAAAGACGGTACAAATCAAATAGGCAACCACATCGGTCTAAATTTCAACAGTCTCTCTTCAGATGTCCAAGAACCGGTGGCTTATTACAACAACAACGATAGTCAGAAAGAGGAATTCCAACTGGTGAGCGGCGAGCCAATCCAAGTCTTCTTGGATTATCACGGACCAACCAAAACGCTTAACCTCACCGTTTACCCAACCAGACTGGGATATAAACCAAGAATCCCCTTGATCTCACGAGAGGTTCCAAAACTGTCAGATATTGTGGTAGACGAAATGTTCGTCGGATTCACAGCAGCGACAGGGAGACACGGACAATCGAGTGCTCATTATGTGATGGGTTGGAGTTTCGCAAGCGGGGGAGAACATCCACTTGCAGCTATGCTCAACCTCTCGGAGCTTCCTCCTCCGCCTCGAAATCAGACAAAGAAGAGAGGCTACAATGGTAAGGTCATCGCTCTGATTGTGGCTTTATCGACTGTTATATCGATCATGTTGGTGTTGTTGTTCCTCTTCATGATGTACAAAAAGCGAATGCAGCAAGAAGAGATTCTAGAAGATTGGGAAATCGATCATCCTCACAGATTTCGATACAGAGACCTCTATGCTGCTACTGATGGATTCAAGGAGAATCGGATTGTTGGAACCGGAGGATTCGGAGTTGTTTACAGAGGAAACATCTCATCATCTTCCTCTGAACAAATCGCAGTGAAGAAGATAACTCCGAATAGCATGCAAGGTGTTCGAGAATTTGTCGCAGAGATCGAGAGTTTGGGACGATTAAGGCATAAGAATCTAGTCAACCTCCAAGGATGGTGTAAACACAGAAACGATCTCTTGTTGATTTACGATTATATACCCAACGGAAGCTTAGACTCACTGCTCTACAGTAAACCGAGAAGAAGCGGCGCGGTTTTGGCCTGGAACGCGCGTTTTCAGATCGCCAAAGGAATCACGTCTGGTTTGTTGTATCTCCACGAGGAATGGGAAAAGATTGTGATTCACAGGGATGTGAAACCTAGCAACGTTTTGATTGACGACGATATGAACCCTAGATTGGGAGATTTTGGACTCGCGAGGCTTTACGAACGCGGATCTCAATCGCGAACCACCGTAGTCGTGGGCACGATTGGGTATATGGCGCCGGAGCTAGCCCGCAACGGAAACTCCTCATCAGCGTCCGACGTTTTCGCGTTTGGCGTTTTGCTGTTAGAGATCGTCTCCGGGAGGAAACCGACAGACTCTGGGACCTTCTTTATAGCCGATTGGGTTATGGAGCTACAAGCGAGCGGTGAGATCCTCAGTGCGATCGATCCGAGACTCGGATCTGGTTACGATGAAGGAGAGGCAAGGCTTGCTCTCGCCGTCGGTATGCTCTGTTGTCACCAAAAACCGGAATCTCGGCCGCCGATGAGAATGGTGCTCAGGTACCTGAACAGAGACGAGGATGTCCCTGTGATTGAAGACAACTGGGGATATTCAGATTCTTCAAGAACCGATTTAGGATCGAAACTCGTCGGATATATTTCGTCGGACAGGGCATCGAGCTCACACTCACACACATCTTCGTCTCTCACAAGAATTTCTTCTACTTCTTTTATCAGTGGTAGATAGATTGATTGACACATTCAAGCTCACATTAACTCTCTTTTTCTTTTTTTCCCACTTAACTAATTCAAGTTTGGGCTCGGCCCATTGGGTTCCTTGTCTCGTGTCCAGCAAAAAGCTGCGCCTATTAATTAAGAGGAATTAATTTATTAAAGCCATATTTGCCATTTGAAATCGGACCGGATTGACAACAACTACATAAAAACATGGTTTTGTTTTACTATCGGATAGGGTTAAACCACGTATTTTCAATCTCACGCGACCACGTGACGTGATCTTCTATAATCAATACTACATCATAAATAATCATCATGAGTAAATACGCAAAAGGGAAATATTGAAACTAGGACAACATTTACAAAGTCAAACTGATAAGGATTTAGTATGTGACAATTCGAATCAAGGAATTTGCAGCACTCATCAGATCAGATCTCATAATAAATGCTTATTTAAACATAATAATTATATGTGGTAATGACAATAGACCCACGTGGCGTGACCAATAAGATCGTTTCTTGTGGTAAATGTGAAAAAGTGCTTAAAGTAATCATACGATATTGTTACTAATCATTGGTAAGATTAATGTATAAAGGGAAGAAAACTTACTGCAGTCATATAAGTTCGGAACTCAATCAAATCACAAATATTATTTTATTTTATATTTAGAGTTTAAATCACACAATGTCCATGTTCAAAGTCAATTTATTTTTGTTTTTTAGCCCCAACAAAATATAAAATATCTGCATATTCAAAGTACGATGTGGAATTTGTCAAAGACAGACAATATATGCGTAGGACTTTTGAGAAAGAAAAAAAAAACAATTTAGTTTCCTGCATAAAAGAAAACATGAAATTTAGATAATTTTTTAATATTAAATTTGTAAATATTTTAATATGGTTTTGCATTTTAACCCCATAAATATGTAAATTTGTTAAATATTTAGTTGCATAATTATATTTCAAAATCACTAGATGAATAAAACTAAAATGTAATTTGTAGTTGAAAATCATCAATGATACTTGTTTCAAGTAAAGTAAAACTACAAAATAAATAATCGATTGAATAACACAAGTTTAGAAATCGATTTCAAAATCATCTTAAACAACCAAATCATTGATATCTTATAAGTACTAACAAATGATAAATGACAGTATTTTGGTCTTAGCCACAACTTTAAAATATTGAAAATTTCTTGGTTGACAATCAATATATATTTGTCAATTATTTTAAGTGTTTTTTTCTTCCAAATATTAAATGGACCACAAAGCATTGGAGTTTCATATATATTTTTCAATACTCGGTAATGTGAACCAGTTTGCGAAGAGGAAGAACATACGCAATTTCTAGTTTAAAACTTATAAATTCTTCTTTTCTTCAGTCTCCTAATTATAACAACTTCTCTAATCCTTAAATTTCGGACAAGCACCTCGTGTTATCTTCTTCTTGATCTCTTTCCAAAACGCCTTCTCTCTGTTTTTTTCTTTTTTTTTGTTTCCAATGTACCGATCAATGGGTACTGCAAGATCCATAATCTCTTTAAAGCTCGTGCTCTTCTTGCTTTTGACCATCCCTACTCGAGCTCAAAGAACAACAACGGAGACTCCAATAACAGAGTTTATTTTCCGAGGTTTTAGTGGAAACCAATCGAATATTGTGACTACGGGAGCTGCGACGATCAAACCCGACGGACTATTGAGGCTCACTGACCGAAACTCGAACGTTACCGGTACATCTTTCTACCACAAAGCGGTGAGATTGCTGGAGACCAATACACGTTCCACAAACGCTACGGTTCGTTCTTTTAGCACTTCTTTCGTATTCGTCATAATCCCTACAAGCTCCAGCAACGGAGGTTTTGGCTTCACCTTCACGCTATCTCCAACCCCTGATCGTACCGGAGCCGAATCTGCACAGTATTTAGGACTTCTCAACAAAGGTAACGACGGGAATTTGACGAATCACGTTTTTGCCGTGGAATTCGACACGGTGCAAGGTTTCAAAGACGGTGCCGATAGAACAGGCAATCACATCGGTCTAAATTTCAACAGTTTAACATCTGATGTTCAAGAACCGGTCGTGTATTACGACAACGAAGATCCTGACCGGAAAGAGGATTTCCCACTACAGAGCGGCGATCCGATCCGAGCAATTTTGGATTACGATGGGCCAACTCAAACGCTAAACTTAACTGTCTACCCGGCTAATTTGAAGTCTAGACCCGTAAGGCCTTTGATCTCCCGACCGGTTCCGAAATTATCGCAAATCGTGCAAGAAGAAATGTATGTCGGATTCACAGCAGCTACAGGGAGAGATCAGTCGAGTGCTCATTACATCATGGGCTGGAGTTTTTCTAGCGGCGGCGATCTTCTAACTGCAGATACACTTGACCTGTTGGAACTTCCTCGTCCGCCTCCGAATACAGCAAAGAAGAGAGGTTACAATTCTCAAGTACTCGCTCTGATCGTAGCTCTATCGGGCGTAACCTTGGTCTTGCTTGCGTTACTCTTCTTCTTCGTGATGTATAAGAAACGATTGCAACAAGGAGAGATTCTTGAAGACTGGGAAATCAATCATCCTCACAGACTCAGATATAAAGATCTCTACGCTGCTACTGATGGATTCAAGGAGAATAGGATTATCGGAACCGGAGGATTCGGAACCGTTTTCCGAGGAAACATCTCGTCGCCTTCGTCTGATCAAATCGCTGTGAAGAAGATAACTCCGAATAGTATGCAAGGTGTTCGAGAATTTATCGCAGAGATCGAGAGTTTGGGACGATTAAGGCATAAGAATCTGGTCAACCTTCAAGGATGGTGCAAGCAAAAAAACGACCTCTTGTTAATTTATGACTATATCCCTAATGGAAGCTTAGACTCGCTCCTATACAGTAGACCAAGACAGAGCGGCGCCGTTTTGCCGTGGAATGCACGTTTTAAGATCGCTAAAGGAATCGCGTCTGGTTTGTTGTATCTCCATGAAGAATGGGAAAAGATTGTTATTCACAGAGACATAAAACCTAGCAACGTTTTGATTGAGGACGATATGAATCCTAGGTTGGGAGATTTTGGACTCGCCAGGCTTTATGAACGCGGATCGCAATCAAACACGACTGTAGTCGTGGGCACGATTGGCTATATGGCACCAGAGCTGGCCCGCAACGGCAAATCTTCGTCTGCGTCTGATGTTTTTGCGTTTGGCGTTTTGCTATTAGAAATAGTATCCGGGAGAAGACCGACGGACTCAGGGACATTCTTCTTGGCAGATTGGGTTATGGAATTGCACGCGAGAGGAGAGATTCTTCACGCGGTGGATCCGAGACTTGGATTTGGTTACGACAGCGTAGAGGCAAGGCTTGCTCTTCTTGTGGGATTGCTCTGTTGCCATCAAAGACCGACGTCTCGGCCGTCGATGAGAATGGTGCTTAGGTATTTGAATGGGGACGAAGATGTTCCTGAAATTGATAACGATTGGGGATACTCAGATTCTTCAAGAAGCGATTTAGGATCCAACTTTGAAGGATATGTTTCATCGGATAGGGTTTCGAGCTCAGTCGCATCTTTCTCCGTTACAAGGATTTCTTCCAGCTCTGTTGTCAGTGGTAGATAGTGCAAATTCACTTTGTAACTTATAATAAGCAGGACAGTATTACAAGTTTTGTTTTCATATTTAACGGCTCGTTTGACAAACCGCGTTTTTAACGGTATGGAAAGGATTGTTGTTTTATCAACTAAAGAGTAATGCTAAGAGCGGTAAAATAATTTTAAATGACAGACGGTGAAAGTATTTATTTTACATTTGCAAATTGCAAAGATGCTTGTCCGATTAATAATAGAAAAAGATTATCTAGTTTTAAAATACGATGGAAAATATCAGTCACCAATTAAATTCGTTTAGCTTTCAAAACTGAACAAAAACATAAACTTAAAAATAATATTGTTGGGTTGTCTATTTCTAAATGGTTGTTAGCATGACGCAAAAGCTACAAGTCTATAACACACGTCACTCAATAATTAATATTGATATTTTAATATTACTGCATTTGTTTCTTCTGAAAGAGACATGTATTTTTTTTTTTTTTTTTTTGTTTATATTATTTGTGTTACCATTTACCAATCGATTTTATATGACAAAATCAAGTCCATGGAGAAATTTAGAACTCACTAGATCTTGCTAGAAATGGTAATTTAGAAAAATTAAACGTGGGTGTTACTTGTTAGAGAAAATACTTGAGAGTTTGAGAAAACACTTATACCGGGTTAAACGATATTCATTGACGACAAAAAAAAAAAAAAAAAAAAAGATTTTCATTGGACACTTTATCTTTTATCTTTTAAGGTATAACCACAAACGTCCAATTCCATATGACTATTTTTATGGGTAAACGACCTGTGTCCCCCTAGAAAGTTTCATATAGTATCACAACTACACAGAATTCGGACCTCGACCGCAGTCCACACAGATCAGAAGTTAAACTCCAGTTTCCCCCCAAATCAAAAGTTCGAGACCTTGGTCCCCAAAATTTTGAATTTCGTGGTTTATCTGTGGTTTACTGTACCGAACCGATGTCATATCTGTGGTTTACTGTACCGAACCGATGCCAAACCAAAACCCAGTAGAATAGACCGAATTGAAATCTATCCTCTCCAAAAATCTATCATCTTCTTTAAAACTCTTTTCCGGATTCCCAGCTTTGCAATATCCGTCGATCAACGTGTTGTACGATATCAAAGAAGGCAACAATCTTCTTGCAAGCATTTCGTCGAACAACTGTTCTGCATCTTTCATCTTTCTCACTTTACATAACCCATCAATAAGGACATTGTAGATAAACACACTGGGAGAGATTCTATCGTGCTTCATCCGATTAAACAGCTCTAAACCTTTACCTACATTGCTCAATTTGACGGTAGCTTGAATTGCTTTCCCATACATGAACTTACTCGGACGAAAATCAGAATCCAGAATATTTAAGAACACGTTTATAGTCACCTTGAATTGTTTCGCCTTCACAAGATGATCAAGAAACAGTGTTAACGAATCTGAGCTGGGAAAAATACCTTCACTCCTCAAAGCGAAGAACAAATCTGCAGGTTTAGAAATCATCTTCGATTCGTTTAATAGCACGGAGAGAAGCAAGTAGGAGAAATCGTGTTTCAACGACGGAGATGATAGCGAGAAGGCGGAGAAGAGTTCTTTCGGCAATGTGAACGGCGTAGAATCCGATCGAAGCAGCGAAGAGAGAGCGCCACGCGCCGTTTTGATTCGATTCCGCTGGAGAAGAACTCGGAGATTCCTTAGCTTTTCGTGTCGCTCTTCGTCTCCGGTGACGGGATTCGTAGGCGAAGTGTTCAGGTGAAGTGGGTTGAGATTCGGATTCGGGTCGGTGGAGGCTGAGAAGAGACGACATGAGCACGATGGTGAGACAAACTCAGTGAACTTGACGGTGGCGTAACGAGAAGATCTCGAAACGAGTCTTAAGCGAGTCACCATCGTTGAGCTGCCGGAGAACTCGGCAAAATTGAAAGACACCCAAATCTTAACGTAATAAAACCTTATAAATAAAACATATATTCAGAAAATTAATGAAATTTTGAAATTAATTACAAAATTCATTGCTCGATTATGTTTAATTAAGTTTAAGGATTTCAATTCGGTTTATTCTATTGGGTTTTGGTTTGGCATCGGTTCGGTACAGTAAACCACATATATGGCGTCGGTTCGGTACACTAAACCACAGATAAACCACGAAATTCAAAATTTTGGGGACCAAGGTCTCGAACTTTTGATTTGGGGGGAAACTGGAGTTTAACTTCTGATCTGTGTGGACTGCGGTCGAGGTCCGAATTCTGTGTAGTTGTGATACTATATGAAACTTTCTAGGGGGACACAGGTCGTTTTCCCCTTATTTTTATAGTCATCTCTTTCTGTTCCAAAGGAAAAATATAAAATATCAGGATGTTAAAGTCAGCGTCGAATTTTTCAAAGTCAGCCTGATGGTTGCCTTTGGACCTTCTTTTAACCACAAGTTTAAGGAATAAAACATGATGGTCCAAGTCGAAATGAAAATTAATAGCTAACATTTCCTTTTATTTAACGTTTTTCACAAAAACATTGGGTGCCATATATTTTCAATGTACGGTAACGTGAACATTGAGCGGAAAGTACCAAGTTCCTTCTTCTTTTTTGGTTTTGGTATAATTTTCATCTTCTTTGACTCTAAGAAAAAACAAACTCTCATGTCCATAAAAGAAAATTTCTAAACAAGAACTCTTCAAAGTATATCTTCTTTTTTATTTCGCTCACCATGGGCACTGCAAGATCCATTGTCTTAGTCTCACTCTTATTCAAGCTTTTCCTGTTTTTGAACGTCCATGTTGGAGCTCAGAGAACAACAAGAGTTTACTTTCCGAGGTTTTCTTGGAAACCAATCAAAGATTCGGATTGAAGGAGCCGCGATGATCAAACCCGACGGACTATTGAGACTCACTGATCGGAAGTCAAACGTAACCGGTACGGCTTTCTACCACAAACCGGTGAGATTGCTGGAGACTAGTAGAAATTCCACAAACGTCAGAGTTCGTTCCTTTAGCACTTCTTTCGTCTTTGTCATAATCCCTTCAAGCTCAAGCAATAAAGGTTTTGGATTCACATTCACACTATCTCCAACCCCTTATCGTCTCAATGCTGGATCCGCACAGTACTTGGGCGTTTTCAACAAAGAGAACAATGGGGATCCTAGGAACCACGTTTTCGCAGTGGAATTCGATACGGTGCAAGGATCCAGAGACGACAACACCGACAGAATAGGAAACGACATCGGTCTGAATTACAACAGTCGTACTTCAGATCTCCAAGAACCAGTCGTGTATTACAACAATGATGATCCTAACAAAAAAGAAGATTTCCAGCTTGAGAGTGGCAATCCGATTCAAGCCCTTTTGGAGTATGATGGACCAACACAAATGCTAAACGTCACCGTTTATCCGGCGAGATTGGGGTTTAAACCCACAAAGCCTTTGATCTCTCAACATGTTCCAAAACTGTTAGAGATTGTTCAACAAGAAATGTACGTCGGATTCACCGCATCGACGGGGAAAGGTCAGTCGAGTGCTCATTACGTGATGGGTTGGAGTTTCTCAAGCGGCGGAGAACGTCCAACTGCAGACGTCCTCGATCTCTCGGAGCTTCCTCCTCCGCCGCCGAATAAGGCGAAGAAAGAAGGTTTAAATTCTCAAGTCATTGTAATGATCGTGTCTTTATCGGCAGTAATGCTGGTCATGCTCGTGTTGCTCTTCTTCTTCGTCATGTACAAAAAGAGATTGGGACAAGAAGAGACTCTTGAAGACTGGGAAATCGATCATCCTCGCAGGTTGAGATACAGAGATCTCTACGTAGCCACGGATGGATTCAAGAAGACGGGGATCATCGGAACCGGAGGATTTGGAACCGTTTTCAAAGGAAAACTCCCGAATTCGGATCCCATCGCTGTGAAGAAGATAATTCCCAGTAGCAGGCAAGGTGTTCGAGAATTTGTCGCAGAGATCGAGAGTTTGGGGAAATTAAGGCATAAGAATCTGGTGAATCTCCAAGGATGGTGCAAACACAAAAACGATCTCTTGTTGATTTACGATTATATCCCCAACGGAAGCTTAGACTCACTGCTCTACACTGTGCCGAGAAGAAGCGGCGCGGTGTTGTCGTGGAACGCGCGTTTTCAGATCGCTAAAGGAATCGCGTCTGGTTTGTTGTATCTTCACGAAGAATGGGAAAAGATTGTGATTCACAGAGACGTGAAACCTAGCAATGTCTTAATTGATTCAAAGATGAACCCTAGATTGGGAGATTTTGGACTCGCGCGGCTTTACGAACGCGGAACGCTATCGCAGACAACAGCACTCGTTGGAACCATTGGCTACATGGCGCCAGAGCTTTCCCGAAACGGCAACCCATCATCTGCGTCTGATGTTTTCGCGTTTGGCGTTTTGCTGTTAGAGATCGTCTGTGGGAGAAAACCTACGGATTCCTGTAGCTTCTTCTTAGTCGATTGGGTCATGGAGCTTCACGCGAACGGTGAGATTCTCAGTGCGATCGATCCGAGACTTGGATCTGGTTATGACGGCGGAGAAGCAAGGCTTGCTCTCGCCGTGGGTTTGCTCTGTTGCCACCAAAAACCGACGTCCCGGCCGTCGATGAAAATGGTGCTCAGGTACCTGAACAGAGACGAGGATGTTCCTGAGATTGACGATGAGTGGGGATATGCCAAGTCTTCAAGAAGCGAATTCGGGTCCAAGCTTGTAGGATATGATTCGTTGAGCTCAATCGCTTCTTCGTTCGTCAACAGAGTTTCTTCGACTTCTCGTATCAGTCAGTAGTGGATGATGCACATTCACTTTCTTTTTTGTTAATTAATTTTCTTTTTCCATTGTAATCAATATAATATTCTGATAATCAAAATTTTTAGATGAGTGATTATCATTTATCACTGGTTAAGCGATGGTAATTTTTATTTTTTTTTGTTAACAATTTGTGAATAATAACTGGTTTTAAAATCAACAAATTATCAAATATGAGTAACAATTTGTGAGGGTTAAAAAAAAAACACTTTGTGAGGGTAATCAAACGTTTTTAACCCCAAATCAATTGGAAACGTGTAATTAATTAATCTAACTAGATATCCATTTGCACACAAAAATATTCTGATTTCTCCATGTTTGAAACAAAATTCGATTAGCTTTCTTTTTCTTGATAAGCAATTCTTCTATAGCTTTCAAAGCAGTTCTGCTTCGAATTGGTCAAATCTTTTAGCTTTCAAAAGACCAAAACATAAGTTAACTATTAGTTATGGACAATAGTATAAAATAATTTTTTGTGACGTTACACAGATTTACACAGATTTGTGACGTCACGCAGATTATTCATACAGTTAATGATTTTTTTTACAATCACTGCATGTTTTGCTTATGGTCCCATGAATTTTTCTTGTTTTATCCGGATTATGCATGTCCATTTTGATCGTTGAACCACCCATTTGCCCATTTATTATATATTAATTATATATAATTATATATAAATTCATCAAGGAATATTTCTTTTGGTGATATTACAATCAATTCATTGAGTCTCCGCGTCCACTATACGTTTGTTTGTAGCTTTTTCTTCGGTGCTGTTGCAAACGAGCAAGTAACTGAACCTCCTTAATGTATCATGTATGTGTCGCAATCGTATATGAAAAACAAATAATATTTCAACGTCTTCCTACATTACGGAACAGTGACAGGGATTAGTCAAGTCTTCATGTTCATCCAAATCCCACGCGGTGTGACTATCTTTCTTTCTTTTGTCTCTGTGGACTTATATTAAAATTGTGTTTGTGTCTATCTTTTTGTACCGTTCTCTCTTTTATCTCCCAAATTAAGAAAATAATCAGCACAAAACAATGATCATGCTATAGTATTGGGCCAACCTGTATATGCGAAATAGCCAGTTTCATTTTGAGAATCTATAACGAGTAGGTAATAATAAATTCGGAAAAGGCCAATATAATGTCATGGGCCGAAACAAGTAAATAAACCAAACGAGCAAAAGCCCATACTCGATTCAGTATCATAGCTCTGTTTATACAAAAGTTACAAATAGAATCAGATGATAAACATGATTTTATTAAGAGGAGGAGAAGGTATCGATGATGGTGGTGTGGAGTGGATCACTGAGGTGAGTAGCCCAATTGTTGAGTGGACCTTTACCCGTTGCAGCCGCTTGAACCGCAAATCCCAAGAAGGCGACCATCGCAAGACGTGCGTGCTTGATCTCGGCTAATTGAAGTTGAGCCCTCTTCTCCGGGTCAGCCGCTAAGCCTAGCGGGTCGAAGTACTTGCCTCCCGGGTACAAACGCTTCTCCGAGTCAAGCTCGGCATTACGCTGGAACTCGATGTACCCGACCACTAACACCTCGATCCATATCAATGTCGAGATCGAGAACGGTAACGGCTGCCCCAAGTAGGACGATCCATCTACAAGCTCCACCTGATACATTCCAAATACCAAGCAAATTGAATAACATAAGACTTTCAACAAGTTACAAATCACTGATTGGATAGTAATTAATTTGTTTCAAAAAGTTACCCATTTAACTGACCATAATCTCAAACAGTCTAACGCTAACGCAAACGCTAGGAAAAAAAGAGAGTCACAGAGAGCAAACGCAAAAATATTATATCCTTTGTTGTGTTTATTAGCTACATTTCTACTAGGGGGATCACAAATAACTAACTAACTAGCATTTTCGGCGGTAAAAATAACTAACTTATAACCGATTTGGCGTCGGCGGAGGGAGGGGCCTTACCTTGCCGGCGTCTTGCCAAGTAACGCCGGTGAGCCACTCGACGGAGAGAGCGCCGAGAGTAGCAAGCATCGCCCAGCGTCCGTGGATCAGCTCGCATTCCCTGAATCTCTGGATTCCGAACACCTCACTGTACGGCTGAAACGGCGTCGATTTGGCGTCGGCAGCTTCCGTACGGGTTCCGATCACGTCTCCCGCCAAGTTCTTAGCCAGATTCTGGTCTAGTGAATCGATATCGAATTGGAGATACTCGGCCGGTTTACCTAAACCAAAGGGATCAAAACCGTAGTCTCCAACCAACGAACCATCGAGCCATTCAGGAGAAATGGCGCCAGGGTACCAAAGAGGCCGGTCCGTAGTCACCGTCTTTTTGGACGCACTCTTTTTGGGAGCTGCCTTCTTCTTTCCGAAACTGAACAGGGCCGTGAACCGACTTGAACCGGGATGGATACCGGGAGCAACCCGAGTACCCATGATGGAAGAAGCAGCTGCAGCAGCGGCGGAAGTGGCGGCCATCTCCGGCGATTGCGTTTTGTGATTTCAGAAAGATAGAGAAGAATGCACCATTTCTTGAACCACGATTATAGATGCGTGGAGGTGATTTTTTTTTCCATTTGGAGCTGAGCTATCTTGGAAAGACGATTACGACCGTCGGATCGATACACAAATCCATCTGACGGTGAATAGGATTACTAACCTTATCTACTTATCTGGTGATGTTTCAAGTCCACTGGCAACAGAATCGAGATGAGGTATAATCTGATTGGGTCAAATAAGTTCTTACACCAATTAAAAAAAGCCACGTGTAATGTGATACGGTCTTCGGTTCCACTCAAATGGCTGGTTTCCGGTTTAACTAAATTACGCCAAAAACGATCAAACAAACCGGTTTGACGAACCAACAATGTAGTACCGCCAATAACCAAATGTGATGTCGAATTTTGGATCTAAATGTCAATAACCAACGGTTGTTATATACAAACCCCAAATCAGAGACTGTAGAAAGCTGAAAAAATAACTAAAAAGCACAAGGTGTGAAAACACATAAATATTATATACAAAGTGAGCACAAATAGATGAAATTTTGATAGAAATTGCTATGTGCATAACAAGAAATAGAGAGAATGCGTTCGTTCACCGAGGAAGAGGAGCATAAGGGACTAGATTTGAATCAGAAGTAACGAGAGGCAACTTGTCAATGTATATCAACAACCTCTTCAGATTCTCCTTGTAAATCGCCGGTAAATCCGCAATCTCGGCGCTAGAAGTGTATATCCATAGATCACCAGAGTTCACTCTTTTTAAGCTGCCTCGACAGAACGGGCACGACTGTGACCTTGCACGCCTATTCCAAACAACAGATTCTATAACTTAAAAAAAAAAGGCTGATGCATGATTGGTGAGAGTGAGTGAAAAGAGGAAAAGCTTTTATACCAATTTCTGTAGCAGTTTATACACATGGAGTGATTGCAAGTAGGAAGTACAACTTTATTTCGAATCTCCAAGCAAATTCCACACTCTTCTTCTCTCTCCAAATCGATCTCCGACATCTTCCCTTTCTCTGTTCTGTCCTTTTTCCGGTATCTTTTGTCGCATATCTCCTTCTGTTTCCTTTCTTCTACATCAGTTATCCCTCCGTGAAGTTGTAATAGTGAAGGAAACAAGACATCTGCCCAACAACATCCGTTGCTAGTCAGAAAAACATATCAGATGGTCTAATCTAATACGTTTAGATCAAGAGAGAATAAGTGATTAACTAGTCGTTTAAAATCCTGGTCAAGTAAAATAGATTACCATAGAATTCTCTGATACTAGCTTTGCGTTCATGTAGCGACATTGTGGTCTTCCCATCAACATACGCCTATAATAATAATAAACAGAGAACCACATATCAGACAGACAAGAACAGAAGATCAAGATCCAATAATAAAACAGAAGCAAAATCAAGACCTTATAAATAAGGATCCTAAGCAATCCCAAAGTGCCTGCAAAATGACAATCTGTCCACTGAAGAAGGAAGAGAAAGAGATGAGCCGCCGGGCTGTAAGATAATCTCATCTGAACGTAGCCACCATCATACTCCTCTGGATACTCTGATGCCCTTCACACGTAAAAGTCATTTTCTCTGTTTTTAGTCATTTTGATTCTATGATTGGTGAGATTAGTACGCAACATGAACATGTTTGGTTCACAGATTTAATCCATCATACCAAGTCAACTTAAGATAGAATCAGACTATACGACGAAAGGAAAAAAGAATTGACCACTATAGATAATAGATTGTGTGTGATCTGACCAAATGGTGGTGGTGGCGTCTGCGACTTGCTAAGGAATAAATTTTGGAATTTATGAGCTCGCGTAAACGCAAAGTCTGAAATTCATTATGACATCAGCACACATAGACCCAGCAGACAACAGAGATTCAGATTCACAAGTATCAATAACTGAACCTATATCCTCTGGAAACTTCGATAGAACTAAAAAAAATTTGTGAAAACAATCTGAATCGGAGGAGACAAAAATCAGCAACTCGAGCAAGGGCCAAACCGAAATACCAACTAAGAAAGGATTCAACCACAAAATCAAACAAATTTTCGAACCACTATCGACTAAGAACACGATCAGATTCTTCCAAAACATCGAAAAACAGAGAGATATAGAGAGATTTACAGAGTGTTGGCGAACTGGATATCAGCTTCAAGAGCCTTGAGTGAATCCTTAAACGATTTTCGCATTTTCCGAACAAGGACGATTTAATAATATAAACCAGCTTCCTTGCGAGTGAGAGAGAAAAACAAAACCAATCCAAAAAAAACCTTACTAGCTCCTTTGTTTAATTTTTGTCGAGATCACCGACAGAAGCCTAAAATATCGCAAACCCCTTAACAACAACTCGAATTGATTCTCTCTCCCATTTCCATGGATGGTTTCGAGATTTTTTTACTCACTCAACCACAAGGTAACGACAGGAAGAAGAAGAAGGAGAGAGAGAGAGGATTTAGATATTATAGATTCGCGTAGAGCACACGTAATATCAAAATATTTACAAAAAGGGCAAGGAGCCGAGCGTCTAAAGCTCTTTTTTGTTCGAGAAGGAACGGCAACACTTCTCCTACTTACTTGCCCACAAAAATAAAAGCTTCTCAGAAGTAAACTGCAATGACCATAAAGCCCTCCCGTTTGGATCCACCTAACAAATACAGGATAATATTATTTATTTACAATGAAAATATCAGAAAATATGATAATTATTGAGTGACACGCCGGTGACAGGACGTGTGTCACTGCTATAGGCGGCGGTGAGTGCAAGTGAGCCTACTTAGCTTCATCGTCGTGCGAGCTAGAAGTATTTGACCGACATGTGTTTGATGTCGGTCAAACCACGACACGTGGCGCGAATACATGAGCGTACGTAAGTAGGTCCAAAGTACTAGCTTTGACGTGTCTCCAATTCCATACGGTCATATAGTGGACCCTAGTTAAAACCCTGAGAATCCATGATTTGTAGTAACATTTTATGGAATATTTTTGCATGCTTGGATCTCCAAAGGCCATGTATAAATTTGCTTAGCTTTTTTTAATAATTTGGGGTTTTAGGATGATACGTGTGTGACCTACGTGTGCTTTTACAAATTACAATCAATGAATATGGATTAGGAGGGCAAAAGAATCAAACAATAATAGTATTATGTTCGTGACATAATTGCTTATCATTATTATTACGGAAACAAATTAATAGCGATAATGACTCATCAAACCGCTAATTCAACTACAGTAATGAAGACAGAAATAAAGCAAAGTCACTTTTCACAAAATTGCGAATATATTGCTCTAGTAGTTTAGATCACTAGACTGCAAATTGAATCCGTATATGATAACAAATCAAAAGATAACTATAACTCTAATACAAATATAGGAATTAGGCTACAATTTGAAATATATCAGCACTTAGATAATAATAGCTGAGAGAAGCAGAATTTTGGTTCTATTATATATAAAAATCAAATTATAAAATGATGTTGTCTTTTTGTTTTTAATTTCGGAAGGCCACCTCTAAATTCTAAAATAAACGCAAGCAGAATAAAGATGACGACGTATCAAGAACAAACAGAGGTATAATCACTATCATTGGCCTAAAACCTCACCTTTTGTCTCATTTATCCACACTAACTTATTAGATATTACTCTTAATTTATAATTTTTTCCTCTTAATTTATATGGATCAGGTCACACAATACAAATTTAAACAAGTTGCCATACAAAGCCTGATATATCCTAACTATATTAGCTGTACCAAACAATGATATTTCTACAAATCACCTATAGATTACTCCATATTCAAATTGACAGGGTTTAGTATTATTTACCTCAAGTGTTATTTTCTTTTGTTCAAGAGATTGCGTGATGAGTCTGAAGAATCAATCAATCAATCGAATGTTAGAGAGGGATAGATTCCTGGTCGATGAGAACTTGGTTGGGAATCTTCAAGTTAGATTCACGTAGATTCCATCCAGCAGTATCCAACTTGAACAAGAAATCATCAAACTTGTTGTCCATCTCCGACAAGCTTTGCTTCAGCCAGTGGAACACACTATCCTTGTCTTTAAAGCTTTCTTCCATGTTCTCCTCTAACCAATATGCTTGCCAAAGACATCTCAACACGTCTCTGCTTGTGGCACTCACCTGCATTATTTGTTTTACATTCATGAATTCAAGGCAATAACAATGCGTAAATCATTCAAGATATACTTTGATGGAGAAGGAGTAGAAAGAAAGCCAGACTTTATGTAAAGCAACGTAGTTTCAAACAAGAAATGATAAAAGCAAAGGCTCCAGAAATTATAAGATCATGTAACACTTTACTGCTACGACAACTCTAGCTCCAATGGTAACCGAGAGTACTCTCCAACAAGGTGAAGAAACTTTGTCCCCTCGATTAAGGCGATAATTATGAAAAATGACTGCCTACCTCATATGCTTCTAAAGCAGCTTATTCAGCTAAGAAGAAGCAAACAATATGTCATCTCTATGATCTCTCCCAGTCATGCTCTAATTAATTACCCATGAATGAGTTTCAAGACTCTCAACTAATCACTAACCAAAGCATGCCCAACTCTCTATCAGGTTACTTGAAAAATAAACGAGTAACCTTATCTAAATTCTTTCCTCACAGTGCAAGAACTAGGAAAATCATGAAGGAGTCAATAAATGCAAGTATGGTGCTCGGTTTATAAATTTAGCCCTTTAGGAGGAGAATGAGAAGCAGATAAGTCTTGTAACAGGGACACGCACATACCTTAAAAGACACAGAAAACTCAGTATCATTGTTCAGCTTATTCAACGTAAGAATATATTTCTCCTTTGTGTACATCTTAAGGAGTGCCTTGACCTGAAAAAATCAAAGTTTAAAAAACATGGGACTTACAAATAGATGATTCTCTCAAGAGTACATATGGATGCAGTTAAATTGAAAGGAGAAGATTACCTTAGAAACAGATTTCTCCAGACCAGACACTTCTTCAAGGGATACACCAAAGATGATCCGAGGTTTCATGAACCTCTGCCACAACAAAATGTTTTCTCGCTTGTTGCAGTCAACATATCCTGTAAAGAGCGCAAAATGGGTCTTACTTGAACGTTGAATAATAAGCTGGATAAAGGGAAGAAACATTCTTACCTGGTACAACTGAGTGCACAACATGAGATTCTACTATGATACGAGCACGCTTGAGATTTACCTGTCAGTATTTCAAATCAAAGTAATTTCACTTATCTGAGTTTTCTCAAATTGGGATTGTAAGAAAATCCATTTCAAAACTCTTACCGTGTTAAATTGTAAGACTGCAAGCGACTGGTAGCGTAGCCAGAGGTGAACAAGTCTAACACTCGTCCATGTAAGTGACACAAACGGAAATGACTTTACAAGGCCCGGCGTGTCCTGCATCAAAATTATAGCATACACACGCTTAACATGAAACCAATTCAATGATTTAAATGAGATCCAATGGGGACTTCTAATGAAAAGATTTGAGAAAATGATCCAACAAACAAGTAAAATACAATGATCAGAATGCCGAAACCAAGACCAATTAGCTGCGCAGCAACTTCCCACACTTCTTCCTGAAAAGTTGAACGAAAATTAGAGACTCCACTAATAGAGTAAACAAGCTACTACATGCTCGTATTTGGGTTTTGATTACACATACATGTCTAGCATACCTTGGCTGCTACCTCTCCCAGATTTCCTGAGATGGCGAAATGATTCTGAATCACTCTGAATGAAGGGTCTCTCAATCCTCTAGCCACAGCCTATTTCAAATTAGTATCTACACACTGTCATTTAAAGCTTAGCCGACGCGAATTCTTGATAAAGTCTATATGAATCAGGATTTCAGCTGGCAGGAAAAAGGGAAAACTGCAATAAGGAATACCTTGGCAAGATTTCCCGTGGATGCCAACAGTAGGAACTGGGATGGATATAGCTGTGTCGCCAGATCAAAGAAGCTGCAAAACAAAAAAAATTTAAAAACTTTGATGCTATACACAGATTTAACCAAATATGGCTCAACAAGAATTTAAATCCTCTACTACCAACCTTCCAGCACTGCCAATAAAATCTGCATACATGCGCCATTGCTTAGGATCATCGTCAAAAAGACTACCGAAACGTCCACCTGGAAAACATATGCTTCTTATTGTAGAGGTTCTTAGATAACTCCATGAACATTTATTAATCTTCCCATGGTTTCCCTACCAATGAGAAGACGGCCAAGAGCTCCAATTCCATCCTTGGACACCCATCTGAAGAGATAATACATGGTTTGGAAAAAATATAAGAACTAAAAACATGCAGCAGCAAACAAACTAAGTTAGCATTTGAATGAAAGTAAACCTGATGGCTGCAGCAGAAGCAGCAGCAGTAGCGGCAGGAGAAGTTCCTGAGAAAGAGCCAACGCCAACCGCCTGCATTGTAGCAAAAGTATTTTGAAATTTTTTTGCAGTATTCTCAACATATATCTCTAGAACAAGTCCAGTCATAAGAAGACCTTAGCAATAAATTAGGGGATTCCCGGACATGCCTTGAGAAGACTTGACGTGACTAATACATTACAAATCCAGCCAGTAACATTGGTTGGGAACTGCCACAGCATATAGTCCAAGTAATCATCTGAAACAGACCCTGCACAAATGTGGTATTACGTGATTAACTCAACTGAATCATATTAGGATCTACAAAACCTCTACAAGCTTAGGATTCTGAGATTCCTAACAAAGGAAGATACATATGAAATTTGAAGCTGACAAGTACCAGGAAAGCCTGTGGGGAAAACAAAATCCTTGACAACATCTGGAAGCCAAAGAGTGTTCGTTTCAGAGGAATTAGAGCTCTGAGAATCGTTATCAGCCTTAAGTTCACGCTCCTCGAGAAAGCCTTGTAAAGGGGAGTCATCATCATCATCTAGAAAATATCTGCACAACAAGGAACAAGAGGTAGTGCGTTTATATACCGATGAATCTTCGGTCAATAAGATAAGAACAGAAACCAGAGGCCGACCTTTTTGAAGTGCCATTTCCGTATCTCTCCACCACAATCGAAATTCGTCTTTCAACTCCAACACTATCAACAATTACATTTGCAAAAAGATATATAAAAAATTCCATCTCGGTTTTCTTCTCGAGAATCAAAACAGGAAGAAGTTAAAAAAGAGAATCGATGTACCTCCTATCATCGGCCTCTTCGTCATCTTCACGAAGACTAGGCAGGGCAGAGCACCGCAAGTGCTCCACACGGCGTCGTTTCGGCTGACAGGACGCCATTGTTCGAGTTTGGGGAATGTGAAGAGGCAAAGGAAATCGTAAAGTACAGTACATGACGAAAATTATATTATGGAGTTAGGGTTTAGGGTTCTGAGTTCGTTTTGGTACAAAAGACACCGTCGTCGAACAACTTCTCTCTGAAACCGCTAATCTCCTCATCTTTCTTGACTGCAACCGCGAAATAGATAGACGACCCAATTCCACAAAACGGTATCGTTTCCACAGTAGCAAACCGGTTAAAATCGTTTTATACGGTTAACAAAACCGGCGCGATCAAACGTAACACAAACAGACATTTATTACTCTCTCTCTGGCTTTAGGATTCAAGGACATTTTGAATTATGAGGAGAAAATACAACACTTATTACATTCCAAAATACAAAACACACAAGCAAAGGTCATAAGATAACGGGCAAAAATGACCTTGTGGAAATCCAAAATCGCGGCTTCAGGTTTGTTCATCGGTTGTGTTAGGACTTGCTCTCTTCCGGTTATCATCCGCGATTCTTTGGAACTCCTTCTCACTCGCTGCTATGAGTTTCTTGACAATGTCGAATGTTGTAAGCTTAATACTGAAACAACACGAAAGAGGATTTCAAAATGTTAATATTACTGAAACAAGAAGAAAACAAAACAAAAACTGGTTTTATCAAAACTATAACTACCTGCTGTTTGGCATGCTTTTGAGTGCATTGGGGACAAAGCCACGGTACAATCCAATAACTCCTTCACGCGCAATGATACCTTCACAACAGTTTAAAGGATAAACAGGTCAGTCACCGGAAGCTGGAAGAATAAAAGCAGATAATGGTGTTTTGTTCCTACCTGAGAAAGCGTCTAATACGGATTTATATGGAGTACCCTTCAATTGCATCTGTCTTCTAATGGTATCCAATGGATAGCAAGTACCAGTAGCAATAGCAGCAGCGACTACTGCTGTTAACAAAGATGATTGTGTCTTTTGTTGATACTTCTCTGGCAGAGATTTCTTTACCCTGCGGATATATAAAATCGAAAATGTAAAACAATCTACTTAAAAAAATTCAGGGGTAATGTTTAACTGTTAGTAGACTTACAGATCAAAGACGCAGAAGTTGATGGCAATGTAAGGAGCTATACTTAAAAGCGAAGGACCAAGACCGTTATAGAATGATGCAAGTCCTTCCTCCCGCAGCATGTTCAAGGCAACCTAGATGTGACGACATGTCTGCTTTTAAACCTGATATATTTATGGAACATAAAGTTGGTGTATAATGCGATGAACATACCTGGGACATGGTTCGATAACCTGGTTCAACAGCTAACCTCAATCTCAGCACATCTAAAGGGTATGTAATCTGCATTAAGTAATTAGAGTCTTAAGGTATTTTAAGATAAAAAAAAAAACTCACTCCGACCTATACACAACATCACATACCAGAGTAGACGTCATGCCAGCACAAGCACCAGCACCGAGCCTTCCAAGGACTGACAATTGACCGTCTTTTCCCCTAAAGAGTTTCTAAACAAAATAAACAGGCAGAATGTACAGAAAACAGACAAAAGTGATTAGACACGGTTTCTAAAACTTTCAAAAAGAAACCAGATTCAGATATAGAAAGTTTATTATATACCTTGTATGTTTCATATGCAAACAACTGGACTGCGCTATAAGGTACAATCCTTATCACCTGGAACATTCAGACTAAGATTATGTGCAACCAAACTCTAACCAAATTACGAACCTTTTATTTCAAAATGATACAAGAAATTGTGAGTACCTGAGGTAGATTTCCTTTCCAATAACCTTTGAGACCTTCTTCTTTTCCGATAAGAGTAATCGCCTGTAGTCATTCCAAACAAAACCAAATAAAAAAAGACTTTACAATCTTAGTCTTTTTAACATGATTAACATGACATGATTAAGAGTATAAGTATATACCTCAATGAAACCAATAGCCTTCTTAGCACTTTGTTGCCCAGCTCGAACACCATGTGTCTATGAATCAATAAGACAATCAATTGGATTGTAAGAATCAATGAACATTAATACAAGTCTGTAACAAGAACACAATCACACATTCTCCATATATTTCCTCAAGGTATATATATACATCTTCTTGACTTGAAATAATGAGATTTAGAAAATGATCAATTTCATCATATACTCTTTTAAGGGGAAAAAAAAAAAGAGGAAAATCAAACAATGTCCCACAACTAGTCGAAACGACAGTGTATTGTTGCTCACCAGTTACCAATATTTTTTTTATTTTTTTTTTAAATGGAGAGAAAAAAGAAAACACACGTGCCAGAAAACCTTAAAGTTGTTGAGAAGGAGAGGAGAGAGTCCTTACCTGCATTAGGAGCTTTATTCGGTCAAGCGGTGCCGTCACTGACTTTGCGGCGGCTCCGGCGAACGCTCCAGCGAAGAATAGTGCGGCGTCTTTCGGTACAAACGACAGTAAAGCAATCGGGTTTTTCAACAGCTGAGCCGAAGTAGGCGCGAATTCATCCTCTTCCTTCGGAATCACCACCGAAACCGACGCGAAAGCTCCGCTTCCGCCGCCATTTCCACCGTTAACCGTAGATTCCCTCCGATCTCTCCTAATTGCTACCGACAGGGAGGCGAAATTGGTAAAAGCAACACCGGTTCTTTTGTTCCCTCCCCGATGATTCGACGACACGTTGTTCTCCAGCCTCCATGAAGGTTCTTCGGTGAGAGCGAAATCAGAGGTCCTGGGTGAAGAAATACTACGGAACTGAAGCAGAGACTTCTCTTCTCCCATGGCGGATCACTTGGCGAAATTTAGGAATGTTTTGCTTCCGGAATCTCGCCTGAGAATTTGAGATTTTTATTGCAACAAAATTGAGTCCAAAATTTATAAATCGTCTCCGGTGATGGCATTCTTGTAAATAAAAGTTAGTATTTTTAATGGGATCCACAAGGGAATCGCAAAGTACAAGTCAAATTAGTGGGCTCAATTGGGCCTTCTCCAAGGCTTCGAAGTTCGAACACATATCATTAAGAAAATTAATTCCTGCCAAAAGTAACGGTGAGTGAAATTAAAATGTTAGATTTTACGAAAGTGACAAATATCGTAATTACATTTTGATATTTTATCTTCTGATATGAATCAAAAGTTTTATGAAATTTGTTAACAAACTTTATATTTGTGAAACTTTCAATATATGTATTTCACGTGAAATCGATGTGTGGTGTAATCAGAATCCACGATTATTATGAACAAAGTAGGATTATGTCATAAATATCTATTACTGTACGTTTAATTTACTTATTCCTTAACAAAAAATGATGTAATCTTTTATCAAAAAAAAAAAAAAAACGATGTTAAAAAGAAATCCTTAAAAATGTATATACTTACACAGTAATTCAAAAACTAAATATGTAATAAAAGAAAACAACAATACACTAAAAGAAAGACAAATTAAACAATATTCGAGTTACCTGCAATTAAAAAAACAAGAACCATATATCATAATATATAATGTAGTCTGAGAATCTAAAAGTGATTTCATTAACGTTCTAGAAGTTGGTTTTCTAAGATTATCATGATTGTCACTGACAGTTAAAACTAACATTCATCAATATATATATTTGATAGATTCTATGAAATGTTACATTCGTTCATTTTGTTTACTATCGTGTATGTGATGGGCATACCAAGTAGTGTACGATCATTGGTACTCTCGAACTTCAATCTTTTAGCATATACTAGCTAGGGGTAGTATATTAATATTTTCACTTTATTAAGAATTATTCTTTTATCATTGAAATGTGGTATAAATTATTGAAAAATACTAGGGGTGAACCTCTTATGTTCACCCCCTTTATTTCATCCAATCAAAATCTGCCACCTATTAATAATAAAAAATTCATTTAATTATAAAATTTAATTTGTCACTAAAACGAAATTATGTATCGGTTTAGGTTTATTAGAAAGGGTTAGGGTTTAGATTTTATGATTAAACGAGTTTAACTATCAGTTTGAGTTTATAAACGGATTTTGATTTTACAATTATACGAGGTTAAGTGTCGGTTTGGGTTTAGAAAGTACGATTAGGGTTTAGATTTTTTAAACGAGTTTAAATGACGGTTTGGGTTTACAAAGGAGAATTAGGGTTTAGATTTTATGATTAAACGAGTTTAACTATCGGTTTGGGTTTATAAACGGGTTTAGATTTTACAATTAAACGAGGTTAAGTGTCGGTTTGGGTTTAGAAAGTACGATTAGGGTTTAGATTTTTTTACAATTAAACGAGTTTAAATGACGGTTTGGGTTTACAAAAGAGAATTAGGGTTTAGATTTTGTAATTAAACGAGATTATATATCGGTTTGGGTTTATAAAAGAGTAGTTATGACTTAATCTTATTGTTTTATTTAGAAAATAATTGTTTTAATTTTTTTAATTAGATGACATGGCAAATTCTAATTGGATAATTAATAGGGGGTGAATGAAAGTGGTTCACCCCTAGGGGTGAACCCAAGAATTGTTCATTATTATTTGATATTAAACATAACTTACCTTTTCGCTATTGTATGATTAGCTTTAGCTGTATCGGTTTCGGCTGCAATTGAGAAAATACAAAGCAAATGAATATAATTGTATTTATCGTTCAGAACAGTAATAACGAAAAGAGAAGCTTACTTGAGGGTGAATTAGAGACAAAGAAGCATGCCGCAATGACAACGTAACACAAGAGAAGAACCAAGCCTTTCATATAGTTCGACGTCCCATCCTATTAAAAATTAATCATATATTAACATATTAATAAAATTAGATATATTATATCAAGATTCAACGTATAATATATTTGATGAGTACTGAAATGAAATTGCACCTGTAGTATTAAGGAAGTAACGATAATGGACAAGGCAAGACAAGTGGTCTCAAGAAGGTTGAAGTTAAGGTCCATGTCTATTCCCATTATCCATGCCACTAACACTGTCACTGGTACCTACATTCAAATTTGAGTTTGTTAAATTAAATTGTTGTAAAAAAACTGAACCGTAATGAAATATTTTCTTAGTTAGCACCAGGTTATGAGAAAGATCATATTCTCCATTTGAGACTACATGACCTAAACTTGATAATTTAGCCAAGCTTACAAACTAAGAGGAATATATTATAAGAAATATTTGTTTCCCTAGCTAATTTTACAGAAATTAATAATATTTTATACTGGTCGTCAAAATGGATTTGCTTACCACGAACAAAGCAATTTGTGTTGCAGATCCAAGAGCAATTCCAAGAGTTATATCCTGTACATTTTCATATTTTGTTCAAAATCAGAATAAATAATATTTATTTGTTGTAATTAATAAATTAGGGGAAAAAAGAAGTAAAACATACGAGTTTGTTACGGAAGGCGAAGATGACAGCACCAGCATGCTCAGCTGCATTACCAACAATTGGTAATAATATTATTCCTATGAATCCCACTGATAATCCCCACGAGTCTGCTGCGTCCTATCCATATGTTAATTGAATTAATCAATTAACCGTTTATAAACATATTTTTCCAAGAAAAAAAACTAGTCAACACGTACCTGGATAGTGGAGACAAGGTACTCTGAGAGCAAAGCAACGAGAAGTGTCATTATAATAAGCCAAAAAATGGCACTCCACATTCCAATTACGGCTCCTTCTTCTTCCTTGTCACTCACGTCATCGTCATACACGTCCTCTTCTTCTTCCCTCTTTTATACATTTAACGAAGCACGCATAGATAAGAAGAAGCACACAAGATGACTTCATATCGTGACGAGTAGTAAGAGAGAGTGAGAGAGAACCTGAGGGAGAGGAGGAGGAGGAGAGAGATGAGAAGAGAAGAGGTGAAAGATGAGGAAAGCCAAGTAAGCAATGAGCATCACGAAGCTGCTTGCTCTTGACAACATAACAACATCTGATCCATCGTATTCTTCAGCCTCCATTGTGAATCTCATTATCATTGGTAGTGTTTGACACAACAGCGCCAGATACAACAACATGCAGTTCATATTTCCCTGTCTCTGTTCTTGTAAAACAATTACAAACATGATTAGATGATACATATCTTCAATTTTGTTTAAGGAGAGTTTCATTTAAAGAGATTTTATATATAACGTACTGAGTCGAAAGATTGGTGTTTGCGGAGATTGGAGATGCCACCAAGGAAGAGAGAAGTGCCTAAGACGAAGAGAAGATTGGAGAGAATAGAACCAAGAAGTGAGAGTTTCACTATTCTCATCTTTCTTTGTCCAACCGCTAGAATCGCTATTATCATCTCCGTCGCGTTTCCACATGTCGCGTTCATTAATCCCCCAACTTCATTCATTCAAATATTTTCATTAATTTTCCCAAATATAAGTGAGTGAAAGTGCATACACGTTTAATAACACAAAAATAATCCCAAGCTAAAAGACACCTAAATTTACCGTTAAACCACAAAAAAAGCGTTGATTTAATACAAAATTCGGTTGTGTGCTGGATAACCCGGTTCGATTCACATGGCAACAAATAATAAAGTCAACGAAATTTAAAGGATCACCTGTTGGACCGGTATGGAAAGCAATTTGCCTGTTTAAGAAGAAAATATAAAAATTATATTTGTAAATTAATAACGTTACTATAGAAAGAAAAATAAAAAGAGAAAATTAATTACTCAGTGAGAAAACTGATACGTTCGGCCAAAGGTGTCAATCCCAGCAAGCTCAACGCAAAGACCCACGCCTGTTTTTTTGTAACATAACACATACCAAAGTTAAAAAAGAATGTTTGGTTATGATTCCGATTAATAGTTTGTTTGGAACGTACACGTGGACAATCATAGCGGTGAGCGACAACGGCGAGAGGAACGGCCGGGAAGAGAATGAACAATTTGGTGCCGAGAACAACTTCTTGAAGATTCGTCAAGATTCGTCTCAGAAACTCCCAACGTACTCTCGAGATCAGCTTCAGATCCGATCTCTTCCTTATCAACGACGACGCCGATAACGTTCTCTGCACGCGCCTAGACATCTCCGTCGTCGGCTTATCACTTTCTCCTCCGCCATTCTCCAGCAGAGACAGATTCGGAGACGATTCCGTAATGATAGAAGACATCTTCTTCGTTGACTCTCTCTGGTCAAAACCCACAAAACTTTTTTTTTATTTTTCCTTTGAATCTGATATTTGAAAATCTGAAATTTTTCAGGGATGTGTAATTTATGGGTTTATATAAACAGAACGCGTGTAAACGAACGTTTCTTTCTATATCCTTTTTTGTTGTTGTTGACGTCTTTCTTTATCATTTTTACACTTTTGGTCAATGTTTATGTGTCTATCATTTACTATGTCGTATCATTTTATAACTATACATAATATAAGAAGAAATTAATGGCTTCAATCTTGCAAGTTGCAACTATATAAATGATTTTGGAATTTTTGTGTGTCTCCTCTGCACATGTTGATATTTAACGATTATAAAGACCTCGAGACTTTTGTAAACTTCCTGTGTTTTACTAATGAAATTAAATATCACATATCGATGACGGTCAAATAAGTGAAAAGGGAGAAATATGGAGTTATGTACGGTTTTTGTCTTGTTGACTCATCTAAGTTGTATTAGTCTTACGTGTCTTATCCCCCACGAAATTTACGAATCTAATCATCGTTTCTATAAACAAAGAAAAACATATCAAAATTTCAAAAAAAAAAAAATATGATTTTGTGTCTTTATCTTGCGAAACTCGCTCGAAATTTCTAAAAATTTGATGTATGTATCATCAATACTTAACTTTTTTTTTTTTTTTCAATACGTAACTTTAATATAAACTAAGTGATCCTTTCGAATTTTATTGATAACAAAAAACCCCACACAAATAAACTACGGAATTAATAGTTTTGTATATATCTGTGCCATCTTATAATTTTGCGTTTACAGAGAGAAGAAACCATTCATTGTAGCAATGAAAAGAGCAGTATGTATATGGATCACGAGATGATTTCATTTTTATTTTGTAAGGACAACGTCTTTGGCATGTTTTGCATATAGGTCGAGTTGAACAAGTGTTAGGAAGAATATACACCTTTCTTCCCGAATTTGAATATGATCCAAGCTTCATATACGGATCTCTCCCTAAGAAACATTCGATGTGGAGTGTGAGTCCACACTCATTGCATGCATATAACCCTTTCCTTGGATTTATGTCTTCCTCGCATATTTCGCACCCATAAAGCTCATCATCATTTGCATCTTCTTCGTAAGAAAAAATGAGCAAATGCTCATCACGTTCATACCTGGCTTTATGCGGAAGAGTGGCACAATTAAAACACAAAACAAAATCGCATTTCACACAATATAAAGGTTCACGCCATCTTGATTGACAGATGGAACATGTTTTGCCTTCGTATTCAGCACTACTAATGAACAAGGGATGTGGATGAGAGTGATGATCGAACGGCTCACATATAGAAGCACAAATTATGTCAAACTCCACATCACACTCTTGACGAGGACGACTACATACATATTTGAAACCGCATGAGTAACGAAAACATTTCCTACATTGGAACAAATTTGTGGTATAACTGGGATCTAGAATCAATGGATGAACATGTAGCATGAACTGTTTAACACGAGGAAGATATGCACATGATTCGTGCAAAATGAAATCATCACATTGCATACATCGATACACATTACCACCATGATCATCATAAGAAGGAAGTCTGCATGCTTGACAATGCTTGCTTTCATCGTGGAATTTGTTTTCAAGTCTCAAAGGATGAGACGGATGAGTGGAATGCTGTATAATCCCATCGCCTTTCTCCTCAAACATTTTAGTGTCTTCATATACTTCTTCAGGCTCTCCTTCAAGTTCTTTCCCGTCACACACATCACTTTGCATCGCACATCTGGAATGCACTGCATAGATGCATCCCTCCTTGGTGCAAGAGTATTCTCCGAAATTTTCTTTTATCTTCCTATGACAAACTCCACAATCAGTCGACTTCTCGTAAGGAAGTTTATAAGTGAAACTGAGACGATGGTCGTGACGAGATACTTTAATGACAAATGGGAAGTACACACATCGTTTATGGACAATGAAATCGCATAGGAGACATACGTATAAGTAATCAATATGACCCTCCAACCCACACACGTCGCAAACCAGAGCAGATATTCTTGGAAAATAATGGAGGGTATGCTTATGCCTTTTTGGATTGTCTATAATAAGGGATGTTGGTTTTCCCACACAGATTGAATCGAGTGAAAAATCGCAAATAGAGCATTAGTAAAGTAGCCGGCCTCGATAACGTCTACAAGAACAACATTGTTTTTGATGTTGTTTCCGTCCGGGAAACCAAACAAGTTGGAGTGGATGTTTTGGATGATCAGAGGAATGGAACTTGGAAGGAGACTCAACACATTCTTTGTGGTAGCTCTTCCAGTTGCAGTAGCTGCAGACGTAATAGGTTTGATTTTCAATCAAGTTGTAACAAGCCCAACATAATATGTATTGTAATCCATCTTCTTTTCGGTTGAGAAGAAACACCAAGTGACGATGATTGGACTTTCCGTCTGCAGCATCAGAAATTAAGTATGAGCTCTTGATTATGTGATAGATTTCTTCATCCTTTTGAAATCGTCCTTGTGGGCATAAGAGACTATAGGAAGGAGCGTGGTCAAGAGGATCCATGGGTTACAGATTAAGAAGGGTTATTAAGTCTTCCTTTTTTTGGTGAAAAGATTTACGACGACGATTGGGTAAAGCCTAAGGCTTTAGTCACTATATATACACTGGCCATTAAACTTATGTTTACAAAGACAATGTATCACGGCAAGTATTGCAATTTATGTTCATTTCAAACTTTCTCACAACAAAGTAAGAATGTGATTCTTTTGCGTGTTTTGTTTTAAGTTCTAACAGTATTGACGGAAACAAAATATTCCATGTTCTTTTCTTAACTAACTGGTAACTAAGTTTTTCTCTTATGTTATATTATACTAGAATGAAATACAGTAACTTTGTTCGTCGACCATCAAATTCGATTGATCTTACACGAAACGTTAGTTACAAACTAATGGAATGATTGGGCGGGCAACCCTGTAAGGCTGTAACGGTATCTCATTTCACCTTAACTTTGACCCAAAAAGCAAATACAAGAGAGCTGCGAGAGTAACAAACCCAACACTAGTTTCAGAGGTGAACGATCTGTGGAGGACTCATGAGTTTTTCAATCTATTCTTCAGAGGTTACTTTCTGTAAGCTTGATGCTATAAACTCGGTTTCCGAGATGCTTCACCTCCAGGCCAGCTTCTTCGCAACCAGTAAAGAATAGAGACTCATCGTCTTTCCCAATTCTTCGTCTCCAGCTCATTAAGAACACAGGATGAGGCAGTTCTGTGTCTGCTCCTACAGGTAAAAGAGTAATGTTAAAACTTCTTTTGGTGTGTGTGAGTGGTGATGAAAGGGATACTGACCATTTAGCTTGCATTCTGCTGGACTAACGACATTGGTTGGTTTGTAGGTTTTGAGAAGAAAAGTCAGAGACTTTATCAAGTTTGGGTACTGTTTTACATCTGCGAAAAAAACAAATGTAAAAATGTATTTGTATAGATTTCCGATAAACCGAATAGGAAAGGGGTATTTACATAGAAGGATATCACTGGCTATGATCAAATCCCAATCTGGTTCCGAGATTGGAAACTCATCGCCCCATGTATCTGTCATAATAGACAAGAATGTAAGAAAAGCAAAAATAATCAAATTGATACTAGGCACTTTTCCTAGATAAGAATGGGGTTCATTGTGAGGGATAAGGAAACTCACGCTTGATATGAGGCAAAGAAGGGATTATCTTGTTTGCAATACAGTTATGAACAATATTATCTTCAATCTCTTGATCATTGTAATCTGAAGTAGTTATGTCGAGATTGAACTCTTTCTTAAGAAATATAGCTAGTGCCCCTGTGCCACTGCCCATTTGATTTTAAGACAAGCAAAATAAAATAAAAACTGATTAGTGGACTGACACTGGCATATAAGCAAATCGTAACCTAGACACAAATAATCATCTTTTGGGATTCCAAGAACATGATAAGCAAAAAACACAAAAGTGGAATTGAAAAAGACAAGGAAGTACCTTCCTATCTCGAGACAGCGCCGCCTTTGGATCAAGTGTCGATGCTGCATTAACCAATCAGCAAAGGCAAATGAACCTGGCCACAGCAAGTTTGCATTCAGCTGGTGGAAACCAAATTCCCGGATTTGCAATTCCTATTCAAGATTCAAACAACAAATAGTCATAAACTTGTCTGAAATACTAACACTAACCTTAAACCTCAATCTCAGTAAAAAGATGTACTAAACATGATTAGTTAAACCCCATAGCAAAGCAATCTAAGACCTAATCCACTATATGAACTCAAAATTCTTGAAATCAGAAGCTCAGGTTTCACTCTTCAACGGAGAACATAAACTAAATACAGAATTGATATTACTAGGAGAAGACGATAGAAGCTCAATCGGGAGCGAAGAAATTACAATTCCAGGAAACTGATGATTTCTCTCAACGAAGCTTTGGCTCGTCTCCGTCGTCTCTCCATCTGAGAATAAAAAATACAGTTTAACTTCGCTAAGTATATCTCTCTCTTCGATCAAACCAGAAATTGAAAGAAGAGAGATTTCACTGACCGGAGGAGTCACCGTCTGCGGCAAAAAGCGACGACGGCGAGAAGAGGGCTATGTCCATGTCACTCGTTGAGTTGTTTACCACTAGCCAGAAACGGCTTATATAATGTGTTCCCATCTTTGAGACCCTCTGATCGTCCCAGAATGTTCCGAATTTTTCTTACCATACCAAATTACCAAAACCAAAGACATACCAAACCGTGCCAAATCAAGTCCTATTTAACCTTTATTTTTATTTATTTTCTCAATTCGTAAATTATCTTTTAACTCTCAAATTGTTATTTAAAAATTTCAAATATACCTTTTCTAAAAATTGTAAATACACAATATTTAGTTTTTTTTTAAAATCTAAACCGGCACCAAACTTTAACCGAATCAAAAATTGCCAAATAAAAAGCACTTTAGGTTACAAGTTTGGAAAGATTTCTCCAAACCAAATAAACGATTTTGCCGAACCAAAACAACCGAGAAGCTAAAATCAACACTCTTGTCAAAATACCATTGAGAATTTGAGATAGGTCCATAAGGAGAAATTGGTTTCCAAAAAAATAGAAATGCAACAATGGTATGAAGTCTCTTGTCATCACCTCGAGTCTCACTATACACACGAATTTGTTCCGACAGTCTAAACTCTCAACCAAGTAATGGTTACAAGAAAGTATTCGAAATAATACAATAGACCATGAGAAGACGGGGACACAGAGATCTTTCTCGTAATTAATCAAAAAAAAAAAAAAACAATAGATACAGAAGAAAAGAAAAGAGAAAAAGACGAATAATATTACATTCAAGTGAAATGAAAACAAACCTCAGCAGCAAAGAGAAGCAGAAGAAAGAGAAGCTTTTTGGGCAGGTGCTTGTTCTTATGATATAAGACCACTTGCACAGATCATGAGACCAATCTCGGTATAATTGTGGACACAGCAATCCTCAGCGGCACGCGATCGATCCCAAAGACGAGGAAACAAAAAGGATAAAATCAAAAGAAGAGATTTACATTAGGTAGAGAGCTGGAATCTACCGCTCGGCTTTTTTCTTCTCCATCCCTGCCACAAATTACCCCCCGAGAACATGAGTTTAAAGATCTATGACTAATGACACAAAACTATTTAATGGAACAGAACGAGAGGATTTAAGAGACTTACAAAGGCTATGTAATATAAAAAGGTCAGTCCAGCGAGGACAACAAACCCGATCTGGAACACATTGTACCTGAAAGATACCGATAAGAAAGGGACGATTATCATCAGTCATGTAGACAAGTGAGACCTTTATTTGCAAAAACCCGATATTACTTACTTGTAGAGGTACTTAATACCGCGAAGGGACTGCAAAGTGTGGCCAAATATCTCCTGAGCGGCGGTGGCTTGAGCATAATATCCAAATGCAGTGGCGCAGAATTGAATCACACTGGAATTTCAGTGAGCCACAATAGTCGATTGTAAGAATAAAAGTTACAACATACTTTTGGTGCTATCAGCTGACGGGAAATATGAGAACTAAGAAGCCTACCTGATAGAACAGAGGAGAATGAGACCGACATTGAAGAGAAAAGAGTTCATAAGAGTGGCTCCCCATCTGAAACAAGTTAATTAGGCTTATGAGAAACCAAAAGAAAACAGAAAAGATCTCTGAAATAGCAAAAAACATTTCAAAACTACAAGATGAATTACTTCATTGGATGAATGGTAATGAAGACCAGCTTCAAACCAAGCATCATTGCCCCAGCAATAACAGAAAGTAGGAGATAGAAACAGAAGAAAGCAAAGGCAGCTGTGCCCAGAAGACCTAGTGAACAAGAAAATGTCACATGTATGAACACAGAGCCAGGTCAGACACAAAAGGAACAAGGTATAGAGTAGCATAACAAGATCAGAAAATGAAGTTACCCCAGACGTCATCCAGTTTGATGAAAACTTCATTAAGAAAAGGAGAGAGGGGAGGGTCAACAAGTAGATATATGATGATGTGAGCAATCCAAGCCACAGAAACAATTAATCTTCAACAAGCAAAAAAAGAAATTATTTAATAAGAGCTTAACCGAGGACTAATAGAGTGAAAGCATCAAAGTACTAAGAAGATTAAGTAAAATACAAACCCTAAGATTCCAAGAATAAACTTGGCCAAGTATCCCAGGACAGTGAAGGCCCAAGCAGTCTCTGCCTGGAAAAAGGACGAGGCAAGGAAAATGTTGGATTACAGAATTCCTTAGATAGATAAAATACTGAGGTATAGTCATCTTTACCTGCTCTCCTTGCGGATACATCTCTTCTAAGAGGTTCACATCTTCTTCCAATTGGAGCAACTCCTACAGGGTACATGAAAGCAATGAAATCCAATTAAGAGTAGTTAAGACTTCAAATCTACAATCAGATATGCATAAAGCTGCCAATATTAGTGGGCCTATAGCAGAACTGGTTTCTACTTTTTGGCGAGGTTTTTACTATGAATGATCACCTAAGTAACTGCCCCTACGGCCAAAAGCCCCACTACACATCAGCAACCAATATCAACAGAGGTATCAGCCACCTTTGTAGACATGGAACAGATTTGAAATAAGACCCCAAACCCTTAGATATGATGGTGTACCTTTTCAACTGCTTTCACATTTTTCCTCCACTTCCTTCCCTTAGCACCACTTCGTTCTTCCTGGTGAAGTGCATCAGCTGCTTTCTTTAGATCTCTTGCCTTTTTACCTAGTTCAGTTGCGTCCTGAAAAACAATTAGATGACTTGTCAGGCCACTAACACTGCCAACTACCCGAAGTGTACATGTATTCTTTAGAAAAGCTTTGCATGAAGACAAGTAGACAACAATAACCAGTACAAATGAACCTTTATATACTGTGACCGAGTGATAACAGCCTTTGGTCGCCTGATGAATGCAGTGATAAGGCCCAAGGGTAGGCAAGCAATACCAACACCACCAAATATCTACAACATTTGAGATAAAAGAGTTTCTCAGAATCTTTAGAGGAAACCAAAAAATGACAGCTACCAAAAGTCTTTTACCTACAAGAGAACACAACCAAGCCTTAATATAAGAGAGATTATATGCCTTCCAAGACAATGAGGTGCAACTTTTAACACAAAAGACCAAATAGAGGGATGTACATACCGTGAAGAGCACTGACCCAACAATTGTAGCAAGAGCAACAACATATTCTGGAAACGTAGTACGCATGGACCATGTCTTTTCAGACGCAGCATTAGCTGTATATGCTGAGCACTGCCAATCAATATACCAGGGAGAACAGAAAACATGTTACATACTGAAATATGTTCTGCATAGAGACTAACGAAAGAAAAACTAATACCAAGAATGCAATAAAATTTCAAGTATTACCTGACGAGCAGTGTTACCAATGCAAGGTTGATTATTTGAAAACTGCCATGAAGTAGGGAAAGTCGTCGTAGCAGAAGACAAGTGCCTGACAGAGAAGTCCACCTTCCCAATGACTCCTAATACATTTGTAGAAGCACATTATAAATTGCAGCCAAGTATCTTAAATCACTAATGCAAATAAGAAGAACATCAGACGATCATCCTTTTCACAATCCCACAATTGGTCAATCACTACTCTAACATAATCTCAGAACTTTCATCAAACCAGGAAGAATATGAAGCTCAAAAGAAACCAAAGCACAGTAACAACTAACCGTATAAAATTCCAAGCACCAGAGCACAAACAACAGCTGTAGTAACCACCCAAATCAAAGCACTTTTTATCCTCTTCCCAAGAGCCCTACAGTAAAAAAACGCAAGCCCACAAACAAAAACATCAACAACTTTCCATTACCAACTAATAATAACTCAAAAAAATAAAAATTCGTGGAGAAACAAACTTGTCCTGGTCGCCTTCATAGAAAAACATAGCGAAGGGGATAATGAAGAAGACAAGCACAGCGTCAACAATGTAAACGGCAAGCCAAAGCTCCTTCATAGGTAAGGTGAGATTACAAGCGCCATTATAAATCGAATGTCGACAAGCATGCCGGTTAGCCACATCCGCCGGTAACATGAGAATAGAGATCATAGCAATCGATAAACCAAAAACAACAACAAACTTGGGGAAATAAGCCTGGTTTGCATCATCTGGATGCTGATAGTTGACGAGGAGATAGATACTGGAGATGAAAACAATGACGCAAACTACGATGGCAACAATCACGAGAGCGAGATTGAAATCTCCCATCGCGTGCAATGTACGAGGTCCCAAACCTCAGCTAGATTGAAAAAGAAAATTAGGGTTTCTTGAGGCTTCAAATTTGAAATTCAATTTGGGGATTTTTTTGTAGATCTGGTTTTTTTTTTCTTTTTCCGTATGTCGAAAACCAGGCTGGGAAAGAGAAACGAAGACTGTGTCCGGATATGTGACGCGAGTCTCATATGTACGTATAAGCCCTCACTTAAATGTCATATTTACGAAAATACCGTCGCTGATGACAGATTGACAGATGGGCATGGGGGTGTTACAGTAATTTTATAAAACGAGACCAGACCAGCCTGTCCTAACTCCAAACCAAAAAGAGATAATCGAAATTATATATATTTTTTAAATTTAGATTAAATAATAAGAGAAATGTTTTACTTTTTCCAAAGTCGTCTCTCTCTCTCTCTCTCCAAGTTTTGTGAATCCACCGTTCAACGTGACGATGAAGAAAGAGAAGACCCGTCGTTCAAATCTCTGTCATCATCGTTCGTTTCTCAACAACATTAACCCCAAACCTGCGGTTAGGGTTTTACCTTCTTCTATTCAATTTCTTCAATCCTCTCATCTTTTCGCGACAACATGTCTCTACCGGATTCTCTCGCGTCTTCTTCTTCTTCTCCGCCTGTGACCCGTGAAGAAACCGGGTATAATCGCTTTGAACATCACGGCCACGATTCCGGTTTTGATCATCGTGATCGTCCACCATGGAATCGTTCTGAGTACGATTACCGCCATGGAAGCATTGTTGCATCTGAAAGCGTGAGGAACAATTCGACTTCGGAAGACCCTTGGTCTTGCGTTGTCGTCGTTGCTACCTTCTGTATCTTCGGTAAGTTCAAATTTTTCAATTTCTGGCTTTGTTTTTTATTTGTTGATTTTTGTGTTGTTGTTGAATTTGAATTCAGTTTCGATGACTTTGATTCTGGGGCTTTATGGAACAACGAATGTCTGGTTGGGACCAAACTCTTCGTTTCTTATTAAGCCAACTTCTGTGTTCGTCCAAAATGTTATTGTATGTTTTCTCCTCTCATGTATTTAGAATCCACCATTGTTGAACTTTCTGATATCAAAGTTTCTATCTTTGTCGATTTTCTCAAGGTGGAAGAATTAGGGAACAAGGGATCTGGTTTGATTCTGTATGGATTGAACCAAGCCCCACAGCTTGATGTTCTGACTAAATGGTCTGAAGTTCACTATCTAGCTGTGCCAAATGATTCTTACAAGGTTAGCTCTTTACTTGTGTTATCTAGAAATGGCTATGAAATGGCCACTGATACTTTTTGTTTTGCTACTTTTTTCAGTATTGGATACAGTATTTGAACAAGGGGTCACGCGTAAGAGTTTCATACAATGTTGAATCTGTGGGTTCTTCCCTATATCTTGTGATAGCTCAAGGTATGCTAGAGAAAAATCCTTTTCCAATGATGATTAGTTCAGTATGTAGATAGATGCTTCATAGTGGCCACTTAAATTATCATCTTCATCACAAGAGTTTATTCACCAAATCTTTAGTTTGGTGATGTTTTAGGATCCACTGAGACAAATTCTGCTGGAATGGTCACCTTCATTGTTGTATTCTGTCTTTAATGACCATATGAATTAGAAGATGTATTGCAAAAGAAAATTCCTGCATCATACCAGATTTAGGACACTTAGTATGGTTGAATCCATTGATTTGACTAATTTTCCTCTAGTAAGATTTGTTCGCCATCTAGTAATGTTTTATTCTATTTCCAATAAGGCTCCTGCACTGAAATAATTCCTATCCCTGATTTCGTGTCATATTCTGGTATTTATAAGCTGCTAAGAAAGAATAGATGTTTAGTAAATTCAGCTTTTGATTCATTTATTATTGAAGGTGTGGACGGGCTCTCTGAGTGGGTACAAGACCCTACGCGTCCAGACACTACACTGTCATGGCATATAATCTCTGGCAAGTGACCAAGGTTTTTAACATCCTGGATATTTATTCTGAATATTTATGAGTTAACTCACACTCTACTTATTTTATTTTTGACAGATAGTGGTTACATTGAGCTGGACATAACTAAGTCGTCGAGTTATTACGTTGCAGTAGGCAACGTATACCTGAATGAAGTGAAGGTAAAAGCAACTTATGATGATATATCTTAAAACTTAAACTCTTAGGGTAGCTTTTTGAAAAGTTTAACTGCAGTATATTATCCCTTTCTAATCCCAAGCAGCACTCTTTTTTCCTGATTATACACCATTCTCACACAATATCTATGTTCAGGCTACGATTGACATTCAAGTTGAGGGGGTATTGTATGATACTACAAATGCTTATTACAATTGCTCTTTCCCTAACGACAAGTGCACTCTAAGTGTTCCATTATTTGGAACTAATGCTGCTGTACTAACCTCACCAGGTCCAAAGCTGGTATGTAATCCATTTCTTGTCTTTCTGTTTCACTCTTCTTTTCAAACGATTCATAGAGCAATACAAGATAGTTAACATTGTTATGTATATTCCAGTCTGAATCCAACTCTTTTCTTGTTTGTTCAGAACAATTCTAAGAATGAGTTCTGCGCAAAACTCTCATATGAACCAAGGTGGATTGCATACATAGTTTGCATGGGTAATGTTCTTTTTATTATATAACATGAGGCATATAAACCGAGGTTTTTCGTTTAAGACTTCATTATAAACTTTTGCTTTTCCCCTGGGCTGATTATTACAGGTGTAGTGACAGCACTCTTGTTAATTGTCTCTAGTCTCTTCAATAAACGACAACCAGTCACTGAAGATGAAACCGTTGATGAAAATGATGATGTAGCTCCTCTAATTCCGGGAAAAGACGATGATAACTCGAGCTGGTGCTCGTCCTACAGTTCTATCTTGACAAGTACTGAGGAATTGGAAGGCGGACATGGTGAAGGCCACAGTAGTACAAGATATCTATGTGCAATTTGCTATGATGCGCCTAGAGACTGTTTCTTCCTCTCTTGTGGACACTGCGTTGCTTGCTTACAGTGCGGGACACGGTAATAAAATAACCTGTTCGATCTTTTCGTTCTTTTAGTTGTCATTTATGAAGGGGATCTTTTCATGACGCGAGAATGAACATTAATGATGAGTTCAAAAATTGGATGTACAATCTGCAGGATAGCTGAAACTTCTGGTTTTTGTCCGGTATGCCGTAAGAAGATCAGGAAGGTAAAGAAGATCTTCAATGTCTAACAAAGAGAATGAATAACACACAGTGCACGCATTACCGTATCTGTTGTATAGATGTAAAAGACAAGTGTGGGATGGAGAAAAGCAAGAAGGTTCTGGCGTCTGTGTTACTACTGTCTGTATATTAAATGATATGGATTCCGGAGTTTCGCTTGGTAACCATATTTCATTGAACCCGGTTCATCCGAAATTTTATTTTGTCCGATTCGATAACTTCAGTTTAGCGTTTTTGGTTTGCAGCGTAATTTCTTGTTTGGGTAACAACATATCTGTCTGACCGTGAATAGTTGCGAACTTGCGAATTTTCACGTTGTTGTATTTTTAATAATTTTCTGAAAAGTTTCGATATTCAATCATATGATATTTTTCTTAATAATTTTAGTTAACAAATTTATAAAACCTCTGTATAGGCCCAAAAGCAGAAAAGCCCATCAAGCACATTACGATCCACCTCAAGTTCATAGCTGTATTTTCTTTCAGACACTTTACAATGTATTCATGAATAAATGAATATTTCATAATCTCTTTAATCCATTGATTTCAACACATTCAATTTGTTTTTATATGTGCCATAGGCCATTTAGATAACATTTGCACCATCACGTCGTCATATTAGTCCAAAGATCCATCTTGTTATTTAGATATCTAATCATGTTCTCTTTGAAAATCTAATTTTCAACATAGTCATATCTCAAAGCGTTTGATCGTTGGAAGAAAACATATGAACTTCTCCCAAATTTTTGATATATGGGGACTAAGTTTTTCTCTGTATTCATGATCTTTCAACTCCACTTTATTGTCATCACTAAGTGATAATGAATTTAGAAGGCCTGATTCATTTCCTCTACAAAAATATTATAACATTTTTGCATATCATTAGAAGACAAGATTTAAAAGATTTTCTCATATGGTTAGATGCGATCACCACAAATATGATTTCGTTTAGTTCATCTAAGTTCTATAAACAATTTCACCATAAAATAATTCTCTATATTGTCATATTTTACTTTTGGATATATGCAAAAGTATGCATATGACAAACTCTATTACATTTGTACCACAACTCCATATGTTCATTTTCTTGTACTGAAATTGTTTTCTATGTAGCGTCAGCTAAACCATGGTTCAATTTTGAAATCTGAATATAAAAAACAAAGCTACGATAAAAATATGCATGAAAACCTACAAAACAATGAATTCATAAGCATATAATTCATTTGAATCATTAAGAGGCCCTATATATAGAAGTGAAGTTTCTAGTTATACCTTTGCTAGAGAATTAGATTCGAACTTATTTTTCACTTTGACATCTACTCTACGTTTGACACAATGAAGACGAGCAAATATATTTCTTTCTAGACTCTTTGGAGATATTTGCAGACGCTGAAAACCATCACAGATATTCGTCGCTTCACTTTGTAAGATATCACCAAAAAATATGCCCTTGATGAAAAATCTGCAAAGTAGCCAATCAACTTTAATTAACCCAACAAAACAATAATCTAGAACACTAATAAAAAATGAATCATAATGTCTCATGCAATGCTCTCTTTACATGCCAACGTAAACCATAAATGAAGCTCGTGAGATCACCAAAAGAAATTGATTTCAATACTTTCAACTTGTTTCTATTTGAGTGGCTACTTGGTGAACTCATTTGTTGAAAATACTTCTTATATGCCGAGAAAACGCAATTCCGTAATATTTCGCCAAAATCGTGATTTCGGTTTTTGTTAAAAATAGTATTTTGCATTTTTCCGCCAAGATCTTCATTTACGGTTTGGCGAAATACAATTCGGCAAAAAGATTTCGACGAGAAAACAGTATTTTTTGGTTTTTGGTAAAAACACATAATTTTGACAGAACAAATGATAATCTTTGATTTTACGATTTTCAGAAAAATGTTTTTGGGTGGAAATATGCAATTTTAAAAAAATATAATAAGAAATCAATATAAAAAAATTAGTTGATATATGATTATAAATGAAGGTATATTAAACATTTACAATTTTTGGAAGAATCATCATCTCTATCTAAATGCACTATTTAAACTCATTCAGATTTTTTGAATTTTTTTTTTGGATTTGTTTGACAAATACAACGGAACTGAATGAAGAATTATTTTAGTTTTAGTTTTAGAAAAAAAGAAGAATTATTTTAGTTTTGTATAAAAAGATAAAAAAACACGCGGGATTGTAAACCTTTGGTATAGGCCCAATAGTATGGGCCAGATCAGGAGCTGGAAAACCCATCAGGCACTTGTATGTATATTATAAACAGCTAGGGTTTCCAAAGTGTTTAGGAGAATCAATAATGGGGAGATTTTTTCACAAGCCCTCATACAGCATCTACGCTAAACCACCTCGATTTCATTCCTGTTTTGATTACAGAACTGTGATAAGCATTGATCCTAATCCGCGTTTTCAGCGCTGTGAAGTTCAGGTACCTTTGCAATTGAAGTTAGTTTCCGTCTGGGCGGCTTATTGATTGATTCATTCTTACAAGTAGTTTTTTTTTTTATATGTATAACAGGAAGATATATCGCCAGATGTTACTAAGTCTTCAAGGTATCCAATTCGGCTTTGAGTTTATTATGTACTAGTAGGCTATGGATGGCTGTTGCTCATAATATGTGTTAGTGTTTTTCACTTGACTCAGCAACCTACGTAAGCAGCTTCAATCAAGTTCCAAGATGCGATTCCTCCACAAGCGCAAAGCTTTTAAAAAGAAGAAGACGAAGTAGATGCTCGTGAACAAGCCACCACCTAAGGTTCTTGAGATATGACGCTTTCTCTTTCTCGCCTTGTTCTTTAAGATACGTATCTTAATTAAACTTGCTTTATTATGACTTAAATCTTTTATGTTATTGATTTGCAACTTTGTCTCATTCTATTAGAGCTAGACATTTCATTCCTTCTTTAAGCACTGATCAGACGAGCATGCATTCGATCTATCTACCATGCTGCAATATGTTGACGAGCATTCGATTGTCTATCTACTGATTTTTTTTTAACTTAGATACATGTACAAAAGTTTTGCTGGTTAATAATCTGTCATACTTCCATGAGATAGTAGCTAGTTTGAGATGGGTGTGAAGTAATCACAAAGAAAACAAATCTTCTGCCTTACCAAATCTTGTAAGGACATGGCTTCTCGGTGTATCCTTTCCATCGTGTATGTAATCTTCAAAACCAACAATATTCAATTCGTGCATATTAATTATAAAATACTTCATAATTTAGTATGAGCTGGTGTAATATTTTTATACGGAAAATTGGCAAAACTCTTACAAATTGTTTCAAATTGGCAATAGTAAAGTCAACAACTTCAAATGCCTCGGTTTGTTCTGATCTCTTGGAGCCCAAGTGAAACTTATTTTCTCAAATATTCTTCTTGCCAATCCATTTATCTCTCTTATCCAATGATGGACTGTGAAGTTCTTTTGTATTCCATTGATCAACCCAATTAGGCACTTGTTACCTCCTTCGAAGAATACCTTCGTGAAACCTCTTTCCCATGTGTGTTGTATAGCCATCAAGAGCGCTTGACATTCAACTTCTAAAGGTGACTAACATGATTACCTTCAGCTTTTGCAATACATTAACCTTCATTTTTAAGAATATTATTTACAAGCTTAGCAAATAAAAAATGTTATCTTTATCATGGGTGCTTTGTGTGCCATTAGAAGAAAGCATGATCCACATTATGACATCTATATTTACATTAGTGAATAGTGATTATTGAATTAAACAATTATTTTCTATGACCAGTACTTCGTATTTACTTCAATCGGTTTGCAAAAGAGTGACACGTGTCACGTGATGAATGGTGAAGACACATAATTGACGGTGTTCCCAGTGGTACTATATCATTCTTTCCGTTTGTGCAGTCAGGAGTACTGAATTTTGATTTCTGGCAACAAATCACGACGACGAGACGACCTCGGCCTCTCTTCTTCCACCACAGCACCGCATCGCATCGCATCGCATCGTCTTCTTCTTTCTTCTGCGAGCAGGTTAATTTCTCTCTTCTCTCTCTATCTTTTTGTTCATCATCACGAATTTCATTTCGTTGATCTATTGATTCCGACTATAAAATTCGTCTCATGTGTTGATAATGTTTTCTAGATCGTCTTCGAGGAGCCTGCGTGCTAGGGTTTCTCCGCCTTCTTCCTTCCCTAATTCTAGATCTGTAAGTTACTCTGCATCATTGCGGTTTCGGTTTAATTCTAGATTTGTTATGATTCACTTGCCTCTGTTCAATTTCTACGATTCGTCTGATTCGATCGGTTCTAGTATCGTTGAATCTCTTCTCTCGCTCTGTGCGCAGTCTAATTGTTTGGTTATGCACTCTTTTTGATTGTACAAGTAAAGTATATCGTGCCAATGTTAGGGTTATTCGTTTGATTCCGTATGTAGTAGTATCTCTCTAGTCGACGTCAAATCCATATAATGTTTCCAAATATTGATTGGTTACCAAAACTGATTCGAGAGTTTTGAATCTCTATGGGCTATGTATGTATATATCAGAGTCATGGCTAAGCCATGGGCACATTTTGTAAACACTAATGTTGTAGTTTCAACTTTGAATGGTCTAATTTCTGAATTTCAACATGTTTTTATCTATGACAGCAAAAGGTAGAAGCAGCTGATTACAGGAACCATGATGTCCTTTGAAATGAATGACCGGAAAAGTAAGTTCACATTGTGATTTCTATAAATATTTCGTGCTATTTGAAGAGATAGATACTTAATTCTTCTTTTGCTTATCACGTTCTTGAGTGAGTAGATCATTGAATGTCATGTTATTGTTGGGAACCTTTTATTTTCAATATATCTTATTACCTGCCAGGGTACAAAGTTATTCCTGCTGTAGTTGGATATACTTGAACGTTTCTTATGTGATTTGAAACAGAAATCGGGTTAGGGCTGACAGGATTTGGCGTATTCTTCTCGTTTTTGGGAATTGTCTTTGTCTTTGATAAGGGATTACTTGCCATGGGAAATGTAAGTACCTCAGATATCTTTGTTTTCTATGCTTTGACCACTATTCTTGCATACGTACAGAACCAGAGTGAGAGTTTGTTTCTTTTCATATTCTCTCAGATTCTTTTCATCTCGGGGGTTAGTCTAACCATTGGCTTCAAGTCTACCATGCAGTTCTTCATGAAGCGTCAAAATTATAAGGTTTGTTTCCGTCTTTCCCTACCTTATCAATATCTCTGGGTCAGTCTCTGCTGGAGTTTTACATATTTCTCCTTAATGTCATTTATGTGTGTTCATTTGGCTTTATATGTTCTCCCCTCAGGGAACCATATCTTTTGGCGTCGGTTTCTTCTTTGTTATCATCGGGTGGCCTATCTTGGGAATGATGTTGGAGACCTATGGCTTTTTCGTACTCTTCAGGTCCTTTTGCTTTTTTTTTTCTTCCTTATTGGTATTACTTGTGGAAATGTAAACAGATACTAAAAACGTTTTCTATTTCAGTGGCTTCTGGCCAACCTTGGCAGTTTTTGCTCAGAAGATACCCATTCTCGGTTGGATCATTCAGCAACCATATATTAGATCGGTATGTGTCCAATTCAAAATTCACTGCAAAACAAAAACTTTTGCAACTACTGCAAAATGAGACTCTTAGACCTCGAGTACAACACATACAGAACTCATATGACTCCCAATTTCCCCTTTCCAAATTACAAATGATAATTCTCTCTTTGTTTCTGATGGTCTTGAGTTTCTAGGCCTAGTGTTTTCTCAGTTTACCTTAACTTTAATATAAACTCTGTTGCATATACTGCTAATTGTTGACTAATGCGACTGATTGACTCGTTTTTGTTTATGTGATGTGTAGTTCTTTGACAAGTACCGGGGCAAGCGTGTGCCGGTCTAGTCTTCCAGCCCGAGTAGAGAGACGATTCACTGAGCTAGATACAGCTGAACAGGCGATTAAAGTTTTTGGAAGAAGAAGTTGGTGTGCTTGTGACTCCTGTAGAAAACTAAAACCATAGGAGAAAGAAAATAGGAAGGAGCAGAACGTACAATTTGAAGCTGTGTGGCTATGTACTTAAGAGAAAACTCAGTGACTTTAATGCTCTTGATGGGTTTGTAAACGTTTTGGTTTTTTAACTTTTGACAAATGGTTTAGCCAAATCTGATTTTGGCAAATACGCCGTCGCTTTGGTTTTTCATACATATAAAATTGATTAGCGGTTCCGGTTCAATGTGTAATTCAAATTTGGTTCGGTTTATGACGACACTGATATAGAGGCCCACTAGGGAGTTGCGAGTTTTAGGGACCGTTGCGTTAATCGCGTGTGTTTAGTTAAATCATCTGCATACGTGGCACTTGTTGAGTGGGTACTATACGAATCCTTGGTGCACTTAAAGCATACCAGATCATCACTCTCTCATTTGTTTTCCCCCGAAAAAAGAAAAAAGAAGCTACCGTCTTTTTCTAGCCGTTGGGGTTGAAATTGAACCATCATCATCGCCTTTTTTTTTTTCATTTTTTTACCCTAATTTATCTTCTTATCCCCAACGAACTTTTTTCGATTTTGATCTGATTGGTACAGATCTCCGGTGAAGTAAAACACTGGAGGGAGATGAAGTCATCGAGAATGAAGTTTGCAAAGAAATTGAAATCGATTAGAGCCGGCGAATATCTGAATCAGGATCGGATTCTCCAGGTTCTTTCTGCTGCAGATGGAATCTCTGAGTTTCTTCCAAAGATATCTAACCCCATTCCTCAGATAACATCCGCTGGTTCTATCTGGAAAACCCCTCAAAAGCCTCGGGATCAACTTGCAAATGTAACGGAACTTGTGGGAAACGAGAAAGAAGGAGGAGAAGAAGCTTCTTCTGGAAATGTCGTTGGCGACGAAGAGAACTTCCCGCCGCCGGTGAACCAGATTCCGAGAGTTCCGTGTGATCGGAAAGAGAGTAAACCGGCAGTTTCTTGCGGATCTGATACAGGTATCGGGAGAAAGAGTTTCGAATCTGGATTTAGAAGACCTGATTTGAATTCGACCACACTTTTCGATCCGAAGCTTTTAGAAGCATTTGAATTAGCTGCGTTATGCTTTAGGAAGATTGACGATTTCTCCAGAGAAGCCAGAGTCAATGATGAAGACGACATCGTCTTTCCCGATGAAGAGGAAATCGGAAAAGACGAGAATACCCTTCCCCCGGTGATTGGCCTCGAAGATGAGGATAGACGGAAAGACGAAAATGTCGTCGTCCTTCACAAAGATGATGGAAATGTCCTTCAGATAGCAAACGCCACCGCGGAAGAAGTCATCGGAGAAGAAGACAATGGAGAAGACGAAAGTGCCCTTATCGATCCGTTGTTGGAATTCGAGGAACGGTGTCCTCCGGGAGGAGAGGAATCCGTTGTTTTCTACACAACGACTCTTCGGGGAATCAGAAAAACGTTCGACGACTGCAACATGATCCGATTTCTGCTGGATAGTTTTAAGGTTAAGTACTACGAGAGAGATGTGTCGATGCATAGAGAGTATAGAGAAGAGCTCCGACGAATCTCAGCGGCGGAAACGGATGTTTTGCCTCCGGTTCTGTTCATAAAAGGAAGGTGTATCGGTGGAGCTCAGAGAGTGTTGGGTCTCCACGAGCAAGGGAAGTTTAGAGTTCTGTTTGAGGGAGTTCCAATCACCGGAGATGAACGTTGCCGGCGATGCGATGGGTTTAGGTTTTTGATGTGTGATGGATGCAGAGGTAGTCGCCGGATTATCTCTGGTGATGGATCAAGGATTCAGTGTGTGATATGTAACGAGAATGGGTTAATTGTGTGCGTTGATTGCTCCTCCTAAGACCATTTTATATGTGTGTATATATCAAATTACACAATTCGTTTATTATTTTTCTTAGTGCTGTAACAATTTCTTCTTATACAGAAAATAAATGTGGTCATCAGTTATATGATATCATATGGTTGTTTCTACACAAATCACAAATTAGCATTGATATTTCAGAATTCTAGACACTAATTGCACTAATTTATAGCAGTAATTTGTTAATGTTTATATGATGCTTACAACAGTTTTGCAGGTTTTAGTAGCAGCATGTGGTAACTTCCACTAAGATTGTCATCCATAATTTACAAAAACTACATTTATTTGAGAATTTAACCTTATAATTGATTAAATCATCGATCAAACACTTCACAAAACGTTTTCACTAATTCACAGAATAGCTAAACGGATACTTAAATAATTTGTTGGACTTTATCTGAATGTTATAAATACAGTCAAGTAGTCAAAAGAGCAAGTTGGGCCGCCAGGGTCGACTGAGTGGAAATATCTACTGATTGCAAACGAGAGGCGGGCCTTCCTTTTCAACCTCAGCCGCCTATTTCTCTATTTACTTTTATCATCACAAACTGCTATTTTTAGATATCTTTTTAAAGGATCTTTTTCCTTTTTTTCAAATATTTTTTCTAGAATTATATAACTTAACGTACTTGTATAAAATGAATTTCTCCTACTCCCAAATACTGTATCTGAAAATCCCATTCCAAAACGATTGGCTATGAATTGTTTGATAAAGAAATATAAAGATGTTTTTTAAGAAGAAAAAGATGTTTTCCATAATCAATTTTAAAAGCGTGCAATTCATTTTCTGCAAACCTTTTTTTTATTTTCTATTTGTCCTTTATGCAACAATTAATGCGGACTAGAGCGACAGTCGTGGATTCTATGAGGTCCAGTTACATTTTTTGGTGTCAGAAGATTTTTTTCCATTTTTATTTCCCTAAATCTATTTAATTAAGAACAAATTAATTGTGGAAACGTTTTAAAACATTATTGTTAGTCTGCATTACATATCCGCTGATTAACAATGCATTTTAACACTTTTCTAATCCAATTCCGGGCGACTCATTTTGTTTAATCTCAAACCTCTAATTTAGTTTGCTAAAATCTTAAAATGTTAACCCGAAAATCGAAATCGTGTGTTTTTAATCTAGACCGTCCGATCACAACAAAATCCCACTTTTCCACAATGAAAATTCAATAATTAAGGAATTTCTAATTAATTAATTAAAATAGAGAAAAAAACATCTATTTATTTTTTAGCTTTTATTACACCGCCACAAACTCTCACTATAAAGCCGATCCATAGATAGACGAGGACCGGCCAGAAATCGCTTCACCATTCCCAAATCTTTCTTCCATTTTCTCTCCACAAAACTCTCTCTTCAATCTACGATAATGGAAGGAACCGGCGTTGTAGCTGTCTACGGTAACGGTGCGATAACGGAGGCTAAGAAATCTCCCTTCTCCGTTAAGGTCGGTTTGGCTCAGATGCTCCGTGGTGGTGTTATCATGGATGTCGTCAACGCCGAGCAAGCTCGTATCGCCGAGGAAGCTGGTGCTTGCGCCGTCATGGCTTTGGAGCGTGTTCCTGCTGACATTCGTGCTCAAGGAGGCGTTGCTCGTATGAGCGATCCACAAATGATTAAAGAAATCAAACAAGCCGTTACGATTCCGGTGATGGCTAAGGCTAGGATTGGTCATTTCGTTGAAGCTCAAATCCTTGAAGCAATTGGAATCGATTACATCGATGAGAGCGAGGTTTTGACTCTTGCTGATGAAGATCATCACATCAACAAGCATAATTTCCGGATCCCTTTCGTTTGCGGTTGCCGGAATCTCGGCGAGGCTTTGAGGAGGATCCGTGAAGGTGCGGCGATGATTAGGACCAAAGGTGAAGCTGGAACTGGTAACATTATTGAAGCTGTGAGGCATGTGAGGTCTGTTAATGGTGACATTAGGGTTTTGCGAAACATGGATGATGATGAGGTTTTCACTTTCGCTAAGAAATTAGCAGCTCCGTACGATCTAGTGATGCAGACTAAGCAGCTTGGTCGTCTTCCTGTAGTCCAATTCGCCGCCGGTGGAGTGGCTACTCCGGCTGATGCAGCTCTCATGATGCAGCTTGGATGTGATGGTGTCTTTGTTGGTTCTGGTATCTTCAAGAGCGGTGACCCAGCGCGTCGTGCACGTGCCATTGTTCAGGCTGTGACTCATTACAGTGACCCTGAGATGCTTGTGGAGGTGAGCTGTGGACTTGGAGAAGCCATGGTTGGGATCAATCTCAATGATGAGAAGGTTGAGAGGTTCGCTAATCGCTCCGAGTGATCAAAGAACAAAAAGGTAAAACTTTCAGACGAAATGGAATTCTGAGACCATTTTGCAGTAATCTCTTTGAAAAGAAGAAGATGATATTGTTGGTAGTTTGTGTCCTTTGTGTTTTCCTTATATCTTTGATAGTGTTTTGTTATTGTAATCTCGTAATCCATTTGCAAGAACAAGTTTGTCAGTTATAATAATGTACTACTCTCTTGATCAGTTGTTTTTGAATCAGATATATTCTTCGTTCCATTGATATGGAGCTTGTTATTCAATTAGATTTCAGACAGCCTATTGGTAGTATCAGGTTGATAACAAAGGATGAAACTTGTTTGATTTGGTAATGAGATCTTCCTCGTACATTGGTACCGAGCTCTGCAACTGTTTCCGTATTGAATTTGGTTTGAAGAAGTGTCCTGGATTAGAATCACATAGCCTCTAGTTCTTATATCAATTTGTGATTTCAGGCATAGCTGTAAACCTAACAGAGGAATAATATGATTTGGGTTTCTTTGTTGTTAAAGAGTAAGAATCATCGATTTCATGATTTGTGGATTATGGTTTATGGGGGGTTCTTTGCAGCGATGTTTGCATTCTAAATTGGTTTTTGTGAAATGCTATATTAATGTGTGATTAGTAAAGGAGAGAGTTCATGGGACTCTTCTAGCTTTGAAAATCATAAGAGTCTTTTAGCTTTGAAAATCCATGGGACTCACTCTTCTAGCTTTGAAAATCCACAAGAGTCTTTTAGCTTTGAAAACCCATGGGACTCTTCTAGCTATGGGATTTCAGATCTCACTCGCGGTATTAGCATACGATCATCGGAATCCATGGAGCTCTTTACTTCAAAACCGAGTTCTTGAAGTCTTACACAACACCATGACTTAGGGATACGAGAGTATATATCCCTTCACTTCAGTCTCTAAGCTCTTGGCTTTGCCGGATCCAATTTATCCAGAGAGCATTACTTCAAAATGTTCTCATACTTAACTGTTTAATTTTGTTAACCGAGAACAACCAAATCAAACAGAACTTAACCAAATTGTAATTGCAATTTGATGCACCCCACTCGCATTTTGTTCGAAAAGACTCCACTAAGAAGACCACAAAACACGGATAAAGTCATTAAAATATCAATCGAGATAGGCCCATATCGGCCCATTCTTATTCCCCAATGGCATTGTAATCAATTCACTAATTATGGGAGACTTATCTAACATAATTCAATTATGAGGGACCATAGTACAATTTCTTTCTTTACTTAAACGACGTCGTGTCATTGTTTATCAGTTTCTTTTAGGAAAGACCTCAAAAATGGAAATCAGTTCAATAGTGTTCATATCAGAAATAAAACGAATCTCCATCGGCCTTCTATCTAAACCCTATGCCATAGAAGAAGAAGAAGAGGGATGCATATCCATCGAAGCTCTGGACACTAGTGTATAATAATAATATCGATTGTTTTGAAACCTATTATGATGGTTGGAACCATGGCTTCGTATTCAAGAGAAAGGCTTGAACGTCTTGCGAGTTCCGCCAAATCAGCCACTGAATTGCCTCCGAAGCTGCAACGCTTACGCAATTTGCACCGGGATTTGCAAAAGGACGAATCCGTTTTTCCCACCGAGCTGCTTCCTCACCTTTTCGATCTTCTCTCCGATCAATTCGGTGCTGTCCGCAAGTTTGTCGCCGAGTAAGCTCCGCTATTGTATAATCTGTAACCCTTTCCTGGTGATTCAATGCTGGAGTTTCTGAAAATTTTCGGATCTGTTTGTAACTACACAGATACAAATCAATTTCAGAGTTCTTATAAATGATGAAATTGTTGATTCTTGATTTCTTGGTCTTTGTGAATCCTGTATTTTTGTAATTACTGTCTCTAGCCACCCTAATGATGCATTATTTCTTGCCTTTGTATAATTACTTACTCTTAATCCTGGACAACATCTCACTTCAGGCAGTGATGGTTTAGTGTCTGTCTTACTCTCATTAGCTTACTGAAGGATTCCTTTGCGACTAGTATAATCAAGGACGTGTTCCTCTCTTGACCTAGGGAATTTGAATAACTCGCTGAACCTCTGATGCTATTTCAAATGCAGGATCCTTGGTGAAGTTGGATTGAAATATGTGGACTTATTACCTGAAATAGTACCGCTTTTAATTAAGTCTCTCGAAGATGAGACACCAGCTGTGGCGAGGCAGGTCATTGCTTGTGGAGTTCATTTATTCCGTTCCACCCTCGAAAGAGTGGCAGTTCAGGTTGTTTTCTTGTTTTTGTTTTTTAGGTTCTGTATCTGTGACCTGTTCTTCCTGCATTTGGTATGTAAATCCCTTCTTATTTGACGTGCTTATTGCTATTTGGCTTCCAGGGTTTGCATTCTAGTGAGTTGAATGATCTTCTTGAATCTTCGTGGACATGGGTGATTAAGTTCAAGGATGAAATATGCTCATTGGCTTTCAAGGTGGGAATTAATGCTTTCTCTAATTCCCCGATGGGTTGTCTTTCTTATCTGATTGTATTTTTTCTTTTGACCTGTATATTAGCAAGGAAATAGTGGTGTAAAATTATGCGCTATGAAATTTGTGGAAGCGCTTATCCTCTTGTATACTCCTCATGAAGGTAAACTTTTATGGATCGATCCGCTCAATTCGTGAAACTAGAATTTGTTGTTTTATTAGTATCTTATTAGAAACTAGTTGCTTATATAATCTAGTTTACCTGTCCTGAAGGAATTGAAGCAGATTTTAATATATCTATTCTTCGTGGGGGTCATCCTGTTTTGAAAATTGGAGACTTGTCGATTGAGGCCAGCCAGAAATTGGGTTTACTGCTTGATCAGCTTAGGCACCCTGCAGCAAAATCTCTAAATAGCTCGACAATTATTGTTCTCATCAATAGGTGCGTTGTTTTTAAGTGCATCTCTATGCGCAGTTTAATTTGGTATTGTTGAATCAGTTTGAAGCTTGGAAAGAGTACCTGCAAATTTATCTATGAATTCATAAAAAGATAGCTGTATATGTTTGTTTCTGTTACTTTCGTTTTGGTTCATTTTTGTCTAGAAAATCTTTATAATCTGAACATGGATGAAAAAATTTAGATTTGACTTTTGACTGAAGAGCATCCAATCTAGTAAGGACGAAGTTCCTGTGATTAGAACGGGGTTAAGTGTAAAAATATGCTTTGGTCCTCACATACAGTTACTAATATTTAAGGGAAAACTGTGTTTGGTAATCTGTCGGTACTCTTTCATCGTGAATTGTGTAGATGGGGATCCAGAATGTCATGTAAGCTTGTCTTATGTTTCATGATTTCCTTTTCATTTTGATTCTGTTTCTTATACAGTCTTTCATCAGTTGCAAAGAAACGTCCTGCATACTGTGGACGAATTCTACCTGTTCTACTGAGCTTGGATCCCCTAAGCTTTCTCAAAGGAGTGCATGCTGCATCAGCAAATCTTGCCTTGAAGACTGTATTTCTCTCCTGCTTGAAATGTACACATCCCGCTGCTGCACCGGTATTATTTTGTTTTAGTTACCTACAATGATTTAGTTCACTGTTATTTTATATTATAGATTTTTTTCATTATGCTGAGCTGGTATACATTGTCATTGCAACTAAACGACCATAGTTCCATGCTATGTATTTAATTTTCCCAATAGTTTACGGTAGATTGTTAGTTTATGTGCTCGGATGTAATGGGTAATGTTTACTATGTTGATCTGTCTTACTTGCTATCCTATCATTGCTAATCAACTATTAGTGGTATAACCCATTCTTATAAATTTTGTGATGGTGTATTCTCCATGGAGTTGATTTTCGTAGCTAACTTGCAATTTTCTGTATGCTGTCAATTTTCTCCAGTGGAAGGACCGGTTGATCAGTGCTCTTAAAGAGATAGAAGGTGGAGGTCGGGCAGCCAAAGCGAAAGATCTCTTTTACAAGACTAACGGAAGCATTCAGGACAAAGATAGTGTAGAGGATACCAAGGTAATTTGTTCCTCGTATGTTTATCGTTGTGTGTGCATGCGTCTCTCCGGTTTTTTTTTGGTTATATACAGATATAAAAGCCAAGAACTTTTAATTACAGGTATCAATGGAAGAGAATCCTCTCTGTGCAAGTTCTGATGTTGCAGAAAGTAACTTAAGTAGGAAAAGATCTGGATCAGAATACAATAGTGATCTAAATGGAGATGCTTCGGATGGAAAACGTGCAAGAATAACACCTTCTGTGTCAGAAGAATCCACTGACGGATTAACTGGTAATGATGGTGGCTCTCTACCTCGGGTTGCTTCTACCTCGACCGGACCAAGTGATAGCAGAGGAGTGAGTGATACTGGACCTGCTCAGCAGCTAGTTGGTTTGTTTGGAACCTTGGTTTCTCAGGGTGAAAAAGCAATTGGATCTTTGGAGATTCTTATTTCAAGTATTTCGGCGGATTTACTTACTGATGTTGTGATGGCTAATATGCATAATATTCCATCAAATGGTTCTTCTTATGCTGATGGCACCGATGAGTTGGTGATGAACATGTGTATAGTTGGCAGTGATGCACAAATCAAATATCCACCATCATTTGTAGCGGGTGTCCTTTCACTGTCAACCGCATTCCCACCAATTGCTGCCCTGATAAATCCTCACAATGTATGGGTGCTCTTTGCTTGATTAAGTATATCTATCTGTTTTATATTTTATTGCTTGTCATTTATGCTCCTTGTTTTACCTTCTCGTCTTTAAGATTGTATTGTACACTAAAATCTCACCAATAACAGGAAGATGAGGAAGTCTATTCTGTTCATGTGGACCAGCAAATGTTTCCAGCTGAAGATGCAAGAACTCCACCTGGCTTATTAGCTTCCTCTGATACTTCTTTTCCAGAAAATGAAGAAAGCAATACTGTGTCTCTACAAAATGTGCATTACATAGGGAATAGAGAAAGTGGAATACCTGGACTGGAATCTTCTGCTCAACATGATGTATCAGGAGCCCTTGTTACTAATGTATTGAGTTCTACGAATATGGAGGCTGCAAGCAAAAATCAAAATGCGAGTTTCAGTGGAAAACTTCTTGTCGATGTAATTCCCTCAATGTCTGTGGATAAGTCGGAGGAATTTAGTCCAAAGGCGGTTGGCACAGGTTCTACCAGCTTGGTTTTGTCAACGGCAACTTCAGTTGCTTCTGCGCCTCAGTTTGTCTTGCCTAAGATATCAGCACCTGTTGTCGACCTTTCTGATGAAGAGAAAGACAGTTTACAAAAGCTAGTGTTTTTGCGCATTGTTGAAGCATATAAGCAAATATCAATGTCTGGTGGCTCACAACTCCGCTTTTCTCTTCTTGCTCATTTAGGAGTTGAGGTGAATTTCGAAACTATATTTTTTGACATTTCCAAGGAGACGGGCCTCTTCTGGCTCTCTCCTAGTTCAGCTTGTGATTTATTACTCTTCATAAGTTTTTGTGAAATTTGATAAATATGAACATATCGGCCTCTGCATGATTCTTACCACTTGCCTCTACTCTAAGAGCCTTTGTGGTATCAGGAGCCCTTGTTACCACTGTATTATGTTTGATTTCTATGGCTGTTTAGACTTTCCTGTTTTATAGCTATCAAATGCATCCTAGTTGGCAAGATGTTTGTTTGAAGTACGATGGCATTCTGTCTCACAATTGCCTTCAGAGTGCCATACTTTCCTGTTTTATACCTATACATTTGCCTTCTTTTTTTTGCAGTTTCCTTCAGAGTTAGACCCTTGGAAAATATTACAGGAGCACGTTCTCTCGGATTATTTGAATCATGAGGTGAGAATTTGTATTCATGACTTGAAGGTTGAACAATTAGATTAGTGATTCCTATGTATTTGTGATACACGCTTACTGTTTTGGTAGCATCAAAAGGCCCAATTTTGGTAATGAAATCCTTTTGCTAGAGTTAGTGATTTTAGTTTCTGACTTTCTCTTTCTATCCTAGTATATTTTCTAATTTTGATAGGTTTCGAACTGGCTCGACTCTAGAATATCTTACTCTAATGTTGGATGACATCCCTAATTGATTCAAAAGTCATTTAACGAATTATCCTTTCTTATGTTTTCAGGGACATGAGTTGACTGTGCGGGTTCTTTACAGGCTATACGGGGAGGCAGAAGCAGAACAAGATTTCTTCTCTTCAACTACTGCTGCATCGGCATATGAAAGTTTCTTGCTGACTGTGGTAAGCATTCAATTTTGTTTGCATCTGAGTCAACTTTTCACGAGGGAATCTCAGAAAACATTTTTACCTTTTAGGCTGAAGCACTAAGAGATTCTTTTCCACCATCTGACAAATCTTTAAGTAAATTGCTTGGAGATTCTCCACATCTGCCAAAATCAGTTCTGAAGCTGTTGGAATCGTTTTGCTGTCCTGGAAGTAGTGAAGAAGTTGAGAAGGATTTACAATATGGAGACCGTGTTACTCAAGGTCTCAGTGCTGTTTGGAGCCTGATTTTAATGAGACCTGGAATCCGGAATGACTGCCTGAATATCGCTTTGCAGGTTCCTTCTATCTCACCCCTTTGCTGATTCCCTTTTCTTTGGTGCAGCTTTAATTTCATCATTAACATTTCAGTTTTTTTTTTTAATTCCAGCATTGTGCTTGTGGTTCTTTCTCCTTCCTTTTCTGACCTTTTTTTTAATTTCTCTTATCAGCATTTGACAGTTTCATATTGTCAAGGCTGTAATATTCTTCTATTGTTTATGGGGGCTCTCACTAAATTTCCTTCTTTTTTCTTGTGAAAGAGTGCTGTTCATCACTTGGAAGAGATTCGCATGAAAGCAATCCGCCTGGTATGTTTCTGTAAAACCTGCGATTTAATCTATCCCTCCGCTGATGTGTTACCACTTCAATAATTGTGGGTCATTTTACAGGTGGCAAACAAGCTCTATTCTTTATCATTCATTACACAACAGATTGAGGAATTTGCAAAGGATAGGCTATTTTCCGTCGTAAGTTGCATTTCTTCAGAGAGAGGAGATGCTGAAACACGGATTGATGATTGTAATAAGGTGCTCGCTTATTCCAAAGCAACTTATTTTTGTAGCTGTATATGCATATATATTTGCTTTATGATTACTAATGAACACTGCATAAAAAATATGTGACCAGAATTTTTCATTTCTCTTTTAGAAGGATCTTGATCTGAAAAGTCCACCAAATAAACTGCAGCACGTTATTAGTGGTACGGGTAAGGAGATGCCCTCCGAAGCAACATCATCAACTTCAGTTACTGAAGCTCAACGCTGCTTGTCACTCTATTTTGCTCTCTGTACAAAGGTCTTGGGAATTTTTACCATTCTTCGACTATGACTAATCTAGCCTTTAAGTTTGTGGCATAATTTTGCTAAATCTTTTAGTTTCTATGTGTCTTTGATTTGCAGAAGCACTCCCTTTTTGTTCATGTGTTCAGTATTTACAAGAATGCATCAGATCCTGTTAAGCAGGTAAGACTGGAGCCCAGTGTTAAGAGGTTTTATAATATCAGCATATATTCTTCTCCGGTGTTTATCTCACTGTTTATTTTGTGTAGGCTATTCATCTTCAAATCCCAATACTAGTTCGTACTATGGGCTCATCCTCTGAGCTTCTTAAAATTATAGCAGACCCACCAAGTGGGAGTGAGAACCTTCTAATGCAGGTTTTTATCATTCTTAACATTTTCTTCTATACTGTAAATAGTGGTATGTGCTTTTACTATTTCCTTATTGTTCTTCCTTTATGACAGGTTCTTCAAACCCTCACCGAGGGGCCCACGCCTTCTTCAGAATTGATACTTACTATACGAAAGTTGTTTGATACAAGAATAAAGGTGAAGACGATGGAATGTTTATTGAAAACTCAATAGCATAACTATAAGCTAATTCTTCTCTAATTTTTTCTTGGGTTTTGAACTTTTTATGGGACTACAGGATGTAGAAATTCTTTTCCCAATTTTGCCATTCCTGCCTAGAGACGATGTAAATTCTTTCCTACATTTTTCCCTTCTACTGACTCATTGGGTTATAGTTTTCTTATTTTCCTAAACTTGTCTCTCGATCAGGTTCTACGTATTTTTCCCCATATGGTGAATCTTCCTATGGAGAAATTTCAAGTTGCACTCTCTCGTGTGCTGCAGGTATCGTATTCATTTCTTACATCTGGCTTTTGAGTTAAGTTTGATCACTCACTCTGGAATTTGGTTCTTAGGGATCATCTCAGTCTGGCCCAGTGCTTTCTCCATCTGAAGTTTTAATTGCTATCCATGGCATTGACCCAGCAAGAGATGGAATACCACTTAAACAGGTATATGTCGACCATTTCCTTATTAACACACAAAGAATATAGCTTTGATGAACAATTAGGAGATCTCCGCCACCTGTTTTACCATCAACACCGAGGTTGCTTCCCTAAATATTATTTGTTAATGCTCTTATCAGGTCACAGATGCATGCAATACCTGTTTTGCACAGAGGCAGACATTCACTCAACAGGTTTTAGCCAGCGTTCTGAATCAGCTGGTATATAACAATCTCCATCTTACCGAGTTTTTCTCCTATTCATGTTTTGATTTCTTTTCTTCTTCCGGACATTTTTTCTCACTGGTGAGTTTTTGGCTGCAGGTCCAGCAAATTCCACTGCCAATGTTATTCATGCGTACAGTTTTACAAGCTATCGGTGCTTTTCCAGCTCTGGTAACAAACTAATCACTTCTCTTTTTTCAATCCCAATTTAATATTCTCTGAATAATCTCTTTACTTGATATTCTAATAGTCGGACTTCATCCTGGAGATCCTTTCTCGTCTCGTTAGCAAACAGGTCAGTAATGGTCTTGAAACGTTATGCTCTCTCTATTGTCCATTCTTATGATTGACTGTGTGTTGGAAATAAAACTGTTGCTCTCTCTATATGTATGCCTCAGATATGGAAAAATCCGAAACTGTGGGTTGGGTTTTTGAAATGTACACAGACAACACAGCCTCAATCATACAAGGTCTTACTACAGGTGCGGTTATTAAATATCTTCCACAATTGTTAAATGACCTGTACTCATCTATCGAAAAGCAGTGTTGAAACTGTGATCCTTGTTTATTCGTGTCTTCCACAATTGGGGGGTTTTATCACTGACATTCCTTTCATTCAGCTTCCTCCACCTCAACTGGGAAATGCATTGACTAAAATCCCGGCCTTAAGAGCTCCGCTAACCGCACATGCCAGCCAGCCAGAGATTCAGTCTTCACTTCCAAGGTGACCTTTCCTCTTTCAAGTTTCCATGAATTCAGTATTAAACAAACAAGTTCAGCTATTTGAAATCCATTTGCTGATCACGGAGATATGAAACATTTTTGTTGGTAGGTCTACATTGGCTGTTCTTGGACTTGTCCCTGATTCTCAAGGAACACAAACGAGCCAAGTGCAAGTGAATGAGACACAAACGAGTCAGGAACAGCAGCAAGAGCAAGCAAGCGAGTCACAGCAAACGAGCCAGTCTCAGCAAGTTTCTGTGCCATTGAGTGACTCTCAAGTAGATCACCAGGAACCCAGTCAGGTAGTTGCCAGTCAGTCTCAAAGCAATCTCATAGGTCCGGGCCTGTCTGAAATGAGTCAGTCTCAGAACAGTCCCATGGATACGGGCCGGTCTGAAATGAGTCAGCCTCAGAACAGTCCCATAGATACGGGCCGGTCTGAAATGAGTCAGCCTCAGAACAGTCCCATAGATACGGGCCGATCTGAAATGAGTGAGTCTCAGAGCAGTCCCATAGGTGCGGGCCGGTCTGAAATGGGTCAGTCACAAAGCAGTCCTATTGGTACTGGCCAGTCTGATTTGAGTCAGACCCCTCAAGTGTCAGACTCGAGTGCTCCAGCACCAACAAGCCATACTCAGACATCAGATCCTCAAGCGTCAAGCCAGACACAGCGTGATGATGATGATGAGAAGATAGATGACACAGCAACCTCGGCAAACGAGGTGACAGAAATTGAGAAATCAAAAGAATCTTCTGAAGAAGAAGAAGAAGAAGAAGAGTGAGTGTGACATTCTGGGACTTGAGAGAGAAGAGAGATTCTTTGAGATTCAGGCTGCTGCTACTTGTCTGTGGACAGGAAATCTTCGTTCGGTGTATTGTAATATTTTCCAAATGAATTTTGTACAATTTAGTTAGAGATTTCTTTATAGAGTAGCGATTGTATTGTTGTTGCATAAATTTTGCTTGAAATTTTCTTATAAAAAATGTTTGCGTACCCAAAGTCTTAACCAAGCAGCCCATTAAGCGAAAACAAAAATTTTGATTTTACCGGTTAAATCATAAACGGTTAGTGTATTAAATTTAATTTAGGATCGGTTGAGTTCGGTTAAAATGTGAATCCCGGAAGAAAATGAAAATAATAACAAGTCGAAGAGAGTCGACCCCTAAATAAAATCCAGTTGAAGAAGAAGAAGAAGATTGAGTGCGAGAGAGAGAGAGAGAGAAGATGGGGGTTGATTTCTATAAGGTACTTGAAGTTGATCGAAGTGCTAATGACGACGAGCTTAAGAAAGCTTATCGCAAACTCGCCATGAAATGGCATCCTGATAAGAACCCTAACAACAAAAAACAAGCCGAAGCTAAATTCAAGCAGATCTCTGAAGCTTACGATGTAATTCCTTCCCTCCTTACCCATACCCTTCTCTCAATTTCAGTTCTAGGTTTTTCAAAATTCCCTCTTTTTTAGCAATCATGCAGTTTCCTTGTGATTTAGGTTTTGAGTGATCCTCAAAAACGAGCAATCTACGAGCAATACGGAGAAGAAGGTTTAAACCAAGCGGCCCCACCTCCCGGTTCTGGTGGTTATCCTGGAGGATCAGACGCCGGAGCTTCTTTCCGGTTCAATCCCAGAAGCGCTGATGATATCTTCTCCGAGTTCTTTGGTTTCACAAGGCCTTCTTTTGGTTCGGGAAGCGACTCACGCGCTGGACCTTCTTTTAGGTATGGCGATGACATCTTCGCTTCCTTCAGGGCTGCTACTACCGGAGGAGAAGCCTCCATTCCTCCGAGGAAATCTGCTCCTATTGAGAGACAATTGCCTTGTAGCTTGGAGGATTTGTATAAAGGAGTCTCCAAGAAGATGAAGATCTCTCGTGATGTTCTTGACTCTACCGGGTTTGTTTTCCATTTATGAATTTAAGTGGCTTTTTTTATCACACATTTGGCTTTTAGTAGTTATATCTGCTGCTTTTGGCTAATTCGGTTTAGGGACAGTTTAAACTCTCTCTGTGGAGTTTTTAGACTATGAAAGCTTTAATACTCTATAGAGCCAGCTTATCAGAAAGTTCTTCTTTTGAACAGGTTTTGGCTAGCGTCTAAGTTGTGATGTCTGTGACCTTTATTCAGTATTTGAGCTCTCTATCGACACATAAATGATAGATATAAATGTAGGAACCGATAGCTATAGCTAACCAGGGCATTCCTTGACCTAGTTAACCAGTTTCATTATGGATTTAGCGTAATAGATTTCTCTTCATCTGTTTTTCCTTGAAACCGGAGATCTCTTGAACTCTGCAAATTGTACTGGTGTCTCTTGTCTTCAATTTGATTGATCTCTAATCCTTTTTATAAAGTCTGCTTAGGCTCTCTTGATATCTTCTTTTCGCAATCTCAAATATCGAAAACAGAGGTTCTTCTACTGACAAAACCTCTGTTTTTGCTTTCAATGCAGGAGGCCAACACCGGTTGAGGAGATCTTGACGATAGAAATCAAACCCGGTTGGAAAAAAGGAACAAAGATTACCTTCCTGGAAAAAGGTAATGAGCATCGTGGAGTCATTCCGTCTGATCTCGTTTTCATCGTAGACGAGAAACCGCATCCCATTTTCAAACGAGACGGGAATGATCTTGTGGTAATGCAAAAGATCTCTCTAGTGGAAGCTCTCACAGGTTACACTGCACAGGTCACTACCCTTGACGGAAGAACCATAACAGTTCCGGTAAACAATGTGATCAGTCCGTCGTACGAAGAGGTGGTGAAAGGCGAAGGCATGCCAATCCCTAAAGATCCGTCAAGAAAAGGAAACTTGAGAATCAGATTCATCATCAAGTTCCCTTCGAAGCTAACCACTGAGCAGAAGTCAGGGATCAAGCGGATGTTATCACCTTGAATGTCCAAGATTGAAGCATCTCGTTTCAGTTTTTTTTTTTTTTGTATCAATCTGCTAGCTTTTTGGAATCTTTTAGAAGCAGAATATGTGCTTATGGGTTTTTTATTTATTTTTTGTTATATTTTGGTAAAGTTTTAAGGGAATTGTGAAACGATGCCGGTTTACTTAGTGATGACTGACTAGTGAAGTAAGTTTCTCCTTAATACCGTCGTCTCTTTGCTAAAGCTTCAATATTTAGTTTAATAGTAAACATTGTCAACAGATTTTGAAAGACTAAATCAACGTTAACAATTTGTCAAAATGTAAGTCAAATTGATTAATCATAGTAGCGAAATTTGAAGAACCTTTTTCTTTGTTGATTAAAAAAATCCAATCTCTACGTTTTTCTCACCTTCTTCAATCTTGACCTTGTCCCGTTTAATTCCTTGATAAAAATCTTTTCAACCCTCACGTGAGGATGTTGACATAGAATAATAAGAAGAAGAGAAAGAAAAAAAAAACAGAATAATTATGCTCCTCTTTGATTTTTCTGGCGAGGTAAATTACTTACATATCTCCACGTACAAATTAGTTATATTCATTCATAAAGTTAGTGTGATTTAGAGATTCAAAAATAAACACTGAGTTTAGTTTAAAGATTTGAATGTTTTCAAGAACAATAAGATTTTCTGCAATCAAGTGAAATATCACCAACCATTTTCATGGTCTTTGATCAAAACCAGTATAATAAATAGCGAGTAAAGTTTTTAGTATTTGTATCAATGTATTGTTGTAGTGACTCCAAATTCAAAAATGGAAGTCATGTGCATGTGTAAGTTACGGCAAAAGTAAAAGACTAAACTTATTTTTAACAGTCAGTTCCGAATAATCCGGAGCAATACCCTAACGACATTTCACCTAAAAAATTCTAAATAACACGAATGGGCTGATTTTGTATATGCTTTTGGCTGATTTGTTTAAGCTTTAAGCCTTTAAGCAAAAATTTAGATGAAAAACAAATGATGAGGTGGCGTAGTTGTATTCGCTTACAAAATTGCCGTATGAGCGGATAAACATCAGCCAAAAAAAATCTTTTAAAAAGTGAAAATATAGAGAGAAAGAGAGAGAGGCCCACTATAGATGGCCACGTCGACAAACATGGTGGGCGTTTACACGTGGAATATAACAGAACTCCGCGTTGCTGGTAATTTGATTTCATTTAAAATAAAATTAAAAATGTTAAATTGGTTTCTCATAATGTAAAATTCATTCACAATTTCTCTTATAAATATTAAAGACCACAAATTTTGAAAAAAAGAATTAGAAAAATTATAGATTCATTCACTAGAGTAGTCGACACTATTAATTCAGTATAAATAAATAAATAAATAAGGTGTGAATCCACGTGGGATGACAGGTGGGAGCGAAGTCTAGTGCATGTCATGTAAGATTTTGATTTACTTTCAACACGCTTCATCGCATTTTGGACCACTTCGCTGACTTTTTTTTTTTTTTTTTTTTTTACAACTACTATTTCTTACACATATCAGAGCCAAAATTACAACCCCGACGAATCTTTCTTTAGATACAAATAATATTTACTACTTCATGTTTCATTCACCGTACCATTTACTTGTTATATCATTGCAATGACGCGGCTTCTAAATACGTACTACCACATTTTGGGAATCTGACAGTTGTATATTGCACTGGATCCAAACAATTAACAAGAAGCGTACATTTTCTCTGTTCGTACGCATTATTTGTTTTGTGCCGACTGCGAATATAACGATCTTCGTAGATATTCATTATTTAGCTAATATCATAATTCATATAATGAATGGTCTTGTTTTCAGTAAATACTTTTTTTTTATTTTATTTTGATAGGAACGTTATGTATATACTAAACTTCTTATTTTATTTTAGTTATAAGCTATGACATTGGGCTGATCTAACTTCTTAAAAAGTATATTGATCCAATACCTTATTTAATATTTTTTTCTGTCAACCATTAGGTTACCTTTTTAAGATTATTTTTTAAAAAATAAAATATTCGGAAAGAAAAATACGAGAAATTATGGAAAGAGGAAGATCTAGTGGGTCAATTGACCATAAAATCCAGAAATTATTATTCAATTTCGAGGCTTGATAAGGGGAAAGAAGAATTGAAGAATAAAAATCAGATTGTGACTCGTACTCGTAAGCATGACGAAATATTAACGCAAAGTTATATGTATTGGGACAAAATTATTAACTACCAATACAATAATTAGGAGACCGTTGAGTTGAGCATTTGCTTGGCCAAAACAAAAAATATCATCTTAGAATGATGCAAATAAATAATCAATTTGCAAAAAAAAAAATGTAATTCGATTTTTTATATCATTAAGTCTTTTTTTTAGTTAAGATATTTTTATATATTTAATTGATGCAAGTTACCCCTAAAAATTTTTTTTTTTAAAGGACCCCTATAATTGTTTAAGATTTTTATTTTCTAGTTAAGATAATTTTATATATTTATTTTCAGTATCTCAAAACTCTAGAGTATGAAAAAGTGTGATTTATTTAGTGAGCTGCTTTAAATCTAGACTTTATCATCCTCTAAACTTTATTATTTTCTAATGTAATCACGAAATGTGTCTTTTTCACCAAAAGAGGCATTCGTGTTCGTATTTTCTTCAACTAAATAATTTTATACCTTCTAGTATATTCAATAATTTTATTAAAATCTCATCTTAATTATTTAATTAGAGAAAAAAACAAAAACTACACTTCTATCGTCCCTTGACGATTTCACACCTTCTTTTCACACCTCCTTATAAATTAATTAAATTCTCTCTTTTCTATCCTTCCTCTCTGTCTTCTCTTCTTTTTTTTTCAATGAAACCTCTCTTCATTTAAAGTAACCCAACAAAAAAAAAAACTGATCTCGCTCTTTTCTCTTTACGTCACAAAGACAATTCGATTCCAACAATGGACCGACGTAATCCTTTCCAACATCACCACCACCACCATCAGCTTCATCATCACTTGATCCAACAGCAACAGCTTCCGCCGCCACAAAGCACGACGGCGGCGATGGATCCCGGCGGAGGAGGTGAGAGAATCCCACAGTGGAGCATAGAGGAGACAAAGGAGCTTTTGGCTATAAGAGAAGAACTTGATCAGACTTTCATGGAGACCAAACGTAATAAGCTTCTTTGGGAAGTCGTGGCTGCTAAGATGGCCGACAAGGGTTTTGTCCGGAGCGCAGAACAATGTAAGAGCAAGTGGAAGAACCTCGTCACCAGATACAAGGTTACCTTCAACTATCTATAATCTATAAATGATTATTCTCTCTATACTCTCTATATATACACCTATAAATGTCTTTGTATGATCATGATTACAAGCACATATGCACCAATATTAGTATATAGCAATTTATATTGTTTAACTATAATTATGTGTATGTATTTCATCACTAGTTTAATTGCGTGATTATACTGAAGCCTGAAGGTATGCATATTGAAATGGAAACCTAGTTTATGGTGTATGTATAGATGAACTAAGTATATATACATCAATTAATGAGCTTAACCTAATCTCCTAGGTTTTTTAGATATTGTCCTGCCATTAATGGTAACGAGCTAGAGAATAAAATTTGACGCGTTTATTGGTGAGCTTTCATCGTGATATTGCCTATGTTCACATTTTGATCCGTTATACCATAATATCTCTCCTTTTGTTTGTTAATCACATGGTAAGTAAGTAAGTAAAACCTAGCTATCTAATTACCGTTATACAACGGGTGCATATGATTTAATAATTAAGAACCGTTACTGATGAACACATGAAGATAGTTGAAAACGTCTTTACATACATTTATTTTAAGCTAAAAGAAACGTGATATAGATGAACATATTTTTGTTTTCTTATTATATATATGATAGATGAACGTGTTTATACGAGATTATGATTTCGAGTTAATTAAGATACTTGGTTAGCTAAGAATATTTAGCGTAGGCTAATACTGTTACATGTTTACATGATGAATATATATACAAATACTTGTGTAGGTGCTATATATATAACATATTGAATATTCATGGGACAGGCGTGTGAGACCACTGAGCCAGATGCTATTAGGCAGCAGTTCCCATTCTACAATGAGATTCAGTCGATTTTCGCAGGAAGAATGCAAAGAATGTTGTGGTCAGAAGCCACAGAACCAAGCACTTCCTCCAAGAGAAAACATCATCAATTTTCATCTGATGAAGAAGAAGAAGAAGAAGAAATTGAGGAGCCAAATCAAGACATCAACGAGGAATTATTGTCTTTAGTAGAGACACAGAAGAAAGAGACAGAAGTGATTACTACTAGTACTTCGACCAATCCAAGAAAACGTGCGAAAAAAGGAAAAGGCGTTGCAAGTGGTATGAAAGCTGAAACGGCCGGTAATACATTAAAAGATATATTGGAAGAGTTTATGAGGCAAACGGTGAAGATGGAGAAGGAATGGAGAGATGCATGGGAAATGAAGGAGATAGAGAGGGAGAAGAGAGAGAAAGAGTGGCGGAGGAGAATGGCGGAGCTAGAGGAGGAGAGAGCCGCTGCTGAGAGGAGGTGGATGGAGAGAGAGGAAGAGAGACGGTTGAGAGAAGAAGCTAGGGCTCAGAAGAGAGATTCTCTCATTGATGCTTTGCTTAATAGGCTTAATAGAGATCATAATGATGATCATAATCAAGGTTTCTAATTTTTCATTATTTGTTTTAAGCATAAGTTAATTTGTTAGGCAAGTTAATTTAGATTAATGTTTGTTTTATTAATTATATAAACTATTGAAATTTCGAAAAAGAAATACAAAATGATCAAATTTTGATATATGTTATCGTGGTATGAAATAAGATTTACGAATTATAATCAAAGCTTGATCAATTCGGGAGGCTCTCAACTAGATTCGATGTGAATTAGGGATGGATTTCAGTTTGGTCATCAAATTAAATTGGAATTCGTTGTTAGCTCACAGAACGTTTTCCCCATTGTTTATGTTCATAATTTATAGTTTAAATGAGCTTTAATTGATATTCTAAAAGAAAAATATTTTCCTGGTGAAGAAAAATAAACCTTCAATCTATAATAGAGAGCGAGTACTAAATTTAATTTAACGATTGTTTTTGATAAAATTAAGAATTAATAAATCACTTAATAGGTTAACGTATATGCATAAAGTAACTACCACTGTAGAGATAATTAGATATGCTAATTTGAATTATCTTATAGGTATCCAAAAGCAAATTGATTTAATACTTTTAGCTACTTTATTCTGTTAATACGAATGTTTCCTAACTATTAATCAGGCGATAAACAAGAATTAAACAAAAGTCTTTGTTCCAAAATTTTCAATTCACATTTGTCCCACATTACTTCACCGCGTTATTTGTGATCATATCCATATATTACATAAACCTATTTTCCGTAAGTATAGTATAAAGAAAGAATTTGTTATTTTTATTCTTTTCTTCTCTTGCAAGACAGCTACCAACAGATAAAATACCGAAAACATGAAACCGTGTTATGACGCGTTCACACTGATATATGCGTTCATTTTAAAAAACACGTATAACTAATTCGCCGCGTCAGCTCAATTGTTTACAACCATAGAGAACACCAGTACGAGCACCTTGATCAATATTCATCACTTTTGCGTTTTTCCTCAGAGTTTTTTTTATAACTAAAATAAAACATATAATTCGAAATTTAAATAAATTAGAGTGGGAAACTGTTCATGAATTTTACATGTGAACCCCAACCTAAAAAAAAACACAGAAAAATACAAAAAAACGTCAAAGAAGTAACGTTAGAAGGAGACCACAATTTGCATGTGAAATAGACATAAAGGAGACAGTACGTTTTTTGAAGTTACGGGCTCTGCATATTTCAGAAGCAAACCGATTTGACCGTTTTTGGACCCACTATATATTTATAATGCATTGATATTTCATCATATCGAATTTGAATATAATTTCATTCTTATGATCGAGTCACTATTAAGATTATCCTTGTGCTTATTTGGTTTTGGATAGGTACATTAATTTGTATACAGTATATTTAAAGCGAGTGCATCATGCTGTTTAAAAAGACGAGTGAATGATAGTCTTTAGTCATAATCTTAAATGTTAACCATGATTTTTTGGTCAATAACTTATATTGGCATAACAGTTTAAGAAAATATGGAGTGATGAAAAATTACGATTGTTGTGAGTCTCTGGTTAACAATTGGATTATAAGATTAGAAAACGACATATTTTTGATAATTGAGAATTTAAACTAGATACAGAGTTCATCAACTAACTGGTCCATAACAAGGTCAAGAATCTCTTGACCAAATTCGACACAAAAATCTTCGACCTGAGTAAAGTCAACGGGTTTAGTTGACGAAGTAGAAACCCAAGTGGAAGACTTCATGTCTTCTTCAGACAGATCTGATAGCATATTCATTAGTTTTGTGATAAACTCTGTCTCTTCAGAATCATTGTTGATGCTGTTGTTGTTTTCTTTCTTGGTACTTGTCCTTGTTCTTGCTGGTGATGAAGAACATGAAGATTTTGTTGTTGTTGTCTCTACTCGCTTTGTTGACAACTCCGATGCACTTTCTGAATCTCCTCCTGTTTTATTTTTCAAATTAAAGTAAGGTTTAAAATATGATCGGGAAAATAAAAATAAATATTCTTGAAAATGTTGATAAAGTCTCATTTTCGCAGCTTTTTACTAGTAAAAGTGTAAAACCAAGAAAAATGTTCAAGGTTAAATTAAAACACTTTTCAAATAAGATTTATCCGACGTTTATGGAAAATTCTTATATTGGTCAAAAATTTGAATAATACTATAAAAATTTTCAAATAAAGTGCACTCAATAGGTTAAAATGTTGACCAATGACCAAATTTTTACCAACTCATTTGCAGTTATAGTCGGAAACTACTCACATGAGATTACCCTTTTGGCAAAATTTCAAAGGAGATTCAAAAAGCAATTGATTACATTTTTTTTGAAAATATGAAACTTAAAATAGACAAATAAATAATAATATTATTTGGTAGACTAACCTGAGAAGTAGTAGTCATCGTCAAGGATTAGATAATCATAAAGATCTCGATCAAGAACCGAAACCGGACTCGCGTTAGACTTATTCTCCGGCGACTCACTCTCTTTTCCGATAAACTCATCAGCCCGAATATTCTTTGATTCTCCTAGAAGCGCCGTCTTCTCCGACGACTTACTCTTAGACGGAGAAAGAAACCAACGAACTTTCTTGGCTCCGTTAACGTCATTTCGATTCTCACTCTTCTTCTTCTTCGCAACTTTCCTCGGCTCATCTTTAAACTTCTTAGCAACTTTCTCGTTCTCCTTCTTCTTCACCGGAGGTGGCAATGGCGGCTTCTTGGAATCTTCCACAACCTTCTCGAACCTTTTAGACCTCGAAAAAGACGATGATCCGACAAGTTCCCTCTTCTCGTCGAGCTTGTCGAGATACAAAAGCAAGAAATCATGTTTCTTTTGTTGGTTATTCGAGCTCCATCTCGCCGAGGTTGGGACTATCTCACGGAAAGAAACGGAAGCTTTGACTCTCCGGCACTGACGTTGACCGTCTTTCTCGTCTTCATCTTCTTCTTCTTCCTCGTGACCTCTTAGGATGTAGTCCATGAAGTTAACCGATTTGCTCCGTGCGACAGCCGAACCGGAATCATCAAAGTACCGGAAACGTTTTGATCCCGGTGCAGGATGATCTAGCCCCATGAGTTTGGCTACAACGTTGGGAGGAGGAGGAGGTGGTGGAGGATGAAGAGAGACGTCGTCGTTTTGGGTTTCGGTTTCGGTTTTGATCTCTTTCTTTGGCTCTTCGATTTCTTCGTAAGGGATTAGTAGTTGGAGTGTTTCATCAGAGTCGAGGATGTTATCGGAAGGGTGAGTTTGTTGGCTACCGGAGCATAGAAGACGGCGAACTACCGCCGTGAGGCAGCCAGTCTTAGGGTTGGCTCGTTGGGTCATTGTGATGGCTGATGATGATGATGGTAGTGCTTTAAGTAGGAGTGTGTATGTGAAAATGTGCAAGCACGTTCTTGGTATTTATAAGGACCAAGAACAGACAATTTCTCATTATTTGCGAGGAGGACCCACCAACTAATTAAAATTAAAGCAAACTATATGGGAAAACAAAAGTACAATATCGTGAAATTTTGATATTTTAAGTGAAATTGTGGTTTAATAAACGTTTATTATTCAGTTTATATTAATTGGTAACTCAATTTTAAGTCATCGTATTAAGTCACTTCAGAATTTTTAAGATCAAACAAAATTACTGTAATGTTTTTTTTTTGCAATGAATAAAATATGTTTTCAGTTAATGATTCACCATTATATTTCACTTTATTTCTTATCGGTATGTATCTTATGACATAATATAATAGATTAATTATTGGTAGCATAGAAAGGAAAAGGTACCCAGGATCAAATTTTTTTTTAAAAAAGCTGTATCTAAAGTGATATGCTGGAGAAGATTCTGTTTTTTTTTTGAAACTCAACGGAAGAAAAGAAACTTTGATACTTTTGAAAAAATCAGGAATTAATTATGGCCTCATCAATTATTCAAAATAAAGGTCATGTAACAACTTCGAGATCTTTTCCTTCACGTAAGTTTTATATTTAGAATGGTCAAGCTTTGTTCTGATTGCTTCAAAGCTTTTAACAAAATGTTACTATATGTGATTTACTTTTCAAACATATATAATTTCAGGCTGAAACTTGAATTTTGAAGTATAACTTATGTATATAGTTATAAACCCGATAAGTGTACACAAATTCTAAACTAAAATGAGAATTTAGCTTTTGTCAGGCGTTAGTAATTTTAACCAAACTTGAAATGTGAATTTTTAGCGATAGTATATTTAAAAAAAAAAAAAACTATAGATTTAGCAAGAATGACAGATCAACAAAAATAAACTTTTAGCTTGTTTATCAATGTGTACTGCACGGTAAAACAATTCATTTTAAGATATAGAAGATTGAATTTTAAGCAGATATATGTGAGTTGGCGGGATCAAGCTTTCGAATAGTAAACAGGATATTTACAAGATGAATATTATAAAGTTGCAAAAGGTCTCTTCGAAACCTATCTAGTTCGCTTTATTATTTATTAAACAAAACATATGTATATAACATTAGAGGCTTAGAGCAACTAGCTTTAAGGTATTCATTGATTTTTTGTCGCGGAGTTTAAGAGATTAATAATGTATGATTAATCTGATCATTACATTACACACGATTCGTCTGTTTCATAGTATAGATCTTCTTGGTTTATCTGTTTATCTTCGGCCATTTAAAAAGCTTTTTTTTTTTTATCATTGGTATAATACATGCACAACGGGTAACACAATGTATCACTTCTTTTAATTCATTAAGATGTGATGCTACTGTTATGTTTTCAATAAATGTCAAATAAATATATTTCTTTAAAAAATTGATAGCTTCACTATCTAAATACTATTGTAAGGCATGATCGTCAAGATCAAAGATTCCAAATTCAAATTCGAAGTGTAAAAAGAAAAAGAAGAGAATGGTAGTATAAAATATTTACAGATTCTTTTTTACTTTTCCTTTTTCAACTTTTTTTTCAAAATAAAAAACACGAGAAAATCTTATCTGCGTGGCGTCATTTTCAAAGGTGAAGTAGAAAATACTTCGGTCGCTTAGTTCACACCGGAAAAAGAGGCAACGAAAGCAGAGAGACAAATCTAAATAATGTCTGACACGCGTGAAAAATATTGCCACAAAGAGACTTACCTTATTCCCTATCAACTCTCGACCAATTTATGCATATGTGTTTCTTTCTTCTAAACAGCTAAATTAATTTACTTTTTATAAATATAATGGAAATATAAACACATTACAAGCAATCCAGTAGTAACGCAAATTTTGTTCGAACTCCTTAGACCACCATTAATAAGGGTATCTTAAAGAGTTCTTAAGTAAGAAATGTGGCTTAGCTAAGACCCAAAACTAAGAAAAGTGGCTTAGCTAAGACCCAAAACTAAGAGTTCTTAACTTTAATACTTCTAAGAACCATTTTTAAGATACCATTGTTAATCATGCTCTTATTAGATTGTACGTAGATGTGAATGCCTCAATTTGTAACCATTATTATCCCAAATATGGACAGAAATAACTTTTTTGTTAGTAAGATATATATAGCTGTATTAGACATGGTAAACAACATTGGGGATGTAGCTCAGATGGTAGAGCGCTCGCTTAGCATGCGAGAGGTACGGGGATCGATACCCCGCATCTCCATTTTTTTATTTAACCCATTTTTCTTCGTTGTCTAAAATAATCTTAAATACCCTAAGATTAATGACGAAAAGTACTCCCTCTGTCCCATTTTATTAGATGTTTGGACTAAAAGCACATAGATTAAGAAACAATAAATGTTTTCTCATTTAAGAAAATTCAACCAATAGAAGAAGATACTACATAACTAAAATAATTAAAAACTATTAAATTAATATAAATCATGCATTGAAAGTAGAGAAAATCTTATATAGTGGAACAAATAAAAAGGCCTAAAACATCTTATATATTGGGACAGAGGGAGTATGTTACAACAATTCCCACTACATATGCAATTATTAATTGCGAAAGTAGAATCCTAATGATTTGTGTGTTGCCTTTAATAATTGTTTTAGTTATCATCAATACTAAAAATAACTAACAGGAACTTTTGTTGGTTTTACAAGCAACACCAACTTTTGTTTAGTTGGTGCCTGTTTATTTCGTTTTCATGTGCCCATTGATAAATTTAATAATAATATAATTTTTCCTTAACCCTGATATCGACGGCCAAGATAACAATTTATTAACCATCTGCTCCTCACACTTAAACGACTTTTGAAGAATGATGATTTGTTTAGCTATTTGATTAACACTTCTAATCAAGTAAACCAGTCTCTTATGTAACTTCCGTGTGTGTCAAGTGTCATGCAAGTCACTCTATGTTTTTTCCAAAGATGTTTGTTTCTATATATGTTTAAGCTTGAAAGTTGAAACCAAAGTTCTAGGTATAAAATAAAACAATAAATCGACTCAATGCAATTTGATTTGATTCAAATTTGTTTGTGTTTAACTGTCATTTTTTCTTTTCTAGGTAACGAGACTAATGTTTGTGTACATACAACTCAATAGTTGAAAAAAGATGATAATAATCTGCATATATTGTGATCACTAACGCCAATTCTTTTCAGATTTTTCTATATACATGAACTTTTTCAATTTTTACAGAACATAAAGATTACTTGATTGAATATATACAACTAAACGGAAGACATCTTGGAGATTATATATATATATATATATATGACCTAATGAATAACAATGTGTATTTCACGTTTACAGATTCTAATCAATAGACAAAACCCAATCATAAGTCATAACCTCCCTAACCACATCTTTATTAAATTGGGAAAAAGATGGAAGAAACACATCCAAACATGCCTTTAGCTTCACTCCTACTCAATCCATAATTTCCCAAATATAATCCCAACACTCCCTTAATACCTTTCCCTCTAATCCCAAAACCCGACACGTTTTCCACATCAAATTACTGTATTTGCCACTATGAGCTTCTTAATTCCTAACAGAGGAGCAGGAGGAACCAAGATTCCTCTCTCCATCATTGTTCTCGTTCTTTGTGGTTTCATGTTCTTCATTCTCTTATACACTGAAAGAATCAGCTTGATGTCTTCTTCTTCCTCTTCGTCTTCATCTTTCTTCAAGCTTAAGTCTTGTCCGAGGAAAGACAACAGCTCGAAACCTAGTAAGCACATACGAATCTCAAAACTCTGTTTTTTTAATCCAGTTTTGGTGCTTATTCCCTGTGACGCAAGTAATCTCATAAAATTCCTCTAATTTTACTTGTTTTCCAGAGGAGAAAATTCAAAAGGAGAGATCAGAAATTTTAGAAGTGCTTGACGACAGGTTCGAATTTGATCCAGAAGAGTGTAATGTTGCTGCAGGGAAATGGGTTTATAATAGCTCAATCGAACCACTCTACACCGATAGATCATGTCCGTACATTGACCGTCAATTCTCTTGTATGAAAAACGGGCAGGCAGAAACTGATTACCTTCGATGGGAGTGGCAACCTGATGACTGTACAATTCCAAGGTAACACTAATCAAAAGCTAAGTCTAGTTATAGAGGTTTGAGACATAATCATTAATTTCTTGTGTTGAAACAGATTTAGTCCGAAGTTAGCTATGAACAAGCTCAGAGGAAAAAGACTGCTTTTTGTCGGAGATTCTCTGCAACGAAGCCAATGGGAATCGTTTGTGTGTTTGGTGGAATCAATAATACCCGAAGGAGAAAAATCAATGAAGCGTAGCCGAAAATACTTTGTCTTTAAAGCAAAGGTACGTTCAGTGATCGTATCTTGCGCTACAACGCAAACCTTGTTAGGTCAGATAACACAGTACCTTGTGTTACAAGCAAAGCTTAGATTTTTATTTTTCTCTGTTTTTCTTGATTTCATGATAGGAATACAATGCGACTATAGAATTCTATTGGGCACCGTATATCGTCGAATCGAACACGGATATACCTGTGATTTCGGATCCGAAGAAAAGGATAGTGAAAGTGGACTCAGTTGTAGATCGAGCTAAGTTTTGGGAAGGAGCGGATATTTTGGTTTTCAACACTTATGTTTGGTGGATGAGTGGTCTCCGCATGAAAGCTCTGTGGGGTTCGTTTGGAAATGGAGAGAGTGGTGCGGAGGCGTTAGACACACCAGTGGCTTACAGGCTAGGGCTCAAGACATGGGCTAATTGGGTTGACTCTACCGTTGACCCTAATAAGACCAGAGTCTTCTTCACCACCATGTCTCCTACTCATACTAGGTAAACATTAAATTGCCAAGTAGCACCAGTTAAACTAAAGTGTAATGCTTTGTGATTAACGTAAAGTGTTATGTAAAACGTTCAGAAGTGCGGATTGGGGAAAGCCAAACGGCACGAAGTGTTTCAACGAGACGAAACCAATAAAAGACAAGAAGTTTTGGGGAACTGGCTCTAACAAGCAGATGATGAAAGTCGTGTCAAGCGTCATCAAACACATGACCACGCAAGTGACAGTCATCAACATCACGCAGCTCTCTGAGTATCGCATAGACGCTCACACATCAGTTTACACCGAGACAGGTGGCAAGATCTTAACGGCTGAGCAGAGGGCTGATCCATTGCATCACGCTGATTGTATACATTGGTGTCTACCTGGATTGCCCGATACATGGAACCGGATCTTATTGGCTCATTTGTAAATCAAGCTAGGAGGAACCTGAGGGTAAAACGGGAAAAACCCAAATCCTCTGTTTTTCTCCTCGATTTGTTTGTTTCAGTGTATGTGATTGTCGTCAATTTTCATAAGATCAAACAGACTCGGCCCGTTTATTATGACCTTGAAGTGACTAAAACAAACAAATTTTACAAGGCCTATATGGGCCTGGCCCGTAAAAGAAATTTCTGGCTTATTTGTTAATTGAGTGAGAGAACAAGGGTAAAATAGGAATTCCAGGACAGAGTTTTTAGGTTAATGTTGACTAGTGGGTAATATGTACCGTTGGATTTTATTTGAGGACATCGTGACCGTCCGATGGAAGACCCAAGCCAAGTTACGCAAAAACTCATTCGCCGTCACGAAGAAGTTGTCGAGGTCTATATAATGGACAAATCTGGAATATGTAAAATAGGGCCTTGACGCAGATCTTGTTGGGTCTCGAACCTTCCTCTTCGTTTGCATCAGGTTAGGCCGATTACAACGAAATCTGCTCTCTTTCTTATACGATCTCTTGATTCATCTGAATTTTGTTATCCCTGTTTTGTTCGATTTTGTTTTGGTTTGTAAAGTTGTGATTTTTCGAGTTTCTGGCTCTTATTGTCCTGTTGAATCCAGTATTCGTTAGAAATTGTTGTGATTTGGGGGTAATTTTTGACATTAGGGTTTCGTTTTTTGATAGAAAAGAGCGATAATGGCGGGAGGAGGAAACTTTATTGCGAGAGTGATCTCATACGTTGCAAACGAGTTCATAGTTAATGGTTTGGCAAACAGGTACTTTGATATCTTTATATTCGATTTAGGTTTTTTTATGAATTGGGTAGATCTCAGAAGTAAGCTTCTTTCTCTGGCTGATTGGATTGAAAATATGTTCCTTATCGGCTCGTTCATATCGAAGCAAGATAATCTCAGCTTCAGCTGGTCTGCTACGTAACTTACCATACGCTGCAGCGTAGGAAGTTTGAGACATTTTGTTTTTCTTTCTGAAATAAAGTTTGGGTTTTGTTTTGGAATTGTTTTACTTTAGGTTCTTGAGCCTCATGCTCTGCATCTTTGGGTGTTTGCAATTTGGTACATTCCTTGTTGGGTTTGCTCAAAACTATCGATGAGTTTTAAGTGAGCATTTTGTCCTGAGCTTTGTTCACATGGGTTATTGGGTTTGTATAGGTTTTCGATATTTCAATATGTTTTTTTTTTCTCTGTGTATTACTGCCGATGATGATTTTCGTAGGCTTGTCCTGATCAAAGATATGACGTTAGACGTGAATCTAAGAGACTGAGGCTGTATTTTTGTTTGTTTGTTTTTCTTTATTACCTCTTTTTGATTTTGTTTGATTCTTTAGTAGTCTAGAGACTCCCTTGCACAGTAACTGATGGATCTCCAACTGTTTCGTTTCTGTTTTGGCAGTCATGCTTTCCAGAGATTTGCTGTGAGGACTTCTAAGAGAATAGAAAACCTCTCTAAAATGGGTTAGCATCTTTAAACTTTAACACAATAATGATTGGTTTGCTTTTTAACCCACAGTCTTATTAAACAGTGGATTTATTGATTTCCAGCTGCAGAGAACAGGGAGAAAGTCGCTCAGCATATGGAAGAATTTTCAAAGAACATGGACGTGAGTTTATGTATACGATCTTTCATAGTTCCTACATAAGACGGTGAAATTTATAACTTTTAACAATTCCGTTTTCTTTTTTTGTTACTTTTGCAGTCGATGAAGAAACCCTGAGGAATCTTATGAAGTCGTAAATCACATGGGTCAGCTCAAGTAGAGAGGTCTGTTTATCTTTGTATAAAGAATGTTAAAAAGTAATAAGCTTGTGGATTAAACAACCAGTGATCTTTTGGTGCTGTTTCTCTTCTTTTAAACCGAACTCTACCGGAGTGACTAACCCTTTGTATGAAGTTCTTCTGTCAAGGAATTTCTATCGTCTTTTGCTTCCTTCTTATTTGTAGAGCACATTTATTGATTCTTTTATGTTATGGGCTGGCTTTGAGTTTAAAATGTGTAAATATGGGCCCGATTTCAAAGTTAATGAAAGAGACTTGTCCATGCTGTGGAATTCTCAGGTGTAGCATAATTGTATATAATCGTATCTTAATCGGCCCAATTGACCAAATTTAAAACTATACAATGAAGCGAAAGACACAAAATATCACCCTGATAAAAAGAAAGGACGAATAAATACAGGATACAATAGGTTATGACGTTACCTAATTCGAGTCCAAGTGGGATTAGGATTAAGATATTGAATATCTCTATATATAATAATCCGTACTCAGGAAATTAAAATCCTTTCTTCATCAGAGAAGAACAAACCAAAAACCTACCTACGTACACGCCTCTTTTGCTTGAAGCCTAGAACGACGACGATGCCTAAAAGAAAGAGTGGTGGGAGAGATTCTTGAGAAACTTCCGGTGAAATCACTATTGAGATTCAAAGCTACGTCGAAACTATGGAGAAAAGAAATCGAAACCCGGCGTTTCCAGGAGAGACATCTAAGACATCAGCAGAAATCTCGAAACCCAAGTATCCTGGTTTGCCATCCTAGTCTTGAAGACGACACAAAAGCTTCTCTTATGACATTGAGTTTGGGAGCAGCGTCAGTTTCGTTTGAGAACCATACTCAATACCCTGTCCAATCAACGACTATACTAACCCGTTTAAGAAATACACAGAGTTGTGACGGTCTGACTTGCATATATTCAGAAACCTTTATGTATGTGCTCAATCCCGCAACTAGATGGTACCGTAGACTACACGAGGCGAGATTTCAAGCACTGTATTGTGATACAGAGAACCGGGTTTCAGAGCCTTTGCTAGGATTCGGTAAAGACAACATCAAAGGAATATACAAGTTGGTTTGGTTGTATAACTCTGATTGCGTAGACCTAGACGGCCAAACTAATACATGCGAGATTTTCTCTTTCGATACCAACAACAGTTGGAGGTATGACGTGATTGTTTCTTCTCCTCATCCAGTACTACATCATAAAGTCCCGGCTCACGCACATGGATCCCTCCATTGGTTTACTGATGCCGTCACAGAAACACAAGTTTTATCTTTCGATCTTCACACTGAAACTTTTAAGGTAATGGCCAACATACCAGTTGCCGATGCACCTCATGATCGGATCACGATGTTGATAAGCACGTGTGGGAGCTGATACAAGCAATGAGGAGGCACATGCGAATAAAGACTAAGAGAAGAGGATCGGAACAGATTGTAACAACCTTCTCATGCTTATAAATAGTAGTCATCGAGTCTGTGATCATTATGCATTGTTTGTGATTGTAAGCGGTGATGTGCTGCTGAAGAGTTATGAGCTAGCGATGTGCTAGTGGCTCTTCCCAAATGGTGTATTGGTTCTCTGGTTAAGGAATAAGAGAGGGATTCGTAGCTCTAACCTTAACAGATGTGCACCTTAAATGACCGCCTATGCTTATCGGAGGATAAGGGAGACACACAAACTATATGGTCGTTAAATCAAGCCAATATGACATGGCACAAAACTTACTCCATAAATCTCCGTGCAACTCTCTCTTGTATTGAAGAGGAATATCTTAACTCATGGCCACCGATCACATCCCTTATCAACAACAGGTTATTGCTTTATGATTGCAGCGACGACGAGCCCAAGATGGTGGTATACAATTATCGATTAAATTCATATGGTGAAATCGATTAAATTCAATATTTCAGCGTGTTTTGCAACTACCTAGTTACATCATGAATTATAAGAACATCTTCAAACTTAAAATAATGTATGTTAATAAATAAAGAATTATGAAATTATTGAATAGTTTTGGCAGCCATGCTTTTCAGAGATTTGCTCTGAGGACTTCAAAAAGAATAGAAGACATCTCTAAACTTGGTCTGTGTCTTAATCTTTAGCACAAGAATGTGTATCATTTTGCTTTCTCTTTCGTGTTGCACGAGCGTTTTAAATTGTGGATTTTGTATTGTGCCCGAATAGTGTGGATGTGTTAGGTGTAAAGCATAAATTTTTAAAACTACATCTTAACTTGCGCAATAAATTTAGAAATTACGAGTTGCGATGATGAGACCATAAGACAAATGCTAGTTGCTTGGGTAGGCAAACCTAATCGAACCAAATTGAATTCATCGACATGAACCAAGATCAAATTATTATAATTTGAATGGTATCATTTTTTATGTGTAGAATTATCTGAACGAAACCCAAATTATATAAAACCGATAAATAAGATTTGATCATATTCATTTTGTTCTTTATTCATTTGAGAAACAAATATTTTTTAACCAATTTGCATTATAGATATAAATATGTCCCTAAAAAAAAGAAAAAAAAGAAAAAAAAGAAAGAAACGTGTAACAACAATATTCTAAACGAAAGAAGAAGAAAAAGTGAAAAAAGGCAATGAAAAAGATATAATGCTATTGGCTTTGTGAAACTATAGACAATGACTAAGCATAGTCATTTAGTTAGGCATTTACGACCGTTGAAGAAGAAGATATCAAATCAAACATGGTCCCTTTAAATAATAAGAGGCCCAAAATCACATCTACAATTTTTATGGTGATGAAAATCGATTTACGCCAAATTTACCTGGTTGTTGAAAGTTGTTTGATATGTGTGATATTTTGGAGTTTAACATTAGTGATGAGAATGGAATCTTTGAACATCGAGACGTTTCGTTAAGCAAAGAAGAGCCGTGGGTTTGAAGATATAAATCGAATTGATTTATTTTTATTTGAAATAAATCAATTCTTTAAAGAGAAAATTGTTTCTTTATATTTATTTTAAATAAAACTCATTATTATGAGAATATTGTGCCAATGACATCTCTAGAAAAAGAGATATTTTATTTTCTCTCACTTTAAGGATACAACAACTATCTCAATTTCGTTTTGTTTTTTTCTTTCGAAAGCAAACATTTTTGCGAATCAATATAAACTAAAAATAACAAAACAATAAATAGCAGAGTGACGACTCTTTCTCTCTGCTTCCTTCTCGATTTTTGATTCGCTCACCGGCGGAGGAATCTGATATGGCGGCGGCGACGAAGACGGAATCGAGGAACCAGATTCCGCCTTACATGAAAGCAGTCTCAGGCTCACTAGGCGGAGTCGTCGAGGCTTGTTGTCTCCAACCAATCGACGTAATCAAAACGCGTCTCCAGCTAGATCGCGTCGGCGCTTACAAAGGAATCGCGCACTGTGGTTCAACGGTGGTTCGAACCGAAGGAGTTCGTGCTCTTTGGAAAGGTTTAACGCCGTTCGCTACTCATCTCACGCTTAAGTACACGCTTCGGATGGGATCCAACGCCATGTTTCAAACCGCGTTTAAGGATTCCGAGACCGGAAAAGTTAGCAATCGTGGCCGTTTGCTTTCCGGATTCGGCGCCGGTGTTCTTGAAGCTCTCGCCATTGTTACACCCTTTGAGGTAACGCTTTTCGTTTGTTGCCTTTTCGCTTACTTTACGAGACAAAAGCTCTGACGAAATAACATGTCTTCTCTAATATTTTATTAGATTAGGAATCGAATTAAACTATAGTTTAATCATTAGTTAGTTGGGTCAAAGATTTGGTGTAATTGAAATTGTTAGATTATTCTTGCACCAGAAAATCATCTCTGTTCATCAATAAATTAGTATATTTTAGTCAGAGAAATTAAAATTATTTGTTCAGATCTGTTTTGATGCTTTTGGTCCCATTGTTCATGCCAATTCTTGATTCGGAGAATCGTGTTCTTAATAATCATAAACATTATGTAGAATCATTTTGAGTCTTTGAGTTGTTTCATGTAGTTCTTGTTCTTATGTGGTTAGAGAGATAAGGTTTGATTCTCTTCAGTATGTTTATGACATGGATTCAAGAGTTCTTGCATATCAAATGAGTATTTTCACTCAAGTAAAACACTGTTGAGTTCTGTTTTTTTGCTTTCTTTAAATCTCCAGGTGGTGAAAATTAGACTTCAGCAACAGAAAGGATTGAGTCCTGAGCTCTTCAAGTACAAAGGACCTATACATTGTGCTAGAACCATTGTGAGAGAAGAAAGCATACTCGGGTTATGGTCAGGTGCAGCACCAACGGTTATGCGAAACGGCACCAACCAAGCTGTAATGTTCACTGCGAAAAACGCATTTGATATACTCTTGTGGAACAAACATGAAGGCGATGGCAAAGTCTTGCAGCCATGGCAGTCAATGATTTCAGGGTTTTTAGCTGGAACCGCAGGTCCGTTCTGCACCGGACCATTTGATGTGGTGAAAACGAGGTTGATGGCTCAGAGCAGAGACAGTGAAGGTGGGATTAGATATAAAGGGATGGTTCATGCCATTAGAACAATTTATGCAGAGGAAGGATTAGTGGCTTTATGGAGAGGGTTGTTACCGAGGCTAATGAGGATTCCTCCAGGACAAGCAATTATGTGGGCTGTTGCTGATCAAGTCACTGGTCTTTATGAAATGAGATATCTTCGGAATGCTACTTTATAGGGAGACACTTTTTCTTTTTAAAAAAGCAGTTGTTTCTAGTTGCTTTATTTCTGAAAATTCTTGTTAGGATTTGAATTTGATCAAGAAAAATAAAACTAAACGCACAATGTATAACGATTTTACTATAATCAAATTTTGGGAGTTCCTTTTTTTGTTGTTGTTGTTGTTGTTTAAATGTGTTTACTACAAAAGCATCGCAAAATTAGGCTTCAAAACGTAAATCATGTACATTGTACACCACTGATCAAAATTCAGTTTGGCACTCTTTTAAAATGGCTACGTCCATATTAGTTTGGGCTGGGTCATTTTGTTATGGGCCACGTTTGGAACATAGAGGCCCACATCTTTCAACCGCACTTGCCAATTCCTTAATATATATAAAAGGCAAACGCAGCTTTAGAGCTATAAGCAAAAAACCCTAGTTAGCCGCCGCCATCTTTACCATCATCATCATCGCAACCTCTCCTTTTTATAGACGCGTCTGTTTAGAGTTGTTATCTATCTTCCTCTAGTTAGCAAGCAAACGTTTTCTTTTATTTTTGTTTGGTCTTTTAAAAACTCTTTGTGCAATTTGTTCCTAATGAGGATTACATATCAAAAGCTATGGATCTGTTTTATCAGTTCCATATGATGCTATATTGTCATAGTTACTCTGATGGGAAATTCTTTTTGTTTTGTTTTTGTTTTAATATCAAATCTTCGTAGTTTTTTTTTGGTTTTAAATAATACATAGGCAACTTTTTGCCGAGTGAATCGAACATCGATATCTCTCTTTTTCCCAGTTGCCTAAATCATGTAATGGCTGCGTGAGGGATAATTTGATTGGTTATTTAATTCTTGATATAACCGATCTTTTCCTCTTTGCTGCTACATTATCATTTTTGAAATTCAAGATTCATGGTTTGGATTCTTAGAGAAGCCTCTTAATCTATGTTCTCAATGTTTAGTTCGATTATGGAGGCGTGACCTTAAGTAGCTAAGATGTAGTATAATATATGAATGATCCTTTTATGCCCTTACCATCTTAAACAATTTGAAGTAATCTTCATCAAAGTGATAATAATGTTTGAAATTTGTTGGTCTTCTCTCACCTAACCTTCTGGCCGAGTATAAGGGTCTCATTTGGGCCGATACTACAAAATCATGCCTAACAAAGATATGGTTTCATTTGGGCCCAAAGTGTTCTCAAACGAGATACATTTAACTGTTTCTTGTCACCTACGTCACGGATAATCATTATTCTTGAAACGAGCCGCTGAACGTCAGATGCCATCAATATAAATCACCACATTTCACCTTTTAATGGACAAAAAGAATTCTCGGTTAGTCATACTCCGAGAATGGTTTTACGATTTTAAAACCTAGCCAGTAATTTTCAAGAAAGGAATCACAGTTATTTCGACATTTTCTCTTTTAACATGCGTAATGGCTTTACGATTAGAACTAGCTTAACGACAAAACGTTCTAATAGTCATATAACTTAATTGATATACTTTTTGGCAAAAGTTTGATCCATCAAAGAGATGACAAGTTGGGAATATATTACCGGCCACTATTAGAACGTTTGTTTGAGAAATAAACAAAGAAATAAACAAAGACTCGAAGAGATAGAAGAAGTAGTTTCGTGAAAACGCACAATCGTTGCATTGGGAAGCCCACCTTTCTCTCTCACTTGGTAAAGTTTTTTTAGATCTAGGGTTTTGTATTATTGAGCTTCATCTTCGGCGGCGGATCAGAGGTTAGCAAGCTCTTTCTCCGACAACGGAGGTGTGGTTTCTTCCCCTTTCGAGGTAGTTGTGGCACTGGTTGGGACGGTTGAGAAGGAGTTAGTGGAAGCGATTAACACTTCTACATTGGAGAAGAAAGATAGTCTTTGTTTCATTGAAGTGATTGTTCACAAAGATGATACGAGCAAAGACTTGCTTGAGTGGGGCTCTCGCGTCTCAGCTGCTAATGGTCGTCCTCCCAATCCTCAGTAGAAGCAAGAGAAACGAATCTTGAGTGTGGCTCAAGCATCTCTCGTTTATTGGCAATCAAATCACATTGTTACTTGTTTTTCTTTCTCTTATGTCTTAAGTACTGATTTGTTTTCCTACTAGTTTCGAATTTTCGACCGTTGGTTTTAATTGCTTTTGCTTTTAATATCCTTCTGATTAGGTAACCCTTTTCGTGACATAAAGTTTTCATTATAAACTTCAATATTTGTGCTTTTTCTTAAACGTGAAGTCCGAATAAATCCACCTGATCACTCAATCTAAATATCAAACAATAAAACACCAGAAACTAATCAAAAACTTAACAACCAGAAAACCAAAAACCTAAAACAGAGCTGATTGTTTCTTGAAACTGAATCTGAAACAAAATAACAACATATTTAACCCGTTAAAATTAGATTTTCATAATTCTTAAAACCAGAAAATAGAAGTATGAAATTGAAATAGAACCGGACGTTGGCTTTTGAGAAGAAGACTCGAAATGGTGTTTAAAATGGCCATATTCACATAATTTTATGCTTTATTCCTAACTATTTTTATTTTTTTTAAAGAAGAATTAGGCTCTGAAATATTTATTCAGCTAGTTTTGTGAAAATATTGATGGAATCAGGATGGAATATTCTAATCTTATTAATGTCTTTACGTGCATCACATGTAAATTATTGAATTCTAAACTTCTTATATGGTAATAAAATTCTTGAACAATACGAATCACGGAATCAGTATTTCTTTATATTCTTTTTCGATTCATTGGCACGTAGAATTAATGTAAGTTATAGCATAGTTACGAGGGAAAATCAGAGGATTAATGCTGCATTAATGGTTCATCTTGGTAAACAAGTTCAAAGATATGTATAGTTAATAACAAAAATGAAATCTTACCCAAAAAAATAACAAAAATGAAAAATCCATTTTATTCTCTAATTTTGAAAATAAACTTATTTTCATAATTTTCTAACGTAACAAGTCTTTTCGTATAAATAACTATAGAAATATTTTAGTTCAAAATAAAACATCCGTGTTTCGTGTATATAATAGTATCTATATATGTAAATTTACATCTGTAAAAACTAAATGTAAGATGACAGCAAGAAAATTGCAAATATATTTCATTAAATCTTCTATGCTTTTGGCGCAAGGAAGTCAGAAACCAAAACGTCTGAAACCGCCTGTGCAATTCTCAACACAGCTATATAACCCCATCTAGTAATTTCATTTTATTACTCATCATCATCACTAAAACTAAAATAAAAAAGAGTTTCATATTCCTAATAATAAGCTTTTTCAATGGACACCAAAATAGGATCCATCGACACGTGTAAGCCAACCACTGGCGACGTCGGAAGTCCCCCAAGCAACGCCGTCGCAACAATCCACGACTCCGCTCCCACCACCGCAACCTCCCTCGACTCCTCCGAAGCGACTCTTGGACGTCACTTAGCCCGCCGTCTTGTCCAAGCCGGAGTCACCGACATTTTCTCTGTTCCCGGAGATTTTAACCTAACTCTTCTTGACCACCTCATCGCCGAACCAGAGCTCAACAACATCGGATGTTGCAACGAGCTTAACGCTGGTTACGCCGCCGATGGTTACGCTCGATCTCGTGGAGTCGGTGCTTGCGTCGTGACCTTCACCGTTGGTGGACTCAGTGTTTTGAACGCGATCGCTGGTGCATACAGTGAGAATCTGCCAGTTATCTGTATCGTGGGAGGTCCTAACTCTAATGATTTTGGTACTAACCGGATTCTTCATCACACCATTGGTTTACCTGATTTTAGCCAAGAGCTTAGGTGTTTCCAAACTGTTACTTGCTATCAGGTATAAGTATAACCACACATGACCCAAATCTTGATCATCACATATCTCCTTTGCTTAGATTTTGACTATGTGTTTGTTTTTAGGCTGTGGTGAACAATTTGGAGGATGCACATGAACAGATCGACAAGGCGATATCAACAGCTCTGAAAGAGAGCAAGCCTGTCTACATTAGCATCAGCTGTAACTTAGCTGCAACTCCTCATCCTACGTTCGCTCGTGATCCTGTTCCTTTTTCCCTAACTCAAAGGTAATCAAGAATCATTACTCAAAAAAGATGGGTTTGTTTGAGATTTCTCACAAATGTTTGGATTGTTTATTAGGATGAGCAACAAGATGGGTTTAGAAGCTGCGGTGGAAGCAACATTGGAGTTTCTGAACAAGGCAGTGAAGCCAGTTATGGTTGGTGGTCCAAAGTTGCGTGTGGCTAAAGCTAGTGATGCCTTTGTGGAGCTAGCTGATGCTTCAGGCTACCCTCTGGCAGTGATGCCTTCTGCAAAAGGCTTTGTACCAGAGAACCATCCTCACTTCATTGGTACTTACTGGGGAGCAGTCAGCACTCCGTTCTGCTCTGAGATTGTTGAATCTGCGGATGCTTACATTTTCGCAGGTCCAATCTTCAATGACTACAGCTCAGTTGGTTACTCACTTCTCCTCAAGAAAGAAAAAGCAATCATTGTGCATCCTGATCGTGTCGTTGTGGCCAATGGTCCTACGTTTGGTTGCGTTCTGATGAGTGATTTCTTCAGGGAATTGGCTAAGAGGGTGAAGCGTAACGAGACCGCTTATGAGAACTACCATAGGATCTTTGTCCCTGAAGGTAAGCCATTGAAATGCAAACCTAGGGAACCTTTGAGAGTCAACGCAATGTTCCAACACATTCAGAAGATGCTCTCTAGTGAAACCGCTGTGATTGCTGAAACTGGTGATTCTTGGTTCAATTGTCAGAAGCTAAAGCTGCCTAAAGGATGTGGGTACGTATCTAACAAAGAAACCGAATCTTTTACATTTTTAACATAGTGAAAAAAGTGTAACAAACACAAGTTTTGAAAATAGTTGTTCTCTTTACTGTAGGTACGAGTTTCAGATGCAGTATGGATCTATTGGTTGGTCTGTTGGTGCGACTTTGGGATACGCACAGGCATCACCAGAGAAGAGAGTGTTGTCTTTCATCGGAGATGGGAGTTTCCAAGTGACGGCTCAGGACATATCCACGATGATTCGTAACGGACAGAAGACGATCATCTTCCTGATTAACAACGGTGGCTACACCATTGAAGTGGAGATTCATGATGGTCCTTACAATGTGATCAAGAACTGGAACTACACTGGTCTTGTCGATGCTATTCATAACGGTGAAGGCAAATGCTGGACAACAAAGGTAAGTGATCACTATTGGAAGTTAATATATGAATTTTTGGTTAAAGTAACATTATATTATGAATGTTGTGTGTTTGGTAGGTGAGATACGAGGAGGAGCTAGTGGAAGCGATTAAGACCGCGACAATGGAGAAGAAAGATAGTCTTTGTTTCATTGAAGTGATCGTTCACAAAGATGATACGAGCAAAGAGTTGCTTGAGTGGGGCTCTCGGGTCGCAGCTGCTAATGGTCGTCCTCCCAATCCTCAGTAGAAGCAAGAGAAACGAATCTTGAGTGTGGCTCAAGCATCTCTCGTTTCTTAGCAATTGAGTTACATTGTTTCCTGTTTTTTACTGATTTATTTTCCTACTGGCTTTTGGAACTTTCCAGTTAGTACCATTGATGGTGATTCCTTTTTCCATAATAAACTTCGATATTTGTCGTAGTTCTCAAACGTAAAGTCAGAATAAATCCAAAGATTGAGAAACCATCTTTTTTTTTTATCGGATGTCCTCGAAGGGACGATTGAAAAAACCATCTTAAATCTCAAATCGGTAAAAATTATTTAACTTTTTTTTTTCTTTTCACTTTTGCTTTTTAACTGTCTAGTTTTCTTGCCATTATAACTCAAGAACAAAATCAAAAACTTAATAGCCAGAAAAAAAAACAAAAACCTAAGAGCAAGCCCAATGGTATCTTAAAAATGGTTCTTAGAAGTATTAAAGTTAAGAACTCTTTGTTTTGGGTCTTAGCTAAGCTACTTTTCTTAGTTTTGGGTCTTAGCTAAGCCACATTTCTTACTTAAAAACTCTTTAAGATACCCTTGTTAATAGTGGTCTTAGAGTTTCTTAGGACAAGAATCCTTCAGAAAATGGCCCAATTTAAGTGGGTGTTATTGGTTTATTAATTTGTAAATCCATATAGAATTTGAAAATTTCTATTAATTATGAAATCAAGATATATGGATTTTGAAATAACATGTGTTTACCCATGAATTTGAATCCTTCTATTTTCCTCTTTCAATTCCATTCAAATTCATTTAATACATAATTTGGATTCTCAAATCCAAAAACAAATGACTAAACGAATAACATAGGATTTTAACTAGTATTTATAAATGATAGAATCAATAACACATGATTTTAATTAAAATTTTAAAATCAATGATTGAATAACAAATGATTTTTGTTTGGATTTCTAATTCCTTATAAATCCATGAACCAATAACCCCTCCTAAATCAAAAATAAGAAATAATGTTAGGAACTCACCTTAATTAAGGATTTTTTTTGGTTTTAAGAGGCTTTACGTGTCAACTTCTCATTGGTGTGTGTTTAATGAGAAAACAACCAATTTTCTTCAACCATTCTTCAATTCGCGATTTAGCTTTCTCTCTCTGTTCTCCTTGTAGACTCTCGATCTTCATCAGGCGTCTCAATCATCAAATCGTCAGAGAAATCCGAGAAAATTGGTCTCTTTCCCTCCGTGATCATTATCTCCTCCGACGGAGCTCACCATCAGCAAGGTCGGTGAACCGTATCGGAGAGTTTCGGCTTCAAATCTCAGAGATTTAGGTGAAATCAAGCCGTAATCGCTTTGTGAATCTAGCTGTTTGATTGTGTAGATTATGATGATTTAGGGTTTTATTTAGATTATATCGAAATTAGGGTTTCTGGAATTGGGAATTGATGGAAGATAAATTAGGGTTCTTTGATGTAAACGCAATTAGGTGGCTTTGAATACATAATCAGTCTCTTTCTTCGTTCTTATTCATGATTGAAGATGATTTCAAGTTGAATATTTTTTTTTTAAGAAACCTAGTTAAGGACTCACCATTGGACAAATTTTTTTTTAAGAATTCATCAAAAACTCTTAACTTTAAAATTGTTGTAAAGTAAGATTAAAATATGTTTAAGGATCCTCTTAAGGACTCAACCATTGTTGTTGCTCTAAGAACAGAGGTGAGTTTTTACAGAGACTGAATCTGAACCAAAATGGCAAAATCACAACATATCTACCCGTTACAATTAGATTTTCATAATTCTTAGAACAAAAAAAATATATTCCTAATCGAAATAGAACCGGTCGTTATAGCTAAGTCTCTGGTCGAGCCACAAGGCGATTGTTTTGGAGTAGATGGTCAGGAAACTGAGAACGGCAGCTTCTGACATGTGATTTGAGTTTGGGAATATTTGGGTGTGCGCTTCTACACCGATTGCAACGCAGCTCACCTTTCAACAGATCTTCGCTCGCCACATTGGCCTTGCCTTGGCTCTTGACCTCTTCAAGTACATCAACTGAGTCACGAAAGAACGAGGACGTGAAAGAGTTCCAGTGTTTCTTGTTCTTCAAACTATCTGAATCAAAGTCTTGGCTTATAACGTGTAAGTGTAGTTGTCGCATTGAGGGAACCTGAAAGACAAAAACTCAATGTATGTTAAACATATCAATTTCAATGATTTTGCTAATGAACTCTTAGCTTTAAACTCTAAAACGAACAACAGAAAGTGCAATCTGAAGTTTAAACTCAGGGGAAACAGAAAATTCATCAGTGCTCTGAATGAAAAGGATGACTTAAGTACCGAGTGATATCCAAGGCGGAAGATAAGAGATGCATCCTCGTTCTGAAATCTATCGACCCATTTCAGACCAACATTGTGCATTTCCTGCAGAAGTTGAAGATTCTCTTTGCGAACATCTTCTAGCCCATCTAGACTCTCCTGCCTCGCCAGTACTAACACGTGTTTCCGTGCCTAAACCCAATTGATAAATCTTGTTTGTCATCTGTCTCATGAAGAAAGATGCTATATTTATAAATCAGCGTCAAGACTTTTACCTTTGGGTACTGGTCGTTTATCACAACGATGTTGTCTGAAAATTCTAGCACGACATTTTCGTGTCTCTCTGGGTGCATCGCGATGCTGTGGAGCGCCAATGCCCATGTGCTCCATCCTTTACTCATCTTCTTCCCACTGTCTCTTGTATCCTCCAGGGACCCTGATTCCAGATTATTAGTTACGGCTTTATCTTGTGATCCTTTGTACTTTTTGTTTCTCTCAGAGTCTTCCTTAATATCCTCACCAGAATCTGACAACGCTGTTTGATTGCTTCGTTTGGGCAACTTTGATTGATCCTGTACTACTGATAGAAAACCTTCAAATAGGGATGTGTAAGCGCCCCGGAGAGTTTTGCACCCCTTGGTATAATCGTTGTTAAGGTTATCTGGTCGGTTTGGGTTCATGTTTGGTCCTAGAACATGTATGACATGTGTAATACCTTCTGCATTGTGTAAAGGGCAGGTAGAAGGAAGTGGAACTACCACAGCTTTTCCAGGAAGAAGAGTGTTTGCTCGTACTCTTGTCGCAGCCTCGAGATCTGGACCAGCAGCTTTGAATATCGCTGCATTCACTCCTCCACCTCCAGGTTTAAGCCGCCTGCACATAATTAACAAAATTAGCTATTAATGGAAGATGTATCCTCCTAATCTTACTCAATGAGTTGGTGGATTTTACTGAAGAGCACAAAAATAATGGAAGCTTACCAGTTAGTAGCATTAGCTATAACATTGCAGTGTAGACCACCTTCAGAACGAACCTTAGTTATGTCTCCGACAAATGTGAAGAATCTCGCTGAGTCAATGTTCTTCTGAGCAGCCTTAGCTTTGACCAGAGACAGAATCTTTGACCCATGGCTCAAGTCTACTAAGACAAGACGCGCAGTCCCAAGTTTAGGCAAGAATTCCTCTGCTTTCTCGACAATGATATCGGATGCCTTTTCAAGATCAAACTGAAAATCTGCAGTCGAAATTGATGGGAATGCCAGTGTAGGAACAATATCAGCAGAACCAAGCTTGGCTGGCGAAACTCGGACATTTTCTGTCTTTTCATTATAGTTGCGTGTTGCGTTAGTAGCTTCATTAGATGATGAACCAGGCAGAGCATTGACTTTCTTAAAGAACTTCATTATACCGGGTTGGCTTTTAGTGTCTGATTTTTTTTCCCCAAAACAGCCAGAAGGAAGAGTATCCATTGGACCAAGCTTGTTGTATGTGTTACCAGCATTTTCAACATCCGCGTCGTTGTAACAAAACATAATCCGAGAAAACCCTTCATTCACCTTCGGAAGTTCCTTACTCTGAAGCATCTTATTCACAACAGCTGCAGCTCTTCCACCTTGTAGATTTCCTTCATGACCCGTTCTTTTGACTGATCTAGATATACAAACCTGAGCAGGAAGCTCCAGAACCACTGCATGAACTTCAACGCCAGGACCACCGAGCTTAATAAACTCCGAGCGTTGCTCCCTGTCAAGATTGCATCTGTCTATAAAGACACTCTTGCCTTCCCTAAGGGAATCTGTTGCCATCTTTAAACACTGAGCCTTTGTTCCAGCTTTCCCATTGTTAATAATGTCCTGAAATAAGTTAAAAACAATTTAAATCTAAGCCAGCACAAAAATCTTAAATTGATAGCAACCAAATTTCTTAAGAGGACCACCATGCTCTAATCGTAAAAATTTGTTCTGTGAGTAGAGGTAGCAGAAAGTTTTGTAATTTAATAAGTTCATCCAATAATCTAAAGAGAACTAGATTCTCACTTCAGGCCAGCATACCAAAAACTCTCACCAACCCAAATACTTTAGTCTCGTTGAGGAATTTCATCAGTCAGCTTGTGTGCAATATAATACAATCGATAGATAGTGAGAAAAAAAGAGAAACCTGGCAGATACGAGACCAAGGGCGGTGAGAGGAACGCATTACGGTGTCACAAAACGTCGATTTGCCGCTTCCTGGCGGACCAATCAGAAGCACCACTATCTGCTTCGCTTTCTCTGCTTCAACTTCAGCCATTATTGCCGTAAAATCATTAGAAAAGCTTAACTTTTTAAAACACTACGGAAATTGAATCACGAAAGGTTTGATTTTTACCAGATTCTTCAATTATCACTTCCATGTTCTCTCGATGATCGGAGTCGTTGATCGGAGAACCAGTTTCTTTGTTTCTCCAATTTCTCGTGTGGCACGCGTGTGTTTGGAATACGTGGCGTCTTCGCAAAATTGAAACGACGTGTTGTTTCCCAATTTAAAATAAAAACGCTTGTTTATATTTTTTTTGTTAAGATACTGAAAAAGGTATTGTAAGAAAATGTTGACATATTTTAGATTTTTCGATTAAAAAGCTACTAGTCTCATTCTCATACATATATTACATTCTCAAAAATTAAATACACATATATAGTTCAAATTTTATACGCATATAATTCTTAAACTAAAGTTACCAAAGATTGCGACAATATATAAATCATATTATGTTGCATATGGCAACGACTAAGACGAGTCACGTTCTTGCTCATCATGAGCCGAACCAAACCACGGCGTATACTCCGAGTCCATAACCGTAAGTGGCATGCCTTGTGAATTTGTCTCCACTATAGGGGCATAATCGTCATCATAACCAAATAATTTTGGTCCACATTCTCCGGCGCCGGGAGAGTAACAAGATGACGTAGTTTTGTGGTCGTTTAGGAAGAGAAGCATATTTTGGTGAAACCAGATCTGAGCCTTCAAGAACTTGACGTATCTGATGGCTTCGTCAAGCATAGAGACAGTGTCCATCTTCGCACCACCAGGGACCATGCTTTGTAGAATCTTGAAACGGTCGCTGATTCTGTGCCGTCTCTCGCGAGCCGCCACGCTCTGAGGGTCCGTCGATAACGTGGACGTTGATCTTGACCGTTTTGTGTTTCCGGTTTCGCTCTTGTGGCCGTGGAAAGAGGAAGTGGTAGATGATGAATTAGGGTTTTGGCCACGAAGATTAAAATCATCCATTGTGATTGTCGTGCTTTATAATTGTTACGTAGTATGCTTATACATATATATATAGTTACATCCGAAATGGTTTAGTGGTAACGTTGGTTTATGACTTTATTCTAAAAAGATCTCAAGAGCACGTGTGGCTCCGGATTTCGCGTAGTAGTGGGGTTCGGTGAAAACATTGAACTGAAGTGCAGACGAAAAACAAAACCCTAATCATTTCTTTACAACTCAAACTCTACGTACTGTCTTCTCAAACAACTACCTTCATTGCACATTACCCACGTTTATGAACAGTACTTGTCCCAATTAATCCATATTTGATATAAATGTCTTCGTTCTTCTCTCATAGTTCAATAAAAATTCTATCATCGATCGATTCCCTAAAAACTATATGCTCAAATAAGTAAATAAGTTTAACATAATTAAAATATAAATATAGATTTTAAAAGAATATTTGATTCAATTGAACTAGCCAGAATTGCAAAGTTGATAGTTTTTTCTCCTTTTGAATAAACACATTTGAATCTATACAAGTAAGAAAAATAGGAAGCAACTTGATATGAAAAGACCGGATAACAACAACAACTATGCTTGAAAGACGCATGACGTGAGCTTGAAAGTTGAAACAGTGGCAATAGTCATTCTATTCTTCCTATTTTATTTTCTACGCCATTCTTTTTGTATTAATATGGAAAGGAATAATATGAAATTTCTAAACAACGATTATCTTTGAAGTTGTATATTTTTTTGCTAAATTAACTTATACAATTTTCAATTGTGATATAGGTAACTGTCGTCTCGGCTGTTGAGTAAATGAGACGTTACTTTCACGTGAGATCAATAAAGCTCAATAAGTCTATCTAGCAAACACAGAACTGCCTACAGGTCTTCCCCAGATTTCCTATGACGCCATGTGTCATTCATGACCGCCACGTATCATTGTATTTGTACACGTAGATATCCAACAAATCAGTAAACACGAGAGGAGCATTCATTTTTAAGAAGTAGAAAAGAAAGAGACTCTCTGTGATAGAACTAAGAATTAGTTAGGTTTATAGCATAAAAATAAGTAAAATGTCAAGTGAGGAGTTCAAGCTGGTTTCGCCGACGATAGACAACGACGGTAACTTGCCGAGAAAGTATACCCAGGGAGGTCAAGGTGCTAAGAAAGATCTCTCTCCTCCTCTTGAATGGTATCGCTGTTTATCAATAAAACAATTTTAAGTAATCAATTTGTTATCACAAGGCTTCCTAGTTGATTTATTTTTGAAGTATTTTGTTTTCATTATTTTGTCATCAATTATAGGCTAATAACGTATCTAAAAAAATTTCACGATGCTGTCGTGGTTTGCCAGTCAAAACATATAAAAAAAATTAACAATATTTAGTATAGAATAAATGAAATTGCCATTATTGAAACAAAGGATTGAATAATAAAAATGTTGATGTTGTGTAGGTACAACGTTCCAGAAGGTACAAAATCGCTAGCTTTGGTGGTGGAAGACATCGATGCGCCAGATCCTAGTGGACCGCTCGTGCCATGGACGGTGTGGGTTGTCGTCGACATACCACCAGAGATGAAAGGCCTACCGGAAGGATATTCCGGCACTGAGGAGCAGACTACCGGTATTCGGGAAGGGAACAACGATCACAAGATTCCGGGATGGCGTGGGCCTCTCTTGCCTAGTCACGGTCACCGTTTTCAGTTCAAGCTTTTCGCTCTCGATGATAAACCCAAGATTGGTCACACGGTAACAGAAAACTATAAATACTTATTATTTTCTGATCAAATTTGGTCATGATATGTAGTACTTTTATAAAGTGTTGGTGTGAATATGACCTAGGTGACGAAAGAGAGATTGCTGATCGCAATTGAAGGGCACGTACTAGGAGAAGCCATCTTGACGTGTGTGGCCTAATTATGTCGTCGTTTTAGTCACAAGGCCGTTTTTTTTTTATCATAGTTAAAAGATTCTGTGTAAGCTTAGGTTTGTTAAGAGCATGGGAGGATGTTACGTTACAGTTGAAAACTAAATCAATATACGGCTAAATAATGAAAATGTATATGATAAATATTATTATTTTATAATTGTAATTTATATATGGAGATTTTTTCTTATGGACACTCAAGCCGCAGAAACCTTATGAATGGTAGAGTTTGCCATGCTTGTTTGCTGTTGAGGACTTTGATTTAATCATCTTTCTTCAGTAAATAGTCAAAATGACTCGAATCCTTCTTTTGCTCATTTCCTGTGAATATACTACATGGATTAATGGATATGGTCATTGACTAAGACAAAACAAAGGAAAATTTGTGTTTGTCCACAAATTGATTTAGCTGTACAAGTGTGTGAGAGAAGAGAAACCCGTAAACTAAACCCCCAATATTCATAAACCGCCCAAAACAATTATTAGTTGTTACTAAAAAAATGTAATCTCTACTTGCGGCGTGCAGCTTGACTATCATTTCGAATGCGGTCAGCGTACATCGGAAGACGGATGATCTCTTTTATTTCCTGAAGCAGCACTTCCTCAGTGATGTTATCATTTATGCTCTTTATCACCTATTTTGTTTTCACAACACAAGAAACAACATCACATTTTTTGCTGAGAATATCCATTTGACAAAAGCAATACTTAAATATATAGAAAATCCTTCAACCGACCTTACGAGCAGTGTTGATATCATTTGGTGTAGTTTTGTCAACTCTGATCCGCATGCTAAACCAAACTTTCTTATCCTTATCCCATGCACACTCTACAATCTTCCCATTGTAACTTGACGGGTCCGAATCATCTCTAAACTCAACTGTATATCCTTCCATAAGCTTTTTCTTCCCTCTTTCATGCAAGAAGAGGAAACCACGCCCCTCCTCCTCACCCGTCTCAAACAGAAAGTCTACCGAGTTCATTTCTGCATACTTCCACTTCAATAGACCTTTATGGGTTCGTGGAACATAAGGATCATCCCAACCCTAATGAACCAAATGTAAGTCAAGCTCAAGTAATGCAATCTTCCTACTTTCTCCAGGAAAAAAATTAATACTAATCTCATAAGTTTGTGTCTGTCTGCGTTTAGGAAAATTTTATCGACTCAGACCTAAAATACAAACATCTCTTGGTTACCTGAAATATTAAGCCATCTGCTTCATGCGAAAGCGATGGAATGGTATTCTTCAAAAGCTTCTCAACAGTCGAAAGTAACCAAAAACCCTTCATCCGTACCTGGGCAACAACAAAATTTTACCAACAATTTATACAAAGGAGAAGGAAAATATGGCATGGAACAGAAAATGCAACTCACCGCAAAAGGCTCAAGGTCATATCTATAGCAATGACTTCTGAGCTTCTCAGCTGCTCGAGGTCCGATCACCTCACGCACGAACATGTTCCATCTTTCACAGAAAGTCCGCTGGCACATATTTGAATCAACTGTAAGTTATCTTTAGTATCTACAATACCTGACACTGGTTGGTAACGAGTAAAAACGACACCGACATATTGGAAAACTCTGAATGCTAAGATCTCGTGCTACTGAACTCATTCCAAGGAAATTAATAATACGGGAACGAAAGTTCCAACCTCTACGACTGATTCGCCATTGATTGCTACCATATCATATACGAGGTACCTCCTCCTCGCCTCCCCTTGTTCACCTGTCGGGGTATCTATGACCATCTCTCCATCAAGCAAAGTGTAGTGATGCACTTTATCAGAAATTCCCTACAACCCAAAACCAAATAGGTCAGAGAATTCACAAGTTTTAGATATCAACACAAAAGTCATATAAGCAATGACAGAAAATTACTCACCTCACGTGAGTGCTTACAGGGAAAACGCATCTGTACCCTCCGAAACTTAAAGCTCCTATCTATCAAATAGCACCCATCTATAGTTAAGAGCATCATATAACGTGTTCCATCTGCCTTCCATGTCGCATAATAATACCGCTGCCTCAAAAGTTGCAAACTCTCCCTGTGTATGCAAAAGCATAAGATTTAACTACATAAGGAAACTAGGACTTATGAACCTCTGAAATGCAGAACATACAGTTGCTAATCCTCTTTGTATGCAATACAAAAAGTATAGCAGAGAGTCAGACCTGTCTAAAGATACAGGGTGCGAACCTGGGAATTGCATACATCCTCTTCCCTGGATCAGAGAAATTTTAATCCATCAGATGATTAAGATCACATTATTTCCAATCACTGAAGCTTAGTATTATTGCATTAGTCTCAACTCTCAACAAACATTTAGCATGCTTTTAATGAAACATACATGCAGGAAACAACATTAAGCTAAACATAATATTCTATACGAGAACAGAGAACTAGGAATAATAAATAAGCAGCTTAAATTCATACCCCGATATTCATCATAAGCATCTTATAACAGAATTGCCGGTAAGCTTCCTCCTGATAATGGGGTATTTCATCACCCAAAATGTCATCATTTGACATCTTCTCAGTCTCCTGATTAATTTCCTGAACAACGAAACAGAAAAGATAGGCAAGATCAGCAACAGACCCATTAGAAAACTCAAGCAAAATGAGATTGCCACTTTATGAACTTTGTCAGCTTTGGTAGACTCAACTGCACCCATCTATATGCACACAAAGATAATCTTAAGAACAGTAGATCTTTGTTTAGATGATACCGTTGTTTTCCAAGATCACTATGTAGTAATTAAATGACCTAGAAACAATAGTTATGAAGCTGGAATTTAATAAAAATAGCCGTTCATAAGATTATGATCTCTCTTTAACAAGGGCAAAAGCTTTAACACTTAACAATGCATGCAGGATATTCATTCGAACGGATAATTCTGTAAATGAGTGATAAACTTAAGAGATTAATAAACAATAAGCACTTGTTTGCACCACGCTTACTTGAACAGGGTCAGGCGGAGAATCATCATCATCATCATCTTGAACAGCTTCACCATTAAGATCAAGCTCGGTAGACCTCTTCCATTGAGGAGTTGGTGGGCAAGTAACACTCTCAGGCTTTATTTCGTGATAAAAAGTGTATAAAGCATCAATATAATCCGGTTTATAAATCCCAGGTGGGCGGGCATCAGAAAACAACTTCAATGCCTGCCAAAGGCCGCACAGAGATAAGAACCTTCATTCTAAACAGGATTAATACAACGAGTGAACAAGTACAAATGTGAAAGAAAGAATTGAACCTGTGTAACGTTCATCGTTGGCATAGAGCGCATAAGATAATGAACTATCATGAACCCTGTCCGATTATGTCCATGTGTACAGTGGACGAGGACATACTTCTTTGCGTGTTTTTGATTAAGGACGAACTGCAGAACCTGAAGACAGTATCCTCAAATGAGCTACCAACAGTAGATAAGTTTGTACTTCAATTAAAACTCAAGAGGAGAAAATAAACTTCAATTTTGTCAGTCAAGAAGAGAACTGAACTTATGAAACAAGTACCTCGTTGACAAAGGTGTTTACAGACACATTATCAGGCACGGCATCACGACCCCTGCATGCAATCTACAAACAGGAAAAGGAAGATAAAGTAATCCGCTACTGCTGATGCAGACGATACAAACACTAAAAACAAAATGTATTCCGTTCACCTTAACATGCTTGATGCCATCCTTCTTTAAGTCAAGTGTAGGGTAGTAACGAGTTGTATTAGTTAGATCAATCACTAGACCAAGCTGCAAAAGACCCATTACTTTAGAGAGTTAACATAGCAAAGAAAAAGATTGATTCATGGTTTCAAAAAACTTACTTTTCTTCCATTAATTCTCTGGTTACGGACCACCTGTTTAAAAGAGTATCTTTTACCAGGAGGAACATGTTCGTTGTAAGATTCACTAAGTGGAACCTTAGAGGGAATAATACATCCTATCTCCAGACCAAAACCAGGACAATCTAGCCAACCTGTTGTAATAAAAAAAAAAACACAACTTTCAGAAACCAATGGAAGCTAAAATGATCTTTTGAGGAAGTGCCAAAAAAGCATATAATAATTTACCTTGAGGAAGCTTGCTTTGATCATAAACTCTAGTATCTCTGTTCTGATAAGACTGATCACGAAAAACCGGCTGAGAGATTCGGTTGGTTGGCCTGTCATATCTCATTCGTTTCTTTCGTTCTTCACGCTCCTATAAGATAACCAATTACGATATCATTCAAAGTATCAAACTTGCTCCAAATTCTATGTAGATGCAAATAAGAACTACATGGTATTAAATGGGGTTATTGTACCCGTCTAGCGATCTCAACAGCAGATTCAACTCGATCTTCATGACGTCTCTTAAAGGGTTCATCGTCTTCTTCGGGTTGGGGTGAAGCATTTAGGTCCATCGCAGCAATCACTCAATGGCAATCCCAATTGGCTTCTCTATTACAATTTCGTTTCTCTATGCAAAATTCGAAGAATCAGGGAATCAAAATTGAAATCGTAGAAACCTAGCGGAGAGAGTCTCGCACGCTCGTGTAGTCGAAACATTATTAATGTTTTCGAAACTGTTGCGGTATATTAATCAATATTTGGGCCTTCGAAAATGGGTATTGGGCCTTGAGCTTTAAATCCAGTTAAAAATAACAATTATTCACTTTCCATGTTTTGCATTGCATTGGAGATCTTTTGGGCTTACTTACACTCTTTTTTTTAGGTTAGAAAACGTTTGTACAAATTCACTTAAACCAATTTAAAAGCTATGGAGTGAAAAACAATGTAGCACACTGTAAGTGACTGAAACCAACAAAATTGTTTCACATGTAAAATGAATTACACAGTGTAAGATAGAGTCGAAAAAGATTCAGGGAAAGGACTCGAGACTCCTAAACTATATCCTAATGGTAAGGAAAAGCCAGAATAATATCAACTAAAGGGGAAGCAATAATCTGAGTCATAGAGAGATAAGATAATCATGAAAATCTACCATAAACAGCCATAGTCCTACAATTTTCCATTGTTCCCGTCTCAATATATAATGAAACCTATGGCAAAACCAAAAAAAAAATTAAAACCTCTTAGTAATTTAAAAAAAAAAAAAATTGGGCCTTTTTTCTTTTAAAAAAATTTTGAAACTAATTTTGGACCCTTGGCATTTGCCTACCTTGCCTAGGGGTAGAGACGGGCCTGCCTAGTACCTCTCACCAAACTGGACAACGCTTCAGAATGAAAGATAATCAAATCACAATTCAATAATTTCATCTAAGACATCCATAAAACACACATCCATTTCATAAAAACAAACAAACCATCAGAAAAAAAGGAACATACAAAACTCATTGTTTGGAATATCTGCCAAAAGGAACCAGAACCATGTGAATGTGAACCAAATGGATTAAAAACCATGTGAAATGTGAACCAATGGATTAAACCATGTGAAATGTGAACCAATGGATTAACCAGCACATTCATAACATCCATGTGAATCTTCTGGTTTTATCCACTTGCAAATACACTCTCGAAAATCAAATATACATACTACATTTACAGTTGAAGTTATTTCCAAACTATTAACCACAATACGCAATAAGAATTGTTGCACAATACAAGAAGAGAAGCATCCCACATTGTGAAACTTACAGAGCTTGAGACCTTGATCTTTGTCATGCCATGTTACAAGAAGAGAAGCATCCCAAATTGATAAGTCATTCATGTTTATCTCTTCGTTACACATTTCTGCATTAACATGATAAACTAAAGAATATATTACAGCTTTGGAAACTTACATTTGAGAATGCAATAAAATTCAAAAATTATGATTGAAACAGAGCTAAACAAACTCATAAACTTGAACAAAAAACGCACCATTTGCTTTGTCTGTGTACATCAATTTAGCTCGACGAAGAGAGAAATAACCTTACTCTCATGTGTGATTAACGAAAATGTCATGCTGACTTGTCGTTCTCACAGAACTTCTTAATCCATTTAATACAGACCCAACATTTATTAGAATATTTACAGATTTTGCCATTAATTTTACTTACATTTATTTTTCCTAATTAATTTATACTTTTTATTTTACTCAATTAATTAAAACGAAAATACAATTAAAATATGTATTTAAGAGTTACAAATCTATACAAAATGGAGTATCTAATATTTTGTGTATCTATTAATATAACATGATATATATATATATATATATATATCATGAATCATAATAAACATAAACATTAATATATAAATGAAAATTTCATTAATCTTGATAATCGTTTATACACTACCGTTTATCTAATAATATAAAAATCGAACACTTTCAGTAACATCAATACATTAAAATGTATTTAATAATCGTTTTGTCCTGCACATAGTACGAGTTGTTATCTAGTTTGTCTTTTATTTTCTTTTCGTTCATTAAATCACTATTCAATTTTATCGTACAGTACCATCTATCAACGAATGTTCTTGCAATTGTGTTATAATATCTTCTACATAAAAATTGATAACTATTTCGGTTTTAACCTGCCAAATCTTCAATGGCTAAAACGTTAATTTATTTTCTTCGCATATAAACGTTATTTTCTTGGCATTTTCTTCTAAATATATATAATAAATTTTATGCTTTAAGAAAATCTAACGAAATTTAATAACCACCATAATACCATTTCCAGAAAGTTAGGGCTTGATTGGTTCTCCCGCTAGCACCCTCCCAGCGGTTGCTAGCGGTCGGTTGCGGTTGTTAGCGGTTGGTACCAATCATAGAAACCGCTATGTACCGCTTCGAATCGCTCGAAATCGCTGAATTTCAAAAGCTCCTTCCCGCAAGCGTTTGCGGTTGCGGGCGGTAGCGGTTGGATTTAAAAAAAAAAAAAAAAATCAAACGTTTAATTATAATTATTATAATATATATTAATCATATATATATCTTTCATCTTTGTATCACGTTTTCATCAGAAACCCTAATCAATATTCTGAAATCATATTCTCTCAATGTCTTCCACCCAAATTAATGAAAATCAAGAACCAAACGTAAGTATCATATATCATTTTATTCATTCATCACCTCATGTGTAACTCTTTGAATATTTTTCATGGCATCGTTTTTTTCTTTTCATTATATATTGCTTTGCTTTTTGATTGAATATATGTTTCGATTTGTTTCTCGAATTGAAACTCACTTGCTTTTTGATTGAATTCAACGTTATTTACAGTTTGTCCCATTACTTAATGCAATTTTTGGTGTTAAACCAGATGCATAAAGTACTATCTTATTACAAAATTTCTTTATTTTTAAATAATTATTTAGTACTTTATTTATGGTTTTAATTATTAAGCATGTTCAATTTTTCTAATATTATCAAAATAATATATTGGTGTTTTTATATTTATTTTTTGTAATATTTTTTATTTATTTTGGTCATTTTTTTATTTAACTGCTACCGCACCCGCTGGTTTACCAGTCATAAACTCCCGCAAACGCATCCATTTTCAAACGCTAAACCAGTCGTTCAAAACGCTTAGTAACGCTTGAAGCCGCAACCGCCCGCTTCCGCAAACTCCCGCAACCGCAACCGCAACCGCTGCGTTTAAACCAGTCAGGCCCTTAGTGGAGGTTGAGAAATAATCTTGTATTTTTCTAATTTCTTAAAAAGAGTAAAGATATATAACCTAATAATATCATTGACAAAAAAATCTCTTAATAATTTACCAAAAAAAAAAAAAAAAAACTCTTAATATTTTGCTGTCGAAACAAAAAAAAAGTTCTCTTAGTAATAGCCAAAATACATTAATATGATATAAGTAAAAACAACATTAATCACTTTCATTAAAAAAATTTAATAATAAATATTACTTACTTATAAGTGATTTGTAGGTTGTTTGGTATGATATCTGACATTTTCAAATAAAAGAATAAAAAATCACGGAATAGAACATCTTCACCACTTTCTTCCAGCATCAACAATTCAATTAAAATAATGTTCTGCAATGTTGACCCAAGACAAAGATGAAGAGCTTCTTTTGTTCCTGGAGATGCGTCGTTGCGAGAAACGTCACCGACCTACGCTTTTAATGGGTCCGTGTTCGTATTTGTGTTTATATATATGTTGTCTTTTTGTTCTGATTTATCTTTTTGGCAGGATCTGATAATACTAGTAGTACGACGGCGATGTCGTCTCAACAATACCCTGTCCGGAGAACTGCCGCCGAGAACTTACTGTACTCCGATAACGAGAAGTCCGATTACGAATGGTAATGTCTTCCCCCTTTTAATTTTGATCACGCTCTCTAAAAGTCTGATCATGATTTAAAAAATTTGCCTTGAAACATTCCCCCCTTTTTAATTATGTTTTGTTACATTTTTGCCAAAAATATTTGTGTTCGTATAGAACATAGCAAAGATTCCACCGAAAAAAGAAGAAGTAAATTTGATTAATTTTCTCGGGTATACTTGCTAGACAGTAGTTTGATGTCTGATCTTTGTTCATCAGATTTTGAGTTTGTAAAGCATTCTAAAAAACAGTTCACTAGCTATGGATTTTTTATTTGTTTTGTCAACTAGTTATGGTTGTACTTAAAGTTCTAAATGTCCTAGTCCAATAAAGACTATAGCCTTGCATGAAGTATTTTGAGTCATTTTGCCAACTATTTTAAAACGGAGCTTTTAGTAGATAAAATTATACGTCAAATGATTATTTGCACAAAAACAAACTTTTCAATCACTTTTCTTGATGTTACATATCTCAAATACGATCTCTAAATCTTTTCAAAATTGGCCCTTTTGCCAATGTTTCAACATGTAATCGATTTATATATTTGTTGCCATCTTTGTTGATTGTTCTTATTGTTCAGGCTGGTCACGCCACCAGGCTCACCGAGTAGAAGCGTAACGAACCAACTCAACGCACCCGATGATAACCTGATGACTCTTATATCTCGGGTACGGTCTCAGTATGTCTCGTGGTCTAATCTCGCCAATCTCTTGGTTTTTAAGTGTCTGCATATATATACGTTACACACTTACACAGTTACACTCTTGCTCATCTCTGATGTATTTTTTTACGTACAGTTAGAGAACTATAGCAAAGAAGAATACGAGAACCAAACGACGTCGTTACACAGTTCCTCCTCTGTTTCTGGAATCAGAAGACCCTCGTCCTCAAGTAGCTCAAGATCAACGAGTAGACCACCCACACCGACCAGAAAGTCTAAAACTCCAGCCAAAAGGCCATCAACGCCAACCTCACGTGCCACCCCAACAGCTGCACGTGCCACATTAACCTCGTCCTCTACTACTAGCTCAACAAGATCATGGAGCAGACCTTCCTCTAGCTCTGGAACTGGAACCTCACGTGTTACCTTAACCGCTGCACGTGCAACCAGGCCCACCACCTCAACCGGCCAGACCGGTTCAGCCACCTCTACTCGATCCAATAACCGGCCGCTGTCGGCTCCAAATTCAAAACCAGGATCGAGGTCAACTACTCCAACTCGCCGTCCATCAACTCCGACAGGTTCATCGACCGTACTGAGAAGTAAACCAACTAAAACGTTGAGTAAACCGGCTATGTCTCAAGGAGCTCCTCCGATCGTGAGATCAAGGCCATGGGAACCTTACGAGATGCCTGGGTTCTCAATAGAAGCGCCGTCGAATCTCAGAACCACGTTACCGGATAGGCCACAAACCGCTTCAAGTAGCAGAACCAGAGCGTTTGATTCGTCAAGTAGTTCAAGATCAGCGTCCATAGAACGAGATGTTGCAAAGAGGCAGTCTTGTTCGCCCTCTAGAAACCGAGCTCCTAATGGAAACGTAAATGGTGCTGTTTCGTTACGTGGACGACGAGCAAAGACGAACAATGATGATGGTGAATTGATAAGTCATGTGGCTAAGGGGAATCAAAAGGTCGAGAGAGTTGTGAATATGAGAAAAATTGCTCCACCGCGACTGACAGAAAGCGGCAGCCGACGACTTGGTGGTGGTGGAGGCTCCTCCGCTGGGAAGTCGAGTTCTGGATCTGATGGTTTCGGGTTTGGGCGAAACGTATCTAAAAGCTCCATCGACATGGCCTTGAGACACATGGTACGGTAACAAATACATGAGATTAAAGGACACCAACCATGCATGCATCGTTTAGACGACTTTCAACTTTTGAACATTTTTTTATGAGATCTTTGAGTACTTTTGTAATGGTGTCTCTATGTGTTAATAGGATGTTAAAAAAGGAAGCATGGCGGGGAATTTCCGACAGTCAGTGACAAAAGTACCGGCGACTTCAGTGTACAACATGAGATCATGTAGAAACCGGCCGGTGAGCAGCAGCAGGAGCTCAGAATCAAGTGTCAACATTTTGTGCTTAGACGGTAGCGACGATAATCTCAGCGACATAAGTTACTCTTAAGAGTTACAATTTACTCTTTATGTTCTTCAGTTTCAATGATTTCTTTGTTTTGTAGTAGAAAGATATTAAATATATCTACTATCATAAGGTCCTAAATATTAGAATGGCCATGAATTTTGATTTATATATAAACTATTGACATAAAGAGGCAATTGTTATCCGACTTGCAATAAAAAAAACTGTCTCTTGGTAATAATGATGATACAGATTGTATAAAATTGTGTTGTCCCTTTCTTACTCACACGTCACAACTTGATGTCTTCTCTTTTTTTGATGTTCTTATTTGATTTTTGTGATTTACCATCCTCTTTTTATTTACTTGAAGAATAAATTATTCAATACGTTTCCACAATTTACAATATATAGAAGAAAAAAAAAAAAATTTACAATATATAGTTGTAAACGTTAACTATCCATTTGTTCGAAGTCAACCAAAATTATCGTCCTAACCCGATTTCGTCATACACACAAAAATTGCAAGAATTTTTACATGTCGACAAAAAAAAGAATTAATTCTCGAATATTTTATTTTGTTAAGAACGGTAATTAACGGCTGACAAGCGATGTTGGTGAAAACAGGATTATGCATCTTACGCCACGTGTAAAGAAGTCTCAGGTTTTCTCGTAATTTAACATTAAATCGATGTCGTAACAATTAAACGCCTTCTCTCACCTATAAATATCTGAGCCTACCTTGGTTCTCATGTTGAAGAAAAAAATAAAGGGACCCAGAAAAACCCTCTTTAGCGGAGAGAAATCACAGAGAAAAGTAGCGAAATTGAATCTGCAGATTTTCTCACGCATTTTCCCAGAAACTGTTATCTTCACTACCTGATTCGTTCTTCAGAAGTCTGAATTGAACGAATTTACGATGAGTCGTTTAGGTCATAAATCCGTGGTTTATCACGGAGATTTGCGTTTGGGGGAACTTGATGTGAACCATGTATCTTCAAGTCATGAATTTCGATTCCCGAACGATGAGATTCGAATCCACCATCTATCTCCGGCTGGTGAGAGATGTCCTCCGCTCGCGATTCTTCAGACGATTGCTTCTTTTGCCGTTCGATGCAAGCTTGAGTCATCGGCTCCGGTCAAACCTCAAGAGTTAATGCATCTACACGCAGTCTGTTTCCATGAATTGAAGGTAGGATTGAGATTTCCGAGATGACATTTAGCTGATTTTGGATGTTTCCAATTGTTAGGAGTGATTCAGTAGTTTGATTTTGTGAATACAGACTGCTGTGGTTTTGCTCGGAGATGAGGAGATTCATTTAGTGGCGATGCCGAGTAAGGAGAAGAAGTTCCCGTGTTTTTGGTGTTTTTCGGTTCCTTCAGGTCTTTATGATTCCTGTTTAAGGATGCTTAATACTCGGTGTTTGTCAATTGTGTTTGATCTGGATGAGACTTTGATTGTTGCAAATACCATGAAGTCATTTGAGGATAGAATCGAGGCTCTTAAATCTTGGATTTCACGAGAGATGGATCCTGTGAGGATTAATGGAATGTCAGCAGAACTTAAAAGGTATATGGATGATAGGATGCTGCTGAAGCAGTATATTGATAATGACTATGCATTTGATAACGGAGTTTTGTTAAAGGCTCAACCTGAGGAGGTCCGCCCAACTTCGGATGGACAAGAGAAAGTTTATAGACCCGTGATTAGATTGCCGGAAAAGAATACTGTGCTTACTCGAATTAATCCAGAGGTTAGAAGATCTATCTCTGTTGTGGTTGTATATGTATTCATTTCCATCCAATCTGATGTTTTGGACTTACCTTTTCTGGCATGTGATAGGATAAGGTCGCTTAAGTATCCTTGAGTAATCTAGTTTTAATATTGTTGGAACTGAAACCAAGTTTTTACTCCTGTCTGGGGTTATTTCTGATGCAGATCCGTGACACTAGTGTGCTTGTAAAACTGAGACCAGCGTGGGAGGAGTTAAGAAGCTATTTGACAGCCAAAACTAGGAAACGTTTTGAAGTTTACGTTTGTACCATGGCTGAAAGAGATTATGCTCTGGAAATGTGGAGACTACTTGATCCGGAAGCACACTTGATAAGTCTCAAGGAGCTTCGAGATCGTATTGTCTGCGTTAAACCAGGTCAAAACCAACTCTGGCTTCTTTGATACCCTTGATCTTGGTTTTGGTACATAGGCACCATGCTCCCATTAGTGTAGCTTTTTTAATTCTGTTTTACTTATCATTACTGCTTTTGTGGTGAATTGTTATATAGAATGTGCCTCTTCTCCCTCTCTCTATGGTGCCTGATTGATTTGCTGACCTCTCAGTTTACCCAACTATCTGTCTCTGTCTCTCTCTGAAACTCGAACTAACAATTTTTTTTTTATGTCTTGCTCTTTGCATATCAGACGCCAAGAAGTCTTTGTTAAGTGTCTTCAATGGTGGCATTTGCCACCCGAAAATGGCAATGGTCATTGATGACCGTATCAAGGTTTGGGAGGACAAGGATCAACCACGGGTTCATGTTGTTCCTGCATATCTTCCTTATTATGCTCCACAAGCAGAGGCATGTGATTGCTCTTGCATTTAGCTGTGAATTAAAATCTGTATCACGTAATTTTCCATGTGGGTATCTAACCATTTTCTTATATCCATTTATCAGACAGCCCTTCTCGTTCCAATTCTCTGCGTAGCAAGAAATGTTGCATGCAATGTCAGAGGTTACTTTTTCAAGTAAGTTATTTTGTTTTTGTTTTTTGTTTATGTAATGAATTCATGCTGGTTGTTCTTACTGTTTCTGCACATTTATGGCAGGGAATTTGATGAGAGTTTAATGAGTAGTATATCTTTGGTTTACTATGAAGATGATGTGGAAAATTTACCTCCATCACCAGATGTGAGCAACTATGTCGTTATAGAGGTAACTGTAGTTAGAACTTTATCATTGTTAACGTATTGCACAAATTTTGGCCCCAACTACAATATGTAATCTAGCTATATCTGTCTGCAGGATCCTGGCTTTGCCTCAAATGGAAACTTAAATGCTCCTCCAATGACCGAAGGAATCTGTGGGGGTGAAGTGGAACGTAGACTAAACCAATCGGTCAGTAAAATACAAAATTTGGGATTAGTTAAGTAAAAAATGTTTTGGTGCAAAGCTTTTGTGTCAGTTGTAATTTGATTTCTGTTGACTTTTCAATTTCTGGGATGAGAAGGCTGCAGCTGATCATTCTACTCTTCCTGCAACAAGTAACGCTGAGCAGAAACCTGAAACCCCTAAGCCGCAGATAGCAGTTATACCAAATAACGCAAGCACGGCAACTGCAGCAGCACTGTTACCTTCTCATAGTACGAACTTTTGACTTAATATAACTTTAAAGTTTGAACTGTACAGTTATTTTGCACGTTTATGTTTGTCTCTGACATTCTCTATCTTTGGTCTTCAATCACAATCTAGAACCTAGTTTGCTTGGAGCTCCTAGACGGGATGGCTTCACTTTTTCTGATGGTGGAAGACCCCTTATGATGAGGCCTGGTGTAGATATAAGGAACCAAAACTTTAATCAACCGCCCATTCTGGCTAAAATTCCTATGCAGCCACCTTCCTCTTCTATGCATTCTCAGGGTGGTTGGTTGGTAGATGATGAGAATAGACCATCTTTTCCTGGTCGACCTTCAGGAATTTATCCAAGTCAATTCCCTCATGGAATACCTGGTTCTGCTCCTGTTGGTTCATTCGCACACCCATCCCACTTGAGGAGTGAAGAGGTTTGTTTTGTGTTCGAAGTATCTCTCTTTTGACATCAAAGTATGTTGTCTACGGTCTGATAATTTTCTTGCAGGTATCAATGGATGATGACCTGAAAAGGCAAAATCTTTCACGTCAAACAACAGGTATGTTCTAGTTTCAACACTAATGCAATCAAGCTGATAGTAAGATGATTAGTCGATCGCTGAATTTCTTGTTTCCTTCATGAAGCTTGTTTTCAGTGTACCGCTCTAAAGCTACATTAGATATTGACTTAGGATAAGATAATTATTGGTTTCCCCATCTGATGTATTGTCTTTCTATTGAATCTGTAATAGCTACTTGAATAATAAGGTGCATTAATACCTTTTAACATTAGCACTTGTTCAAACTATTTGCAGAAGGTGGATTATCCCAGAATCATTTGGTGTCAAATGGTAGAGAACATCATACAGATGGTGGAAAGAGTAATGGCGGGCAATCTCATTTATTTGTGAGTGCACTACAAGAAATTGGAAGAAGATGTGGTTCAAAGGTGCATATTCAGAAATTACGCAACCTATTGCTTCTTCTCTTTTCATGGATTCTGATTAATTTATTTACGATTTTGCAGGTGGAGTATAGGACTGTGATAAGTACCAACAAAGAGTTACAGTTTTCAGTTGAGGTCAGCTGGATCAGTTTGTTGACGTATCTTGTCTAATGTTAACTATTACTTATTTTTGTTTAAATTGTTGTTGTAATTTTACATAGGTTTTGTTCACGGGTGAGAAGATAGGCATTGGGATGGGAAAAACTAAGAAAGATGCACATCAACAAGCGGCCGAGAATGCTCTTCAAAGTTTGGCTGGTAAAGTTTTTTCTTGGGGAATTAATGACTGTGGATCTATTCACCACTTGATTAAGTCTGCAAATTGTTCTTAGTCTTGTGTGTAGTGAGAAAATTTGGTTCCAGATTGGTCAATCTTCTTTGTGTTGCTTTGCGCAGAAAATTATGTTGCACATGTGGCACATCTATCTAGAGAAACAGAGAAAGATCCGGAAAATGATAATGGATTTTTGTGGGAAAGCAGTGAAGATGTATCAAACAAAGGACTTGAAGAGGAAGCACCTAAAGAAAACATTTCAGAGTTGTGAGTTTTGCAGAAATGCAAAATTTAGGTTGAAAGAGAGAGATGAGATGTGGGGAAGAAGACATAAGGTAAATATTCCTTACCAATGTGAGAAACCAAAATAAGCAAAGATCAAAAAAGGTAACAAAGTGTCCCAAATAAGAGACTTTTTTGATTAAAAGCTAGCCTATTCCCTTAGGGAGCTAGTCTCATGACTCTTCTTGTTTTGGTTTCGATAGAGTTTTGAGAAAGTGAGTATGAAACCTTGCACCCAAGGCTCCACCCACCTGAATTAGGCTTTGTGTTATGTATAGTGATTGTATATTTTTCGTCTATGGTTTTTTGTTGTTGTTGTTGGTTCTTAAGAGCAGCATGTGGATTAGTTAGAAGGGATTTATGTAGTTTCTGATTAGTTTGTAGCCCTAGCCCATACTATATGGCTAAACAAAACTTCACAAGACCCACTCACAAATCCCATAATATTTTATCGCATTACCTCCTGCCTAGTGCCCACTAACATTTTTGCGTCTTATGTTGTGTATAAATTATATAATAAGAAATCGCATATAGTTTCGGGATTTTTCGTTTGTATATTGGATTAGAAAAAGCATACGGTCATCGAGATTTACAAATATACTACAAGGGAAAAAAACGAGGTGCTCCTTAACGTACGGCGTAGCAATTACCTGGCCCTTCGTGAAGAGCACCAAAGCTCCAAAACTAATAAAAACATTAGAAAATTCTACAAAAGACTAAATTATTGATATGTTAATCTTGATCATCATCATTATGTAAGCCATTGGAATTGTAAGTTTAATCATATGATAATCATGATCATCATCATTATGTAAAAACAATACAATTATTTGGGAGAATTGGATCAACATGATACATACTGTCCTAAGAACTTAACAGTTAACACTAACACTCCATTCTTTCTTCATCTCTCTCTTTACCAAAACCATTTGATCATTACATATCTACAAAGACAACACAACAGTGCAGTTTTGACTAAACATAACTTAAGTACATAACATAGAGGTGAGCAGAGAAGAAGAAGGTAGCCTACCTTTTAAGAGCAGTTTTGACTATCTGTTGGAAACTATGAGAGAATCATCTTCTTGAGGCTCTTTTGCTGATGTATGTATGCACTCGAAACTTAGTCGAGTTTAGAAAAGTCCAAAGTTGCTTAGAAGCTTGTAAAGCGTTCTGCGTCCCCACTGGATATCATTCTCTAAAAGCACTTCCGGTGTTCCAAGCGGCTCTGTCTCTAGCCGCTGCTGCTTTTCCTCTACTCTATTGTACTGCCTCTGTTCTACACTTTTCACTGCTTCTTGTTCCGGTTTCTCGAATAACGAAATCGCTTTTACTTTTGCTCTCTTGTTTCTTTCTGTTTTGGTTTCTGGCTTCTTATCTACCTGCAAATAGCTTCTCCATTCATTAATAGAACAATAAGGGACAGCCGAAAATCACATTGCTGAAAATAATTTAACAGTCTTAGATATGAGGAGAGTCTTAGATTAGCTTGAAGACATAGTGAAGGAAACTTTTTTTATGAACTGGGGTAATATACATTGTACCAATGGACAAGAATAGTCTTATTCTACAAACGAACATGATCTCTTGAAGCATCAATAGTCAATATGCAAAGATTTCATTACCAGCTGCAGCATTGTGCATAACAACAGCTCTAAGGTTTCATGAAACGACAATATACATAGCATATCAATTTTGTTGGAAAAGAAGCCTAAAGGAACATGAAACTTCAAAACTAATCAGGTAATTACCTCCGGGAACGTTTCTGCTTTACCTTCGTTAATAACTTCCACTTCTTCATTATCCAAGTCAGACAGAGGAATCAATCCAGGAACCAAAACTGGACTTTCTTCCTCAGTAAACATGGCTTCTTTGGTCACCTCCCGAGCAGTCAAAGCTCCATTAGAAGGTTCCATAGTTTTCTCACTTTGGATATCAAAACTCGAATTTTCCGCAGACTCATCACTTACATATCCCGCATTCTCTACAACTACTACTGAAGTTTTTTGTTGTACAGTACCAAGCACTTCATCCTCTTCTTCTGCACTGTTCCATGAAATATTTGCGTAAGGCCTCATGCTTTGTTTTTGCTTTTCTTCTTGATTGAGTGGCACAAAATCTTCCTCAATCATCATTTGAAGATCAGCATTATCCCAGTCTTCACATATTCTGATACTTTTGTTAGTTTCCCAAGTTTCAAGAGACCGGTTCGGACCTGGTTGCCACAAGATTTCCCCTGTCTGTGCCTTTAGTATAAACTTGAATTCAACCAATCTTCCAACAGGCAAATCCTAAGCAGAAAGAAACCAACTTCAGAGTAAAGCTAACAAATTTGACAAGAAATAGAAATTCCCCATTTGAAGCATACCAAATCTACAGTCCAAACATTGCCATCTGACCAGTTCAGTGGTAAGGCAGTTTCTGGATCCCAAAGGCCACCAAACACAGGATCATCACCAAGAATGAAAAAATGTTCCCCAAAAACACACTCTTTCCGCAACTGGAACCTTACACGAACCGTTTTTCTATGAGCTTCGATTTCTGAAGCTTCTACGTTTACCTATATAAAAAATGTATGAACAAACCTGAATCTTCGTCGTAAACAGAGCAAATACAAGCGAAAGAAAGAAATAATAATAACCTGAGAATCCTTAATCGACGAAGAACGAAGCGGAATTGGCTTAAGAATTCTGCTGCTGTGAGCAGAATCTAAACGCAAAAACTTGATGTGATGAAACGTTTTCGTGGTAACACAAGGGAAAATCTCTGTTCCATAGCGAGAAATTCCAGGAGGAAAATCTTCGAGAATGATCTTAGATGGAGAAGAAGAAGTTAGGGTTCCTCCAATGCCAATCATCTTCATCTTCATCATCATCAGAAGAAGAGTTTTTGGTTTGTGTGAGTGGGAAGGGAGCAATGTACTGTGTGGAAACGAAAGCAAAGCATAAGTCCACGTGGCAATTGTCTGAACATTGGAGTTCTCTTATACTCACAGGTCGGTGCTCACCCGCATTTATTTTATACCGTCCGATTCACGCGATTGTTTCCCACGTGAGATCGTAACTAACTCCTTGGTTTCAGCGTGACGGTCAAATCCTTAGGGGCATAAACGTCATTATACTTATTCCATAAAATTCAATGAAAGCCCATGGGCCTAATGATGATGCATTGCCATTAATTTTGACTTAGTTGTCTATGGAAAGATCGGAGGAACAATACAACAAACTTATATGGCTGCATAAATTGCATTTCTCTAGATGTTGTTGAGCTGATATTATCAATCAACAGTAATGAGATTAAAGTAATGTGACGCATAGTTTAATTCTATAAGATGCTTTCAGTTGTCACGGTCAAGATGCTTACATAGCTAGACAAGTCGTGTGGAGAAACTGGTTTATGCATGGACCAATCAAGTTTCGATATAAAATTATAAACAAAGATAACCCAAATCATGCCTTATAGAACAAATAATATACATATATTGTATACATTCATTACTAATTCGATTCATCATATTCAAAATTATAAACATTGATGATATATTTGTGAAAACTGAATTTGGAGCCAAACCAAAATCATAAATAATCATATCCAACCACCAATTCACACGTCTATGATCTATTCGAGTTTGGACCTCTCCTTTACCATGTTTTCGTCGTTATTGCATATTTCAAATTTCTTAGTCAACCGTATAATGGCAGCGTTATTCCTTCAAGCTAATATTTAAAATCCAACAAACATTGTTTAATAGTATTTATAAAATAAGAACCCTCTCAAAGGTAGAAGATTGAAACACCTTGACAATATGGATTTTAATACACACACGTCTTTTTCAAAAATCATTTTGGATCAACCAAATAATACACATCAATTCAATATTAATCAGTATTTTTCGAAAGAAAAAAAAAAGGTAAGGAGAAAAATACATATCGAATTTTTGTTATTATGCTCCGTGGTAGCCTTAAAGTTGACCAATAAGGCAATAATAGATAACGTTAACGATTAAAGAATAACAAATAAAGTTTTATGTAGTTTTCATATGAAACAGTTGTTGATAGTAGTACTATTTATAAGGGTATGACTAGATTAATTCTACAAAATATTTCATTAATATTAATTATTTTCGGTAGTATGTCAAAAATGTCTACGTCCAGTTCTTAACTTTTCAAAACTAGACAGCCCCCAAAGGTAAGAACATGGTCAAAACAAGTTAAACAAGAAATAAAACAGACAGAGAAAGAAACTCAAAAGTGGCTTCTTTCTCATCTATCTAAAGCTTTTCTCCTTCTCTTTTATGGTTTCCAACTTCACAACATTTCATTTCTGCGTTTACCATGGATCGTCATGATATAGAGAAGAGATTCACGGTGGTGATTGATAACAGACGACTAAACCAATATGGATCATCATCACTTTTCACCGGCTTCGCGATCAGCTCTATAACTCTGATCGTGGTTACTACGTTTGCTCTAATGTCCAATTTTTCTATACAACCGTATAGAGATTTCTCAGGAGTGAAGATAGATATCAAGAGAGTGATTCCACACTTACCTCTGAGCTCTGAGAAAGAAGGTGAAAGAAGTGATCTGCTCAAACAACAGATACAAGTAAACGAGAAGCTCCAAGTTATCGAGGTTTTCAGTGGAGATAACTTGTCTGACAAGTTTCAAAAGAGGGTAATTGAGTTTGTCGGTGATGGATGTGAAGTCAACTTCATCATGACATGGATATCACCTGCAGAGTTCTTCGGCAATAGAGAGGTTTTAGCTATTGAAAGTGTCTTTAAATCTCATCCTTATGGTTGCTTGATGATCCTATCCGCAACCATGGATTCTCCTCAAGGTTATACAATTTTGAAGCCGTTTCTTGATCGTGGTTACAAAGTTCTTGCAGTCACACCAGATTTACCTTTTCTACTCAAAGGAACCGCGGGAGAATCGTGGCTCGAGGAAATAAAGACCGGTAAAAGAGATCCCGGAAAGATTTCTCTAGCTCAGAATCTCTCAAATCTCATGAGGCTTGCTTACTTGTACAAATATGGAGGTGTTTACTTAGACACAGACATGATTGTTCTAAAAAGCTTCAAAGGGCTTAGAAACGTGATTGGAGCACAAACACTTGATCCTTCATCAACAAATTGGACAAGATTGAACAACGCGGTACTAATATTCGACAAGAACCATCCTCTGCTACTCAAATTCATCGAAGAATTCGCGAAAACTTTCAATGGGAACATATGGGGATACAACGGACCGTACCTTGTTTCTCGAGTGGCTAGAGCTGTAGAAGGATCAAGTGGCTATAACTTCACCGTAATGCGACCATCTGCGTTCTATTCGGTAAACTGGCTCGAGATTAAGAAGTTGTTCAAAGTGGCTAAAACAGAGAAAGATTCGAAATGGGTCAAAATCAAGCTTCTTCATATGCAGAGGAGTGGCTATGGTTTGCATCTATGGAATAAGTTTAGCAGAAAATATGAAATTGAACAAGGAAGTGCCATGTGGAAACTGGTTTCAGAGCATTGCATTATCTGTGAAATTGGTTCTGCTTCATAGTCTATTGTTTGAATTTGTTCCATTAATCCATACACTGTACATAACTACTTGTATATAAGAATGAAAAACCTTCACGTACAATAAGATATTAAGCCCAATATTTTTGTTGGGTCTTTATTGGGCCTATATATAAGCCTTTTAGGTTAACGTTTACATTATTTGTGAGTCGACGTAATGATAAAAATCTTTGTACTATTGTCGTCGGAGTCAAATATGACAGATTGGCTGATTGATTAAAAATGATAGTAACAATTTTGTCATCATCCAGTTGTTTTCTACCAGTTAGGAAGAGATATTAGTCTGTCATAAAACTGAAGATTGGCACGTGACAACACACAACAGCACCAGCTCCCTAATCACGTGACTTTAAGGAAATTTTGAAATATCTATAGCATATGATTAAATCGCTGAATTACAGATATTTTCTTTCATACAAAAGAAAAAAAAAAGGGTTCAATCACACTTTCACACGTCACTAGCGGCGGCTTAGGTTAACGGCGGTGGTGAGCTCCGGCGGCGATTGGAGCTGGTGGCGGTTTGCATTGATAGCATTTGGCAAAGAGACCAAAAGTATCAATTTGTCTGATGAAGTTAGTCATGCTGGCCCATCCGCCAAACCCGAACCCGAGAACTAGGACCCAAACCACTATGAAAGCGTTTATCACGTAAACTCCGGCCCAGCTAGGGATAAAGAACGGTGGTTTCTCCGCCGCGTTCTGCCACGTCATCACGTTTAAAGAAATAAAGCAAATCAATACATCGTATCATTGCATGAACTAATCTACTTATTTTAATCATCAACGAGAATATATGTTTTAGACATTTATAAACTAGTCAAGTGATAATAATGGACACATTATATACTATGGACCTACCTCATTGATATGGGATTAAATGCAAAAGTATAAGCCAGCTCATAATAACTCAATGTATGTTATATCTCAATCTCTCTCCTCCAATATATATTTTTTTCTTTCAAAACTATCTAATCTAAATGAAATAAATGTATGTCATCTACTGAATTCATAAAATCTTTAGTATAGCTTAGGAATGGTAATGTGAGACTGAGAGGAGAGGAATATAGGTAGTACCCGGCGGGCAGAGGCGGTGCGGTAGGTGAGCATGTGGGCTAAGGCAGGGATAATGTAGACGGTGAAGCTAACTAGTAAGGCTCCAACTGCCGAGTTTATTGGCCCGAAAAACGGAAAAATGATGGCCAAAAACCATATCGGAACCACCACCGGTAGCCTCACCAGCGCTCTTAGACATAAGCTCTTCGTGTGGTGCATTCCGATCGCTTTTTCCCATACGAAGTACAATGGTGTACACGCAAACCCGAACGTTATAAACTGCAAATTGAATCCATAACAAAAGTTTTGAGAAAGAGTATATGTCTAATCCGATAACATTTTCTTCTACATATTATTCGTCTAGATGTTAATACTTAATAGGCGAGAAATATCTTGTTATAATCAATTTAGTTAACTAGTTAGACGTATTTATCAATGTCATAACCTATAACATGATTTCTTATAGTATTAATTTCATTTGCGAAAGAGAAAAATGTTCTTAGTATGGACCGGTACCGTATAAATAATAGCATGTACTTGGACCAATCATTAATGCATAGTGTTATATTGTGAAACATGTAACATATTGAGTAAAGATGATAGGAACCTGATGGATGAGCATGAGGATAACGGCGGTGTCACGGAAACGCGTTTTAGGGAGGAGAGAGAAAGCGTTTGAGTGGTTGAGAAGTTGGTCGCCGAAAGCCCAGTAGACGGCGGAGGCTGACGGAAGCGTTAATGTGAAGACGTACAGAGTCGCCATCAAGTAGATGCTCTTAAACTTCCTTGGTTTCCACATCGCATGCATTATTTCCCTGCGATTTTAAAACTTTATAAATAAAATGTAAAAGTCATTTACAGTGGATTTATGGTCCGACCAGAGATTGGCCGTCCGGTCCGACCACTGTGGTTACGTTACGTACTCTCAAAGATAAGATAGATATTGTGAGTAAAATTATAAATAAATAAAAAGAATGTTAGGAATTTAGTTCAGTAGCTACTAGCTAGTGTGTTAAAAAGGTAAATAGGATTTTTCTGGTAAATTTTGTCTTTATATATTCCGTAATAATGATTTTGTCTCTTTGTGCGTTTAGGACAGAACCTAAAGTAACCGGCAAAAGCTGCATATATAGAAGCTAAAAGAGATGAGTCTTTAAAAAAGAAGAAACATGATCTTCAGGGATATATATATTTTTTTTGAATATTTGCAACAAAACAAATGTTGTATGTTAAGAATAAATTAGAACTTATATCCAAAAATAATTTGTTAGGAATGGATCACTATTCATAAATCATAACCTATATACAGTAATTTTTAAGAATTGTTTTTTTTCCTTTTCTGGCCATTTTTCTAATTCTTGCGGATTATACAATTATTTGACAATGGATGAGAAAAATAAAGAAGACTTACACGGTCACGGCGTGTCCACCGAAGGTATAGAGGATGTTGGTGGCTCCGGTGAAATACAATACAAGCTTAGTCGGACCGGAATGTGTCACACCCTCGGCCTACAAGAATTGTTACGTTGTTTTTTTTTCATTTCAAATTGAAAAGCGATTATTTGATGGTGTGACATACCTGACCATGGAGAAATGCGGCGATGGTGAGGTACCAAGCGGTATAGGTGGTCATGCCAAGGCCGAGGAAAGACCAAATACGGTAATTGTGGAAAGATGGTATGAAAACGGTCGTGGCACAACAAGCCCCAAATATATAAGTCCATGTCCTCTTGTCTAACCTATCGTTTATGTAATATATATTGCTGTAACACACCAACAACACACACATAAATCATCATGTTATTTGGCATTTAAATATCTATTTGTCCCTATATCGATATATTAAAAAAGATTGGTAAAAAATAAAGTGGTGAAAAAAGGAAGAAGTACCTAGCACAAGCAATGAGCTGGATGACTGATCCGAATAACAAGAAGGTGCAATTAAATGCGAGCCCCGCTGCTTTCCAGTACGGCCCCAGCAGCCCATCAAGCACTTCAAACCACTTCCCATTTTTTTATTTTTATTTTGTTACGAAAACAACAAACATGCAATTTCAATTCAGTATATTTAAAAGTGAGATTAAAATCAAATAAGTCTGTAAACTAAAATAAGGAAGAAATTACTTGAATAACGTGGTTTTTGAAGGATTTGGCTTCTTGTTTCTCCATACGGGCACGATATTCGACGTAAAGAACACTGATGAGATAAGCAGTCCAAGATCCCATTAATCCATAGAATATTTGAAGCAATATTCCTGATAACATTCCCAACTGCGAGAACGAATACGGCAGCGTCAACAGAACTTGTGCCACCTGCAAATTTATTTCAAGAATGTTTTATATAAGAAATAATAAAAAAAACTTTAGGACAAACAAAAAGAAAAGAGTAATTTGGTCTTATTATAATAAAGAAACCCTTTGTTGTATATTACTAAATAAAAAATTGATTATAAAAATTGTACTTACTTGATTTGATGCACAGCTAAACCAGGCGTCCCAAGCGGACCCGCCATGCCAGAGGAAGGTCTTCATACTAAATCCATCGCCGCCGTTGCCGTCAAGATCCTCCTCCGCCGCTGAATCTTCCACTTTTCTACCGGCCACCTCATCCTCCCCGGAGACCACTATTGCCTCCTCCGCTTGTTTCTCACCCGACATTAGCTATATATATATATTTGTACGGTAAACAAAGAAAATTATGTCTCGGAAATTATATGAAACAAAGAAATAATTGGAAAGTTACAATCTTTATTCTTGGTCTGAAAAGAGAGAATCTTTAGAAGAAAGAAAGAAAGATTGTCTTCAAGCTCTTACCTTTTTTTCCTTTTAGTCTGAGAAGAAGAAACACAGAGAGTACTTTAGCTCTGTCTCGTTCTCAACTCTCCGAAGCAGAGCACAGTATCAAAACAGAACAACAAAGATAGAGAGTGAGAGAGAGAGAGAGAGAAAGAGAAAGAGTGAAGAAGAGCTCTGGTTATGTAATAACAATGGTAAGTGAGTAGGCGAGAGTACTACTGTAATAACGAAGTCTACTTAAAAAAAAAGCTCTGTTTTTTAACTTTTAATGCGGCCGCCTTTGTTATAAGTATATGTTCAGATGAAAGAGAAAAGAGAGAGAGCATAAAAGCAGGAACCTTTTTCTTCTTCTTTTTACCTGCCTTCTCTATGATCCCATCATTTAGACTTCTCTAATTAAAATCGTTCTCTCTCTACACTGTGTTTATAAGATTGGATAAATTTCGAATAATTGTGTTAAACATGTATGGTTACATTTGATTTATTATATGCACAGTTTTCACTATACCAAATTTTCTAGCATTATAGGTTAATTTTTCTTACAATTTTTTACTGCACATTGTTTTGTTTTTGTTGGTAATTTCTCAGTGCACATTGTTCTTTCTTTCGATAACATATTTTATCATGTAAAGATTTTCTTATTCCCTAAAAGAAAAGAAAGAACAGTTAAACGGAAGAGATGGGAGTGAGAGTGACAGTGTAATATAACGTCGGCTTGGCTTGAGCCGAGCCATTTTGTGGGAATTAAACCTTCACGCGTTTAAAGCAAACCCCACGCGCGTCATCAAGCCATTGACCCTACGCGCTAATGTTCCTCTACGCGTGCATCCATTGATTCTTTGTGCACTCGCCATCTCCGTACCGTCGGATCATCTTTCCATCACTTGGTCTAAAATCTAAATTACTAAGAAACTTTGTGACTTTTGTATTCTTGGATTCGATCACTGAGTTGATTAAAGAGAACACTAGTAGTAGTAGTTCTTTAGTGTCAAAAACTGAATTGGATACAAAAGAACATTTTTATTCAGTGTCGTCATGGTTACGAATGTATTATGTATGAACCATTTTTGCATAATTACATTAGCCAAAAGAAAACACTTTATATATGGGCTTTAGTGCGTTTTAGAAACACAGAACTCGTAAAGGACTTTGATGCCTTTGGGTCTTTTCAAATGGACCGAGACTTGTAGAAGCAGCTTTCCAGTTCTGATCC